AACCAATTTTGCCAAAAAATTCAAAGGGCTGTAACTTTTGATCTAGTACCCCGATCTTGGAACTGTTTGAAATTATGGATTCTTCAGGCCACATTCTATAAGAAAATATTTTTTTCCGGTCGATCTGATACAATTTTTTTTTCGGGGCAAAAAAAAGGCAGTGTACAACCTTCCTTTTTTACCAAAAATCGACTCCACCAAAATTTCTCGGGAAAAAACGTTTTCTTATTAATTTTGGTGCGTAGAATCCAAAACGTTTCGTACTTTTTCGATTAGACGTCTCAATCGAAAGTTATGGGCAAAAAACCAATTTCGACAAAAAATTCAAAGGGCTGTAACTTTTGATCTAGTATCCCGATCTTGGAACTGTTTAAAATTATGGATTCTACAGGCCACATTCTACAATAATTTTGTTTTTGTTTTTCTTTGCACAAAGATATTTAACCGGCCACATAATAATAAAAAAGAACGGAAACGTTTGGGTGATTCCTTCGGTTATTTTTGTAAATGTTTTTCCACGTTTAGTGCTTTAACCTATTATCCCAGCCCTTACCGATATCTACAGAAATTTATTTGGACTTGGGTGGACACCCGGAATTACTTTTGTGAAAAATATTCATGCATTTCACTTACATTTGTTGGAAATTTAATCTAAGGTGCCTTTGTGAGGCTGGCATTCACAGTAATATTTATAGAGGTCGCTATTTTAGATGGCATTTTTATGTTAAAGCCGTTAATCCGCCATCGTTTGACAAATAGAAAGGATTGTAATTTTCAACGAGGCAAGGCGGATCAGCAGACTGGCTTTTATATAAATGTTAGGTAACATGTAATTCCTAAAGCTCACTAATTAGAGGTCCGCTTGTAAAATTATCTTATAGTGAGTTAAGCAGCACATAAATACATCTGAATACTTTGCGTTGCTGTCATTTAGATACTTACCTTGCACTAGAGTTTACCACAAAAAGCTTATTTAGAAGATTGGACTAATTTCATCCAGAGGGTATTTTATGGGAGGGCATTTAGGTAGGTGCAAAGAGAGTTTTGCTAGCACTGCGCTTTTACTTATGGATTGTTGTTTATCTTTGTATACAAGAACATATCATTATTGCGTTTTACATTCTACCTACCTACATATCAAACACCTACTTATACGTGGGTGGGTTCTTTTGTGATGATTTGAGGATTTCGGAAACAAGTGGAGAGAAAAACGATTTAATAGGGAAAGTAAGTTTAATGAAGAAAATCGAAAATTCACTAACCATAAACATGAAAAAGACCGTCTAGGTACCGTTGAAAAGGTAGCGGCGGATTTAAAAAATGTTACTACCTGAAGTCACTTGGAATGGTAGCAGAGTTAGAAAACGCCTTTGCTATCTATATTTTGATGCTGGTCACAATGTAGAGAGCTGTAGTGAAGACAAATGTGGAAAGGACGAATGTAAAGGGAGACATCATATAGTTGATGAAAATTGGAAAGTTTTGATGCAGGAATTAAAAAAGGCAACAATAATCAGAATGCCTTGGTGTTATGGAAAGGATTTTTGGAGATCAAACAGAGTTAAACTGCGTGTCTCAATATGGTGTCGTGTATAACGAAATATACTATGAAATGCTGTTTTCTGCAAAGAATGTTTGTTCAAGTTTACTTCTTCTGTTTATAGTGTGTTCTGGGGGCATCATTTGTAATAAAAATGATAAATTTCATATTACCCTGCGCTCTACGGTGGGTAAGTAACAAATCAATTATATCATTAAATATAAAATTTTAACAAAAAAATACTGTCACAATTTAGAATAATTTCGATATTTATCTCATTTATGGATTTGCAGTTGTAACAGGCGTTACAATAATTAGTTCTTCTCCATGGTTAATCTTAATTTCTTTCCTCGAAATCCGCTTAGCGGGCAATTTAACTAGACGAATGTACAACGCGCTTTGCGAAAATGATTAGCGGTTCGGTACTGTGTAACATCGCTTAACAAATGCTGCTTCCCACTATTTTCACTCATATTTATAGGTGTAAAATCTGACCCAATAAACAATGAATACTAACTCCGCGCAATCATAAGCTTCTTGTCATTCAACATTCGGTTACTACAGACGTATTTAACTGGTTCTTCTCGCCTTTATTTTAATTACAGTGATCCGCTTCATTAACTCATCCCGAATATACACGTAAAGACGTACAAATATTAATTTACACTATTTACATATAAAAGAAAATGACATTTCTAACATTGCTACTTTCCTTTTAGCTTCCTTGCGGTTAAATAAAAAAACAAATTTGCGTTATGAATAAATTAAATTCCCTTTCAATGCCAAAACACACATTCGGAAAACACAAATTTATGATTGCGTATCTATTTTCAAATTATGCATTTTTACTAAACTGTACAAACGAAAGCAACTCCGAAACTATGCTTACAAATGTAACATTTCATTTTTTATTTAAATGTAAGTATCTATTTAATGTATTTAAATTACACAATAATTCGTAGAGACTTTCATTTTACTGCTAGCAGTTATTTTTAAGAAAAAGTTAATCGCCCGTGAACTCAAATTTGTATTTTCTTGTACAGAAGCAAATTGATTTAGGGTTGTTTTTGGAGTAAGGACGATATTCGTTTAAGGTTGATTTGTGTAGTTGCTTTATTACATAAAATAATACACCCACCTACTCGGGTAGTACTTCAACCCTCTCATTAATGAAATGTTCTAATTAAAAGGTTATTCCACTGTTACGCATAGGAAAATTAGCACTATGAAAGTTTTCCATACTAAAAATGGTTATTCAAGTTGACTTTTCATAAGTATTTATGTTTTTAATTGAATATCAAGACTCGAGCATCGAATTTGGATTATTTTATGAAACTTTTAGTAGTGTAGTTTTAATCCAGTTAAATTGTATTTTTACCAGGAAAGTTGTGGGGTAGTTTTGATTTCTTTGATCCTATATGTTTTTTTGGGTGCTGAATCCGAATCTGAGGTTTGGCAACAAAATTTCATGACGCAACATTGAAAAAAATACAAAAGAAGTTGAAAAAGATATTTTTTTGGCAGTTTTGTGCTTACAACTTGAAAACTATCACCTTTTCGAAAATAACCTTCCTATTCAAAATTAAAGTACATAAAATTTCCTACAGATTCCACTATTTAGTTTTTTTTCCTCGATAAACCGTTCGGGCTCAAGCGCCAGTTGAAAATTGGCGTATTTCGGCTGTCTCCACAAAACATAGTTTTTTCGCACTAAAACCCTAAATTAATATTAAGCGTTGTCAATAAGTGAATTCCTTGCATTTACCTACTATTATATGAATTTTTTATGTAAGGGTGGTTTTTTCTCATTTTCATAACGTTCAAGGTGTTTATTGTAGTCCAGAATGGTATGAAAAGTTAATTTCTAACGAACAACAGTATATCATATTATTATATTATTTATAATACTTATATTGTGCTATCTAAAATTATTCCCACTCTCTTCCGAACCAGATAAAGAAATCACCTCGGAAATCACAAAACCCTACCGTAGCATGTTTGGATAATTATTGTTGAATTTGGGAAAGTGGCGCTGTGGTCATTATTAATTAAAAAAATTCAAATGGCAAAAGGGGTAAATTGATTTCCTATTCAACGGCATTATCCCTCTTGCTCCAGTGTTCTGAAGAATCACGTACCTACTCCTCGGAGTGGGGTAACGCAGTTACCCCAGCTTAAATTTCTCTGCTATCAACTGAACCCGATTTATTTCTTTTTTGTTTACATGTTAACCAGCGACAAAAAGCGAGTTCATGATTTTGGACTGTCCGTCCGTCCATCTGTGTAACTTTGTGAGGGTGTGTATGTATGTGTATGGGAGAAGGGTCTCGAGACTGCAAACGTAGGTCAAAGAGTAACGTACTCTTTGCGTAGGTACACTGTGACGTAATGGGCCTTGGCTCATCTGTGAAGGAGTGGGAGAGTTTTATACCAGACGGAACTGTTATAAAATCTTTTGAGGAGACCGGTAGACAATGAAAAGTACGGATTTATATTGGCACAGAATAATAATAAAACAATAATAAAAGATGAGTATTTGCGGATACAGCCGAAATACGCCAATTTTCAACTGGCACTCGAGCCCGAACGGTTCATCCAGGAAAAAACTAAATAGTGGGGTCTGTAGGAAATTTTATGTACTTTCATTTTAAATAGAAAGGTTATTTTCGAATAGTTGTAACCACAAAACTGCCAAAAAAATATCTTTTTCAACTTCTTTTGTATTTTTTTCAATGTTGCGTCATGAAATTTTGTTGGCAAACCTCAGATTCGGATTCAGCACCCAAAAAAAACATATAGAATCAAAGAAATCAAAACTACCCCACAACTTTCCCGCTAGATGCCCGTTTGAGCACACATGGCCTGTATTATTTTAGGTACAATACTTCATTTGAATTACCTTTTCAAAAATTTCAATCTAAGGTGTTGATTAGGTAATGGTTCACCACTCACGTAAAACTATATGGCTTCATCTAAGGTATTATATATCAGGCGGCATTTGGTTATAATGAGACTTTGGAAACAGGAGTTCTAATCTACCCTTCCGATTTCCAATATTATGCTACACTGAATGATTTTCACAAAATTTGAATAAGCGACTAGGTTTACGTAATGAGTGCTCTCGTAACCTGACTTGAATCTTAAACGTGAAAAGCTCTAAAGTTGCACTTAAATATGCAATGTGGGTCATGGTGTTTTCCTCTCACGATTTGCATAAAAAGACAGTTAGTGTAACGTTATTCTTTGCTGGTAGTGTGACAACACTTAAAAAAGTATTTACACAACACTTAGAAACTCGAAGTACGGTAGTTTTGTATTTTCTTTGTCGAACTTGCGAAGTTAAAGAACAAAACTAGAAGTAGATAAACAAACTTCATAACATTTTCCCATGAGAATTTTGTCTTATGTTTTTTACAGCCGGCCTTTTCCAAATCTAATGAGAATTTATTTTGATTTGCAGGTTTACTGTCATGGGATTCCAGCAGCTGCCACGTGGACCTAGAAAAGGAACTAGCAATTATAAGTGAACAAGCACCTGAAGGTGAAGATGCTAGATATGGTAAGAAACTCTCCGATGAATATTAGATTTCTGGGCACTATGCCATGAATTCGGCTTTACTTCTAAAATCGCCGACTATTGAATAATTTGGTGGATCACAGGAGCTTAATTACACTTAAATACTTTGTTTCAGGGGAGCGTCTAATACAATTTGCGTCCGAAAACTTAGTTACCGAAGTTTTAATTCATCCGGCAATTAGTACATTGTCCCAATGCATGAAAAATTTATTAAGCAGTTTTACGCGACATCGACACATCATTCACGCGGGTTACACTTTCGCAGGAAATGGATCGTGGATTTTACAAGTAGGCTGGCACTTGTGCTTTATGTCCGACTCATCTTTGTGCTTTTAGGACGGAACGTTGTCGCTAACGGATTTCTCGGAAGCTTTTCAGGAGATAGAGGTGCAACGTGTCCTCCGTGCGTATGACAATACTATATCCTTGGACGTTCATTGTTCGCCAGAGGGAGATTGGGGTCGTTTACCGAAAGAGTCCTTTACGAAAAATTGCAAAGTTAGAGTAAATCCCGATGACGTGCTTACGTCAGGTAGTCCAGCAATCGTAAACTTTCTAAATTATATTTCTCCGTTTCTCATCCCGACGGATATCGAAATGCTGCTGGAAAGTTCAGACGTTGTTGGAAATATACGATTTTCCCATCCTACGTTGTATGTGTTTCCCGGCGGACAAGGCGACGCGGCTCTTTTTGGTATAAATGGTTTTAATATGCTAGTCGATGGTGGATTTGGTAGGAAAGCGTGTTTTTGGGATTTTGTAAGGCATCTGGATCGATTAGATGCGGTACTGTTAACTAGACTGAATAATAGTAATGTGAATGGTATTAGTTCCGTACTTAGGAGAAAGCGTCATAATACCGTCTACCCGCATATTGGACACTTCTTTTGTAATATTCAGGTGAGTAAATAGTTCACTTGCAATTATTTCAACGATTTACGTTTAGGAAAGGAAAGCAATCCTGAGTCCAGACGGTGATAAGGACAAAGACCCTCTACTAATTAATTTATTCGAAGAAGGACAGGGAATATTGAACAACTTACGCCAACTAAATTTGCAACCACAACCTTGTTACCGCGAAGTGATGCCAATGAATCTATATCATAAAGTGGGACATGGTACTTTGGACATGTACATCCTAAGTCCATCTCGAGATTCAAAGGAAGTAAAAGAATTCCTGCAAAAATGGAATAACAATGATCACCGATTATTTTCTACTCAAAAGAATGGAAAAGAATTTGTCTTTCCAACATATAATCTCGTTTCCATATGCGCTCTGCTTGTATGGCAACCTGCTAATATCAGCGACAACATAACAAGAATATTATTCCCAGGCAGTAGTCCACAGCATAAGATATTTGAAGGACTAGACAAGCTGAAACAACTTGAATGTATTAAGTACCCATCATGTTCCGCCAAGACACTCACCTCCACGATAATTAAAACGAAACTTACTAAAACCGAAAGAATTGTACAAGACCAAAAAGAGTTCAAGCCTAAATCGATGCCAGACAGTAAGCCAAAAATAGAAAATAAAGTTGTTGACGAGGAACTTAAAAACGGACACACTAACGGCACGGCCCATCCCATAATTGAGAAGGCAATTAAAAAGTACGACTCCACCGAAAGCGACAAAAGTGGCCCCCAAATTATCGAAACCAAAAAGGACCTAGTAAACGGAAAGACTGTCGAAGAAAAGACGGATAAGCTAAAGACTAAATCGAAACCTGAATCCAAAGTTAAGGCAGAAATTAAACCATACAAAAGCGCGAGGTCCGTGGAGCGAAAAACTAAACCGCCCATACCTGCGGAAAAGAAAGCCTCGCCTACAACGCCCAAGAAAACGGTAGAAGCTAAAATGAACGGAGACGCTACCAAATTAAAACCGGCCCCGAAGACGTCGCCTAGCGCAACTCCCGCTAAAAGCGCAAAGGACGCGAACAACCGCAAGGTGGTCGAGTCAAAGATTAAGTCCGCCCCCAAACGAGAGCCTCCTAAACCCACCGATAAGAAAGAACCCAAACCGGAGCGTAAACCAATATCGCGCAGACCCAAGGGAACCTCCCCAGTCGGCAAATTACCCGAAAGCCCAATTAAGAAGATAACCGAGCTGCACAAACTCGAAACTCGAAAACCAAAACTAGAAAAGGAATGTACGACCGATTCTAGTACCGTTAGTACGCCATCGGCCGACGTTGAATCCACCATGAAGAAAGATCTATCCAAATTATCGCCCGAGGAAATAGAGCAATTGAAAGCGAAAGAATTGGCCGAGCTAAAAGAAGAGCAGGAGGTAGTCAAAGAGATCGAAGCAGTTTTTCGTAAAAGCGAAACCAAAGAACCTGGCGACACGGATATGCGAAAAGTTAAAAATATTTCCATTGACGAAAAGACTGAGGGCGAAGGGGAGGAGTACCTAATTATCGAGAAGGAAGAAATGGATCACGATTCGTTAGATGACAAGGATGCCAAGGAGAGTGAAACTCAGAAACACACGCGCGATAGTGAGGAATCTGAGAAGCAGCGGAAATTGAGTGACGTAAGAGAATCGGAGGATGTAAAAGAGAAACCGGCGGAAGACGAGGGAACTGCAGTAGTTCCAGAACCAGAAGTAGTGCCGATTACTCTCGCTAAAGAAGAGAAAGAACCTGCCAAGGCTATATCCAAAGAAGTATCTGTAACCAGTCCGGATGACAAAGTTGAAGAATCTAGTGGGAAGAAGATCACCGATCGAGAAATTGAAGAAGAAATTAAAGACATAAATATTCTAGAATCTCAACCTGATGAGAAGTTCTCAACGCCTATCGAGTCCGGCGCGACCACCGCGCCTACTTTACCCGAAGATGAAAGAATACCTCTGGATGAAATCAAAGAGGATAATGGAGACATGGGGATAGAAGAAAAATACGTGAAAGAAGACACAAAGGAAAAGGAAATGCCAGTTGCACAATTTCCACCGAAGGCCGTTGACAGCATAGCTAAAATTCCATCGGTGGTTGGCATTCGGCTTGATAAGCAGACGCCGATGCGGGATATAGTGAAAACACCAGACGAAGTTGCCGATTTGCCAGTCCACGAGGAAGTGGATATCGAAAACTACGAACAGTATCAAGCGCATCAAGCACAAACGCCGAAAGGTGAACTCAAACTACCACCGACAAAGGTAAAAACGGACGAAATAGTTATTCCCGATAACGAGCAAGTGAAAGTAGGGATTTCCGAGAAAGTGGACGAAGAAAAGCGTGATGGTCAGAAAACTCCGGTTGTTGAAGACAAGTTACCAGAAAAACCGGCCACTTCGGAAGAACCTCACATTCCGGCACTAGTCGAGCAAAAACAACCCGAAGCAGAAACGGTGAAGCTAGCACTAAGTCAAAGCAAAAGGGACAGCGTAGAGAAAGCCGATGTTGAAAAAATTGTAACATCAAAAGAAGGTGACGTAGATGAACACAAATTAGGCGAAGAGGAATTAAAGAAAATAGAAGCGGAAATAATTGATACCGACAAGCCAGTCACAAAAGATACTGAAAAAGGGAAAAATCTTCCTGAAGAGATGGTAATCAAGAAAGATACAGAAGTTGTTGAACCAAAGGAAGATGAATCGCCGTTTGAATCACGCAGAGTAGAAGTATCGATGGAGCGCACAGAAGTAAAGGTGGAAAAGATTAGCAGTGCAAAATCTGACAAACCATTTGCTAAGGAAGCTGTTGAGGAAGACGAAAAAGAGAAAGATACAACGGAAGACTTAAAAACGGACGTTGAGCAAGTAGAAGAAATACAAATGGCGGAAAAGATACAACTAGTAGAAGCACAAGAGCTAATAAATGAAGTCAAACACGATATTTTGGGATCCGAATTGCTTACCTCGATGGAGAAAGACATCAAAGAATCTGTTACTGGTGCATTCAAATGTGCTGAAGAAACCGTGGCCGCTGTATGTAAGGCGATGGAAGATGAAGTAGGACAGATCTTCGGCGTAGACGAACCTGAACCTCAAGTAAAGCAAAATGAAGAATTACATTCTCAAAAGGTAGGCGAAAGTGGGGAACGTAGAGACATGCCAGTGATGGCTGAATCGGAATCTGACAATAAAAAGGAAGCGATTTTACCAATTGAAACTACCGGTGAAGTTAAAGTAATTTCTGAAGTAGAAGAAATTGCGCATAAAATTCTAGAGGGCGGACATGATATTCTAAAAAAATTGGAATTGGCTGAAGAAAAGCTGATTGGGGAATTTTTGGGTTCAAAATCAGACGTGGAAACCAAAGATGACGAAATGAAGCAGGAAACAGTTGAAATAAAATTAGAAAACGAAAGGGATGAGCACATTGAAGCAGATGAAGAAGAAGGGGGAATTGATCGTGAGATTGTCATAAAAGCTGTTCGCGAAGATTCTTTAAAACTCAGTGAAATTGACAAAAAACTACAAGAATTAAAAGAATCTGCTGATTGTGATCCCAAACCTTTATCAAAAGAACCGTCATTAATCGTAGCGGAATTGGACATGGTGGATAAACTAGAGTTGGGTCGAAAATCTCCAAAAGAACGAGAACAGGACGTTGCTAAAATAGTGGCAAGCGTCGCGGAGGTTTTAAAATCGGACGCTCCGCTAGAAGAATTTGAGGGAAAAATTCCGTTGGACGTGGGAACATTCGGCACATTTGCACCATACGCCACAGAACTTAGAGAAACTCACATAACCACCCTTGAATCCCCAATACGTGATATAGTTGTCGAAAGTTTGGTGATGGACCCAATTGAGGAAGAGAAAGTTGTTCCTTCAGATCCAATCGCAATGTTTATTCACGAAGAAAAAAAGATCGCCGCGATTCACACAGATTATGACATTGTAAAGGAACCTTCTAGAGTTAGTTCGTTACTGAAAGATTCTAATGATCTGATGCAGGCTACATCTAAAATTATATCTGACATAAAACTAGCGACTAAAGTGGATGACTCAATTGAAGTTGAAGACGAAGGGATAGGCCATAAGAGCCCAATATCGGGAAAAACTAGTCCCGATATCAAGACAGCTGTAGAAAGTAAGCAACCTGTAGAGGAATTGCCGGTAGAAGCCATGAAACTGGAAAATCAATACCAAATTCCACCAACTGCTAGTGCTCAAGATGTAGCGAAGGAGGCGATATCAGAGAAAAAGCAGGAACCAGAAGAAATGCTAACGGAACTAAAAGAACAGATAATTGAAGAGAAAACAGTCAAAACTGAAGATAGAGGAACAGAAGAAAAGGTTCATGGTGAAGATGCAAAGGGATTGATTGTTGAACCCAGTGGTACTGCGACTGAAGTGATTCAAGAGGATATAAAGAGAAGTGCCGAAGAAAAAGAGCCTAAAGAACCTCATGAAAACGAAAAACAAGCTTTGAAAGAAGATCATGTGGCGGACAAATCAGTAGTAGCAGCTGACGAAAAGTCATCTGCAAAAGAAGATGAGAATAAAAAAGCCACTGAGCTAGTAAAGCTAACAGAATATGACAAAAGAGAAGAGCAAGAAAAGCCGGACCTAAAAAAAGAAATTGCGGGTGGCGACAAAGTTACAGTGATTGAAAAACTTGAAGAGAGCGTTAGCGAAGGGAAGCAAGCAGCAGAGAAAAAGGAAGAACATTTGGAGGTTGTCGATAAAGTAGCGGCAGAAATAAAAGGAATAAAAGAGGAGGATGTTGCTACAAAGGAAGAGCCAGTACCGGAAGAAAAACCAGTAACGGAAGATAAACCTGTGATAGAAGAAAAACTAGTAAATGAAGTTAAACACGTAATAGGCGATATAGAAATGGCGGCAAAAGATTTTACTGGTGTAATCGGTAAAAGTGTTGCAAAGATAGAATCAGCTGAAACTGTGATGCACACTGAGGACAAGGTTCATACAGGAGAGAAAGCTAGTGTAGCGGAAAAAATGGAAGAAGCAATCAATGCAACAATAGGTGCAGATCAAATTAGTATCGCAGAAAAAGAAACAAAAGGAGAAGATACACTAGCAGAAGTAGCAATAGAGGGAATCGAAATGCTAAATAAAGAAGTAGCAAATAGAGAGGGGCTAGTTGGGGAAAAAATAGGAGAATTTGAGTTAGAGCCAAGTGTGCACGAAAAACATGTATTGGAAGAAGAGAAGACCACTAAAGCGGAAGATATCCACAAAAGAGATATAGTCGAAGAGAAAGCAATACATGTAGAAACATCCAGTGTTAAATTAGAAGACGAGCATAAAGAAGGCACACTTAAAGAGAAGACCACTAAAGCGGAAGATCAGGAAGATATCCAAAAAAAAGATATAGTTGAAGAGAAAGTAGTACATGTGGAAACACCAAGTGTTAAATTAGAAGACGAGCATAAAGGAGGTACGCTTGAAGAGAAGATCACTAAACCGGAAGATCAGGAAGATATCCAGAAAAGAGATATAGTCGAAGAGAAAGTAATGCATGTTGAAACACCAAGTGTTAAATTAGCAGACGACCATAAAGGAGTCATGCTTGAAGAGAAGGCCGCTAAAGCGGAAGATCAGAAAGATATCCAGAAAAGAGATATAATCGAAGAGAAAGTAATACATGTAGAAACACCAAGTGTTAAATTAGAAGACGACCATAAAGGAGTCGTGCTTGAAGAGAAGACCACTAAAGCGAAAGATCAGAAAGAAATCCAGAAAAGAGATATAATCGAAGAGAAAGTAATGCATGTAGAAACGCCAAGTGTTAAATTAGAAGACGAGCGTAAAAGAGACGAGAAACCCACTAAATCGGAGGATCAGGGAGATATCCAGAGCAAGGTATCTGAGGATGTGGGCCAAGAGAAAGTAGTGCATGTGGAAGCGACAAGTATGGATGAAAAACCTGCACTTGAAGAGAAACCCGCTAAAGAAGAGAAAGTAAAGCATGTGGAAGCATCAAGTGTGGATGGAAACCTTGCACTAGAAGAAAAAGCCGCACTTGATGAGGGAGGTGTCCAGAGAAAAGCAGTTGAAGAAGAAATAGCAAAAGCAGAAATGATGGGAATGGTAAAGGAGAAAGCGGAGATAGAGAAACAAGACGAAAAAACAAAAGTGGAAGGGGACTTGACAGTGTTAGAGAAAGAAATTTGTGAAAAAACATTTACCGCTGATATACAGAAACCAACGAAAAGTGAAACCGAAGTGGTCGAAAGAAAAACATCTTTCTCTTCGAGTGCCGACATGCCAATTTCAGAAAGGTTATTAGAAGATCCACTAACAACAAAAGTGACGCACGCAGATATTCTTTCCGAACGCCTAGAATCACAGCCACCAGAACACGAAGACGTAATCTCAAGCAACGCTGAATTAGAAAAGGTCAAAATGTCAACAGACTCTGATGAAATTGTCTCCATGGAAAAAGTACCGCACGACGAAGTTATTTCCCAACACAAAGAGTCGGAAGATGCAGCACAACTGCCGGAATGCGCTGGTACCATAAAATCTGTAACCGAAGAATTGGATAAAGTTAAAGCGTCAGTTGCAGATAGCAAACCTTTAGCCGTAGAAGAAAAGCTTACGCCAAAAGTTGATGCTGTGGTTAGCTTAGAAACAAGTAGTAAAGATTTAGAGCCGGTGGTTGATGCGTTCATAAGCACTGAGTCGAAAAAGATTACTCCTCCATTTTCACCAGATTTAAAGTCTACCGAAACCGCACTACCTCATTCCGATATTATATCTTCCCCCCAATTTAAAGAAGAAAAAGCCGAAATTCTTCCTAAATCGCCGAGAACGTCTATATCGGACGCCAAACAAGAATCGGGTAAATCATCACCAATTCCGGTTGTTGAACACGCGCAAATTGATGACTCAGACAAATTAGAGATGAGCAAAGACACCGAAGTCATCGTAAAGGATCAACCAATCATTTCTAGGACTATATCGCCCGATATCAAATTGGACCGGCGAGATTCTACTACTAAAGAAAAAATTAGTCTAGAGCACGCCCATCCAAGCGAAGGAAAACCGGATAAGATGTCTTCAGATATAACCAAAAAGGAAGAAACGTCTCACGAGACACTTGAAAAGAAAGATACAGGCGATGAAAGAGTATCTCAAAAACTAGACCATGAAGATCTTCCTAAAGTTGACACTAGTGGCATTGGGTTCGTGGTTGATGAAAAAGAATGCAAACATGATACAGTTGTTCCCTCAGATGGATCATCGCCAGGTCTAGCAACCGATGTGTCGACTGAGGAAAAGCTGGAAGTTGTAAAGCCTCTTCAGGCTGAAATGACGGATAAAGATAAGGTGGAAGATAAATCCTTAGCCCACACTTCCCAAGAAGAGACCGAAATTATGTCAGAAAAAGGTGTTAAAGTGGAAAGTGTGCTACCAATTTCCTCCGAAGTGTCACTGACAAGTCAAGTTGCGGAAGCGAAACATGAAACGGAAGAAGTTGAAGATAAGGGGCTAACTGAACAAAGCACTAATGAAAAATCTCAAATAATTGGAGAAAAAACTAGTGATGTTTCTACAGAGATCGTTTTGAAAGAGAGCCCAGAGGAATGTGCCAAGTTAGTTAAATCCTCTGAAAACTTGCTCCAGGATTTAAAATCGGAAATCCCCGCCAAATTAGATGAACGACTCGCGGAAGACTCAAGTGATCGGCCAACTTTAGAAATGGAAGATTTTATAATAAAAGGAAAATCTCAAACCTCTTCGGGAAAAGTGTCTCCAGAAATTACAGTGAAGGAAGTCTTGGATGGAGATAAAGACAAATGTCCATCAGGATCTGGTAAATCATCTCCTGCCATAATGTTGGAAGGTAAAGAAGCGCTCGTTCCCGTAATCGATCAACGATCCGACGCCACTTATGAGACGAGCACTTCAGGAAGATCGTCGCCAGAAGTAGTAGAATTAACAAAAGACTTATTAGGTACAAAACAGTCACCTATAATTTCTCGCAAATCCACGCCTGAAATTATCGTAGATAATGAATTTGTAGTTTTGGATAGGCTATCTCCCGATGTAGATATTATTGAGACTGAAAAAATGGATGCGGAAAGTGGAGACAAAACGATACATATCACCGAATCTGTAAGTGAAGTACCAAAGAGTAGTGTTGACAGTAAAGATGCTACACAAGTACCTGGTGTTCCAGAAAAGGTACCGACTGAAGATAAGGAAGTAATTGTTTCTATATCGCAAAGCTCAGACTCCGCAGAACCGTCCTTAAGTATCGTTAGTGAAGCAAGCACCTCTGCCGAAACGAAAGTTGAGATCTTAGATGCAACTAAAGGCAAAGATGTTGAATTATCTTCAGGTAGAACGACACCACCCACTGCTCCGGTTAGTCCTATTTTGAAGGAGAAGTTGACCTATTCCCACGACAAGCCTGTGGAGAAGAAGGAAACGGAAGTGCCAGTTGCAAAAGGTGTAGATATCAGGAGTGCGACTCCTGCAAGTGATGACTGTGATATAAGCTCCGGGCAAGTCTCGCGAGTACTTACGACTGAAGAAGATGATTATAAACAAGTGTATAGTGACGACGAGGAAATTCCAGGATCGCCTTTAAGTGCAACGTCGCAAATTGCGCACTCGATTTCATCTCAGTACGACTTCGAAGACAGTGTGAGGGGAGCTGTTGCAATGGATCCAATGAGTACATCCTTCTACGGCGCACTTCCGGACGATCCCGTAGCAGAATCTGCTAGTGTAATACCGCACGGTAGCCCTAGTCATATTTACGAAATAACCACAGCTAAGTTTGCCAACATACATTTACAAGAAGAACTTCAAAAAGAGACAAAACCGGATCCAAAGGCAGACATAATGACAGCCAGCTTTATTGGTTCAGAACTCCCTTCGGATTCAAAGGAAGATCCAATTGCTTCTTGGGGAAAACCGCTAGGATTGCCCAGTCCGGCTCCCTTAAATGATAATAAGGGTACTCCAAAGAAAGAGAAAAAAGTTCTAACGAACGTGATGTTTAAAAATCGAATCAATGAAGACAAAAAGAGCAAGAAGGTGAATCCGGTTTATGTAGACTTAACTTACGTCCCCCATAATGGAAATTCGAATTATTCTTACGTAGATTTCTTCAAGCGAGTGCGAGCCCGATATTATGTATTTTCGGGGATTGAGCCTAGTAAAGAAGTTTATAGTGCGTTATTAGAAGCTAAACAAACCTGGGATGACAAAGATTTAGGTAATCCGTTGCGTAACCTTAACTTGCACTCACTCATTTCGTTACAGAGGTTACTATCATTCCAACGTACGACACGGACGTTTTAGGTTACTGGGTAGCAGAAAATGAAGATTTATTAGCCAAATATAAGATTGATCTCTCACCTTCCGCCAGTCGATGTACTATTAATCTTCAAGATCACGAGACCTCCTGCTCGGCTTATCGATTGGAATTCTCTTAAGATAGTTAAGTCCAAAGGAACTAATTTTTTTAATATTTTTTTTGCAATAATAAGGTATACATTTCTCCACATAAAAGGCATACCACCAACGTTAACGACTCACAACGAAGAGAATATACTGAAAATAGAGAGAACATAAAGATGCCAATGATTATTCCAAATCTTCCTTGGTATTTCCAAAGTGTTATCGTTCTCCACTTCCCTTTTAATCATTTTTAATTAATTCACTATTAGATTAGCGTCCTTAACAAATTGAAAATAAATAGATATTGAGACCTTGAATGGTAAAAAATTAGACTGTTTGGAAAAAATTATTTGGAGATTATTATTGATTCTTTTTCGAAGTGATCGATAAGAATCAATAAGGATCGTCACCCTTGTGATGCGTTACTATATAAGAAACTAAGTTAGTGTAGGTATTTCAATTAAATTAACAGCTAAAAACATCAACAGCTGTAAGTAGTCGAAAGAAATAGTTATATAGATACATTTCATTAACAAACATTGACAATCTAGAAATGTAAGGGGTGGGAACCTAAAATGTCTGAGATTTTTATAGTTAATGAAGTCGAGCTATGTAATTATTTCTTATGCTTTTCATGTAATAAAAAAGTATATCTGATGTGATACCCATTAGATCTGTCAACATCAATTATTTATTTGACACCGCTACTTTGACAATTTTAAGTTACTTCTGAAAGCAAAAAATGCCAAAGATTTTCGCTGTAGGTTTCTAATTTGCGCATTTAGCAATTGGGAGCATTCCTTTCAAATTTTCCTTTACGTTTTTCACCTATTTATAGTGATTGGATGCCAAAGCTTTTTAGAACGCAACTTTATTTAATACGTAAATATACAAGTAGGGTAAATATTAATGTTTACTGATACTGAAACTCACGTCCATTTTCGTATCCTTTGGGTTAAAGGCCTATTTATTATAAGATAAAGCAATTTTCAGTAGGACAAACTTTTTAAAAAATTACACTTAGTCGCCACGTGTTATCGAGTTCAACTACAAAATTAAATTACGTATTAATTTCACATTTCCTTAAAGGTCATTTAAGGCTTCATGTGAAGTAGTCTATTTCCATTGTAGTTGGATAACACCATTGAGGTATAGGGGGCCATTTTGAGAAGCATTATTTTAAATTTGAACTCGATAAAACTGGCGTTGTCTAGACATTGTGAGTCAGAAAAATTGAGCTTCGGATGCAAAAAATTATATGAACAATTTTTGTTATCTACGTGCGTAAGTTTGGTGCTATCAAAGATTGCCTTGAACAGAATTAATACAGAATGATCACATCTGGTGTGCAAGGTTAAAAATGAGATGTGGTAGGTGGTTCGCATAAATTTACAATGTGAAATAGACCACTGTTTCTAATTTTCATTTTGATACTTGTAGTAAATTACCGTACCCCAACTGGAGTAAGTACTTATATATTTTTTAGAAAAAAAATCATTCTCACAACGCACACTCTCTCGGAATTCACATTGTAGGTTTATTTAAAAGTCACTTTATATATTTACGTTGAAATTATTAAAATTGTAATGATTATGTGCAGGTTTGAATTTAAATTATCTATATAATAAATATTTATAGCTTCTAGTCATAAAAATACTGATCCTTTAGCTTTCAAATGTTGTCGACTAACATATATTCAATTGCAATTAATGTATGGGTATGTATGAGATAAATATGTAATACAAAAGTTTGTGTTTTAAATCATCTTTTTTTAAACACCCTTCCCATCCAACATCGATGATCTAAAAGACGTCATACGTACCAGAAGCAGCTCGTCAGGTAAGGCAATGCCAAAGTTACAACCTTCGGATTTTCATGTATCTAATGCAAGTAATTACTACAGTTCATTTGCATTAACAGTGCATTGTGATATTGTGATCCAAAATGACTGCGGACAGTTTAAATTTCCCGAAAAACTGAACATTTGTAAAGTTGGTGCCAAATTCAGTTATTTAAAAGCAGTGGTGGATCAAATTAATGTATCACTCCACAATAATCGTATTGTTTTACCCACCAGCTTGTTTAGATAATTTGCGAATTGATTCTTGAGGGTACGTTCCCTTACAGCTTGGACAACTTCCACTTACATGGTAGGTAGCATTTTTTCATTGAATTGTAGTTGAGGGCCCAAAACAAGAGAGGGTAATAATAATAATAAGCACAACCCAGTCGAATATGAGCATCTTCTAAACGCATGATAGTGCGACTTTAAAATGAATGCATCAAAATCCATCCTTCTTAAGCTTAAAAAGTAAGGCCACGTGATCATTATAATACATTTTCTCTTATAATAGTAATAATAATAATAATAACGGTCTTTATTGATTTTGTTTTGGTTAGCCACGAAAAATACATTGCCTAGGGCGAGATTCAGGAGTAGAAAATCTACCCCTGCTCTTCCATCTAACCCATAAGGATTCCGCTTAATCGACAATGAATCACAGAAAAGAAATAAAAATATTAAAAATAAGATAAGTAAAATAGAAACAAAATTCAAAAGTGCTCTAATTATTATTGCCGTAGCAACTTCGAAATAATGCGAGTTCTAAATGCTTTGAAAGTGTACTTACTGATGTCCATATCTAATGTATTAAACCATTGCGTTAAATTTAAGAGAATGACCTCTCAAATATTAATTATGTTATACGTACCATTATAAAATGATTGTTTCAAAAACATTCGAAAAGAACTGTTTGAATTAAGACGCATGAAGCACTACGAAGATAAGAAAATAAAAATTCGCATTAATATACGCCGCCAATGGATGGCCATTACAACACCTAAACATGTTCTTCAAGAAAAAAACACTAAGAACTTTAGGCGCCAAATAAAAAACTGTTATTTTGAATCACACGTTATAACCAATTAATGAAAATTTTGTAGATATATTAAATAATAAGGCATGTATAAAAATAGGTCAATTCCTCAATGTTAAGGTCAAATTTTAGCGGTTCACCCAAATCGAAGTCTATGAAAGTGTAGGAAGAAGAAGCTACACACTCATACGGAAGTAGTGGCGAATTTGCGGATTAGTGGTAATCCAAAAAAAAGCAACAAAGTTAGATGTTCAATTGAGACGTGCGGACACGTTAACCTGTAACTAAGAATAGAAACGTATAATTTTAGTCACCAGTTTTGCTTAATTGACAAGTTTACAAATAAATTTCATGATATCTCACGATTAGATTTTGTCAAAATTCAAAGCAACGAAAAATCCACCGTCTCTTTTATCTTAAAAGCACATTTACGTCTAATTTAATTACATGAATTTATTTATTAATAATTAATTAACAATAAATTTATATCAGTCTTGAAATGAATTGATTTATAACAGTTAAAATATTATTTATGTAGTCACCCACACATGCACAATTTCATACAGCGCGAACTATTTATTACTTCGGCGTTGAAAATGGAACTGTCCTGAAACGTAATTAAATTTGCTTACATGGCAATACTCGAGTGTTCTCAAGTGCTACTGAATCTTTCCTACTCTTTCGCATCCGATATTCGGAATTGCCAGCTGTATAACGCCATGAATCTGTAGTTTCAAGTGCTCTATCACATTCGAAAAATCTTTGTAACTAGGCTTATCAAAAGACCGGTCTTTTGTTACCAAATAATACAGAAATTATCCCTGCCCATGTAGGAAACACACTTTATACACGTCGTGACGTTGAAGGTAGATTTCTCATGCGTTTTACCATTCCGACTGCCTGTAGTTGTAAAGCAGTACTTCTGGGTCTTGTAAATGCCCAATAGTTGACATAGGCTTTGGAATAGCGCAGACTCAAAATTTCGTCCCTAGTCAGAGTGTAGTCCCAGAACGTCTACCACGATTGTCGCTTCTTGCTTTGGTAGAGCATATGCTCCTGTCAATTTACTGAAATAGTCCATGGCCACCAAGAGGTTTTTGTTTCCAGCAGCTGTCTCTGGAAAAGGGCCCGAGATATCAGTAGGTATTCTTTCTAGCCGTTCTACATGCCTATACACATGCCCTTTTTGCTTATTCGCTTAATGTGTCCTTTCAGGGTAGGCGGGAGTCTATGATGACTCCCAAATAATTCACTGACTTGGTTAGACCCAGTTGACGTCCTCGAAGAGTGAATCGGCAACACTGGTGCACACTCGTTTCTTATTTCAACGCGCTTTATTTAGTTCTGTTCTCTTTTATTATGGAGGAACTTTCCAAATTCAAAACCAAAATCATTGTCATGTTAGTAGCATCAGCCGCCATGGGTTCTTTTAGTCGTCTCTTACGACACGCAGTAAGGGTATTCTTTCACGCCCCTCCCCCCCACACGGGTAAATACTTGTCCAAATGGGAAGGTCACGCAAAGGAACACATTAAAAGGGAGATAAAAGGGATGTGATCGCCATCTGTTACACTAATGAGATCGTATCACGGTACTGTTTGTGTTTAGTCTACCAACCTATCTTGCCATGTGTAATGGGTATGAATTTTTTAGTTACGCAAAATGCTTTTTGGTCTGGGAGTAAAATAATAAACTGTTGTAACCCACTGTATATAGTATAAATAAGTTTTGTGAACGAAGGTAAAATCTGCTGTAATTTTAAATTTAGATAAAGGGGAATGGACTTTGACCGGAGGAGACGGCGGAAATTGATATGAGTGTGAAAAGGGGAGTGCGCGCTGAAAGTTGTAACGAAGAACTTATGCTATTGCCTATTAGTAGTTTAAAGCGCACCATTTTACAACATTGCGAAGTATTTTAAAGAGGTGAAAAAAAATTAGTGTCGTTTAGGGCCAGAGTACCCAAAGTTTAAATCAAGGAGCAATATTCGATCTATTACCGGTTAAATTGTTTAGTTACTTAGTTTAAGTTTAGGTTTTAGTTTTAAGTTCATCGTAACTGTATTGATTTGATTTATTTGTGTACCTATTTAGTTAAATAATAAATGTATTCAAATTAATGTAATCTACTACGATTGGAATCATCACAATCATTAATTTTTCTCACAGGGACAGAAAGGGTCTAAATTTCAAAAGTACACCAAATTATGAAAATTGTTTAATCCCTCCAGGTATATTGGAGTATAAATTTCGGTAGTAATATCTTGGCCCAAATTTTTAATATTATGTGTGAAATTAACCATTTACCTGCGAAAATCAAAATTCATTTTATAGCATTACGAATAAAAGTAATTCTGATAAAAAGTTCTGCATTATCTTAAACCTAAAATGCAACCATCATATATCAATTTTTCTCAGTATACGAAGTACCTATGTCAAATAATACGAATTTTGCGTAATGGTAAAATAGGTACCTTTACTTGTTATAATATAAAAAATTGTTATTAAGAAGTTTATTACGCAATTATTATTTAGCACTATATTCAAGTTAATAATTGTAAAATAAATTTTTCCATTTGTATTAATAATTATGATTATAACCTATAAGTTGAGAAACGTAAAGGTTATCAAATTTTTTATAACAAAAGAGTTAATTGTTTATTTGATACTTTACAATTTTAAATAAATTGCCTTTATTGCAATTTTCAATACTATAACAAATAAAGCAAAATGCATATTATCTGACATACCTACCTCGTATACGATTTAAAAAATGTGATATCTGCTGGTTGCATTTTAGATTTCAGATAATGCAAAACTTTTTATGAAGAATATCTTTTTTTCGTAATGTTCATAATAGAAAACTTGCTCCGTGTTGCGAACTTAAGTGGACACACTGTATAACAAAGCGGCAATTATTCAACATTTGCAAAAATGATTGGAAGTGACGGTCTGCCACCATTACATTTATTTTAAGAAACGTAGGGACCTGCTAATACAGTTTCAAGTTGGTTATTATTGCAATAAATAAAATGCATGAAATTGTGCCTAGGTAAAATAGTTGCTGGTACACCAAGGATGCAAGGAAAATCAGTTTACGACTCTCAAATTATATATATTGCCTTCTTTACTTCGCTCGCCCATTCGGAAATAATAATCGACAACAAATTAAAGCTAAGAACACACAAATTCAGTCTTTTAATTCATATCATAACTGACAGATGATTTGTCACTAAAACCTGGTATTATCCGGCATTTTTTCGAAATACGCAATTTGATTATCTTCGACTTTATAATCGTGAATCCAGCGGTTACCTTTTCGTAAACTTCCATCAATCCCATCTTTCCAAACACCCGCCGGCAAATATACTTCTCTTTGACGTGCGCCTGAATATAAAACTGGAGCGACTATTAAATCTTCTCCCACAGAAAATTCATCTGCGACAATATGGCAGGCGGGATCATTGGGTTCTATCATCCAAAGTGGGCGAATTAAGGGCAAACCGGAATCTAACGCCTCGTCCGCATATTTCTTCAAATAAGGTGTGACCTAATGAAGTTGATTTAGTGTATAGTAAAGGTATAGTGAAGATACTCACCGTTTGTTGCCTTAGTAGTGTTAAAATGCGTGCCATTTCCAGCACCTTATCATCTCCGTATTTGCTAGGAAGGTGCGTGAACCGAATAACAGGTAGGAATGTTGCGAGTTGAAGCCATCGTACGTATAACTCTTTGTCTGGCAGCAATACGTCCGCATCAGATGTTGAATTGACAGACGCCCACCAACCCGGCGCTTCGTAATCACCGCCAACAGCGCCGGGAATTAAAAAGGGATAGCCGATTAATCCGTATGTCAAAACTGTGGGTATAACTCGTTGTAACCCGTCCCATGATGATTCAAATTGTGGGAGAGATACAAACGATGGTGCTCTCGGCATTTCAATTGCGCTGTTAACACCAAAGATGTTGACCGCGCCCTGGATACTGTTTATGAACTGAGTTTTGTAATGATCCGGATTAATTAGTGGCTTTTCGCATTGGTAATAATGTGGCATATTGTAAGCAACTCCCAAATCTAAATAGAAAGCGTCAAACTTGTATTTGTTCATTACAGCTCTCAGTTTGTCTTGAAACCATGGTATGGTTCGATTATACGTTATATCCAGCACTCCGGCACTTTCAAGTGATTTGTAGCGGGTCAATGCCGGAATTCGTCTATCACTAAATCTCTCAGAAATTAAATATCTATTCTTAACCGCATGAGCAAAACTTTCACTTTCTGTGGAAATATAGGGTTGAATTGTGAAAACTATGCGAAATCCTCTTCTGTGCATGATTGTAATGGTTTCCTCCAGTGAAGGAAATCGTTCTGTGTCAACGGTGAAATCCCCAATTTGCTTTTGCCAAAATTCGTTTATGAGCACGTGGCCTTGTTTTAGAAAACCAAGGGCGATAACGTCATCAGTGTAATTGGCAACCGCGCCTTCAGTAAATTCTTCTTTTGTAGCTGTCGTTATTTCCCACAGAGGTTCGGTGAGAAGAGAATAGATGATATTAATTTCCTCCTTTTTTAAACCGTCCCACAAAGTTTTTTCAGTCATAAACGAATGTAACCTAGTCATTCCGGAACCGATACAAACACTGTAGGTTAGATGGGGCAGAGGGTGCAATCTGTTCACAAATGCAAAACTATCATACTGTCCCTGCAGACACAGCTCTCTGCCCCGCTGATTACTTACAGACACGTACAGGGGCGTTTCATTATCTATCAGAATTGCTGCACCTTTTGAGTTGAGAAAAAATCTTCTGAGGACATTTCCCCATTCGTGTTTTTCAATTCTTCCGGTTACGAAGGGTGCAAAGGAATGCAGCCCTTTTTCTAAAGGCCATGCTGATTCCGAAGTCTGCCCTCCGCCGTACCAGTGCCCACTTCCAAGTGATAAATCGAAGCAATCAGTCGGATTGATGTTCTCGGAGAGAGATATCCACTGTAGATTATAACAGCGCACTTCTGGATTCAAGTCGTAATGCTTCAAATACAATCTTGCGCGATCCATCCACTCAAAACATATGCTCCCATCGTTCCTTTCATCGGCAGGAAGGCAAGAATGCGCCTGCTTGTAGTTCATTGTAATGCCAAGCCGCCCTCGGATCGAATTTATGCCGTCCAGATTATAAATTTCAATTAACCGAGCCGCTTTGTTAAATTTAATTTTTTCAAAGTACGCCCTTTGCAAAACTTTCTGCTGGTAAAGAACATAGGCGAGCGTGACGAGAAAGATAATTGTCAAAAAGAGAAAAGCGACACACGCCCGTATTTTGTAGTCGTGAGGTTTTTTCTTCTTGAGCACACCTGGAAACATCTAAAAAAAACAGAACCTTAACCTGCCCAACCAACGCGCTTTGGCACTCACCTGCATTTTTTCACGTAGCAAACTCGCCAATGAATTAATCGACGTAATTGAGTTTGCCGGTGAATTGCTTCTGTCGTCGTCATCCCCTTGAGGTTTCAACATCTTAAGTGGTGGACTGGTAACCGATTTTCTTCTGTAATTTTTCAAAGGTACACTAAAACAAAGGAAAACGTAATGATGTTGCGAAGTTCATTAGTGGTTTTGTCGCAGGAAGTTAAAAATTGTTTAAGTAACTGCTCAGGCGATGTATTTGAGAATGGCAATGACAGTCTACTGACGTGGATTGCTCTTCTGCTTGAGGGATGTGTGGGAAGTGAGATGATTGAAGTTTGACGAACTAAAAGCGCAATTATCTGCAAATCGTTTTGTAATTTTGTTAAGTATTTAGATCTAAATTTGTCAAATTCCACGAAGTTGCTTTGCCAGAAGTTCATTGTTAGTTTCTCGTACCTAATTGTTACGCATTTATTTATGCATAAAAGATATTACTTTAAGATCATTGTGTTCTCTTATATTAAACCCCTATTTTATGACTTTATTAAAAGATGATGGTTTAATTTTGTATGAAGATAAGGATGTTGCAAAAAATGGAGTCCGTATATAGGAATTATTTATGGAGGAAGGGGCTTTAGTGGAGAAGAGCTGGAAAGCGAATGAATTTGATCAACGATACAAAGCTAGATACAAAGGTTCCTGGTGATGACGGATTGCCAGAGAAGGTGCATGATGTCCATCTGGTTTGTAAAGTACATGAGACTGGAGAACTACCGTCATCAGATTTTGAAAAATGCATCACAATACCGTTGCCAAAAAAATCACCGGTTTTAAGCGACTCTATGACAGTCAGGAAGCACTACAAGGGCGGTGATCACTCTAGATACGTGGGGTATCATGACGTTATGCCGTGCAATTTTATTAAGACTCGATTTTTAAGAAAATCACCCGACGGATTTTGAAGAAATTTTTTATTCTAACGGTACTTCAATTTTCTACTAAAATGGTTGAATTCATCTTTACGATATTCCTTATAGATTTTGTGTTATAAACAAAAAACCGTCAAAAGTTGTAATTGATTAAAATTAAAATTAAATTATTTAAAATTTACCCCTCATCCCTGCAATCGTGTTTTGTGCATTTCAGGCATTCTCACTATCCCAAGATTATCACAAAGGTACCTGACAGTAAATTAAATTCTTTCTTTCCCATCGCAACAAATAAGTGATATTTTCGTTTGTTTGTGTTTTCTATCTGAACAAATTAAGATGGGTCGATTAAATAAATTGAATACAGATTTTTCTAATTTTTTCGAAAACGAATCGACCGATTTAAAAAAATCAAACGTCAAGATAAAGGACTTCGAAAGACCTTTCAAACAAGCTATTACTCGATACCATCTTGTCATTTAAAATTTTTAAGTTAATGGCCATGGGGGGCAGAAGGTGAAGGGGGGTGAAGTAACTTTTGGTTAAAAAGTTGTTGATCAAGTGATAACGATAGAAGTATGAAATATTATTATGAAAATAAAAAAGTGCAGTTAAGTAAAGTTTGTAGATGGCCATTTGATATATTGTGAAGTTTATTGAAGATTGTTAATGAAGACAAGTGACATCGAATGAAGTTAAAGAAAGAATTGTATACAATTTGTTTTAAATCTTTTTATTGAGTTAAAACCTACTTGCTTTTTAGATTGGATAGGTTACTTATTTTGGATTTTTGACATTAAATTTTTTAAGAATTTTAGAATTTTATGGGGATAGTTAATTAGGTTTTTAGGTCTGTCATTTTTATGTGGGATGTTTTTTGAGTAGGTTTAGGAGTTTTTAGGGTGTTCGATTTTTCACTTTTCTATGGGAAGCTCTCGTTTCTTTTATTGTTGTTTTTCGAATCTCATCAGGATTTCTTCGCTTTCAAAAACAGAAGGTGGTACTGTAACGGGTCGTATTAGATTGGATTTATTTTTTTGAATTTTTGTGTGCAAATACGCGAAAGTAGAATTTTTAAGTTGTATTCTCCCAGACAAATATTGCTCATGTTAATTTTCAAGTTTTAATTTTGATGATTGGAATCAAAGTGATGTGCGACATTTTCAATGCTTCTCTGTTCCTTTAATTGCGCCTAATCGTCAGTCACGGCAGAAAGTCTGGGTGAAAGCTCCAATCTCTGTGAAAAGTTACAATCCCTTAGGTCAGCACATTGCATATTTAAACCGTGGGAACCTCGCGTCAGCGATTCTAAATATGATTCACGACATTAAGACTAGCTTAGGGTTGAAAAAAAAATATTAGGAATAACCGCGTTAATCAATAGAACTCAAGCATCGCCATTTAAAAATATTGACGCCATTGACATATTTCCAAGGAGTAATTTCGTTTGAATGGCAGTTTTCAGTATGTACTTTCTATGGAAATGAAGGAAATTAACGTTTAGTGGAGCAGAGTTTCGGGTTTATGATCTGTAAAAGTGACAACTTGCCAATTGACCTCATTATTAGCCACTTTCAAAAGCTGCCGAGAAAGCCCACTTTACAAGTGAAAAAAAGATTAATAATCATGTGAACATAGGCTAATATAAAACAATTATTTAACAATTTGCTGTCAAAATTATTCATTGGTGGTTCTTCTAATAAAGAATCATGTTGTGCCATACATCGTTGTATTCGTAATTTTAAAAAACACTCAATACAGTACGTATTTTTCTCCGGTCCATATAAAAATAGTTGATGCGCTTATAAAGTGCCTATGATATCTTTTCAAGCAGGGCCAGAAAAAAATTGAAACGAATATGGTGAATTTCGGTTTATTTCGAACATATTTGGAACTGACTGTATTGTCTGTGTGGAGACCATTTTTTATATCAGATGTTAAATTGACATTTTAATAGGTTTGATTAAGTAGGCTAGGTCTTTCTTTAACAGTAAGAGTGGTTAAAGTGATCGCCTTAACCGCAAGGGTACATCAAGTAAAACAAATGATTGCATTCTATGAATGCTGTCATTCTTATAAAAAATGGGGCGCGGAGCATAAAATAAATAAAATTAAGTTTATTTAATAAAATTGTTTCCATGAAAACGGGAGAACCTAAACTTGCTATTTTTGACGTTAAATGAAATTCAGAATTTTCAGTAGCTAATGAACCGTATTGAAATAGACGCATTTTTGCAACTTTTAATTTTTATCAAAATTACAAATCACAATCGCTGATTCGTTTTGAAATGAACGCCCTTGAATTTATACTCAATCAATAATTCATAAAAATCGCAATTAAGGGATGAATTTTGTGTTACTGCAGGTGTATAGGTACTATTACTATTTCATAGCCTCATAAGGCATGAGCCTTATGTGAATATGATGATAGTTCGAACGTAAATTTGAGATACTATGATAATTAAATTAACGCTATTCCTTACCATACGCTGTAAGTTTAGTGAAATACACACGAAAAATAGAAACATATAAAATATACGAAAATGCAACGGTAATTAAATAATAAAATGAATACCTAAAGAATTTAGAACAAAGAATATTGCACTTGCGACCACACTAAGTGAAGAGTGAGTAGCAAACTGTGATTATTCTATTGAAAAGCACCCAGGCTTATTTTGCCTCCTTAACTTTGATGTATGCAATTACGATTTCCGCGGACGGACCATTAAATTATTACAGCAACTCTCTGCACTTAGCTGCATGTAGCATACGACTTGGAGAAATTAATAACGTGTAGTTTTGATTGAGACGTCTAATCGAATAAGTACGAATCGTTTTGGATATTTTCTTATAGAATGTGGCATGTAGAACCCATAATTTCAAACAGATCCAAGATCGGACTACTAGATCAAAAGTTACAACCCTTTGAATTTTTTGTCAAAATTGGTTTTACGCACCCAAATTAATAAGAAAAAGGTTTTTCCCGAGATATTTTGGTGCAGTCGATTTTTGGTAAAAAAGGAAGGTCTGCCTTTTTTTTGGCCCGAAAAAGAAATTGTATCCGATCGACCGGAGAAAAATATTTTCTTATAGAATGTGGCCTGTAGAATCCATAATTTTAAACAGTTCCAAGATCGGACTACTAGATCAAAAGTTACAGCCCTTTGAATTTTTTGTCCAAATTGGTTTTTTGCCCATAACTTTTGATTGAGACGTCTAATCGAAAAAGTAACAATCGTTTTGGATTCTACGCACCCAAATTAATAAGAAAAAGTTTTTTCCCGAGAAATTTTGGTGCAGTCGATTTTTGGTAAAAAAGGAAGGTCTGCCTTTTTTTGCCCCGAAAAAGAAATTGTATCAGATCGAGCGGAGAAAAATATTTTCTTATAGAATGTGGCCTGTAGAATCCATAATTTTAAACAGTTCCAAGATCGGACTACTAGATCAAAAGTTACAGCCCTTTGAATTTTTTGTCCAAATTGGTTTTTTGCCCATAACTTTTGATTGAGACGTCTAATCGAAAAAGTAACAATCGTTTTGGATTCTACGCACCCAAATTAATAAGAAAAAGTTTTTTCCGAGAAATTTTGGTGCAGTCGATTTTTGGTAAAAAGGGAAGGTTACTGCCTTTTTTTTGCCCCGAAAAAAAATTGTGTCAGATCGACCGGAAAAAAGTATTTTCTTATAGAATGTGGCCTGTAGAATCCATAATTTCAATCAGTTCCAAGATCGGACTACTAGATCAAAAGTTACAGCCCTTTGAATTTTTTGTCAAAATTGGTTTTTTGCCCATAACTTTTGATTGAGACGTCTAATCGAAAAAGTAACAATCGTTTTGGATTCTACGCACCCAAATTAATAAGAAAAAGTTTTTTCCCGAGAAATTTTGGAGCAGTCGATTTTTGGTAAAAAAGGAAGGTTTTAAACCACTGCCTTTTTTTGCCCCGAAAAAAAAATTGTCTCAGATCGACCGGAAATTGGACTTGGAGAAATTAATAACGTGTAGTTTTGATTGAGACGTCTAATCGAATAAGTACGAATCGTTTTGGATATTTTCTTATAGAATGTGGCATGTAGAATCCATAATTTCAAACAGTTCCAAGATCGGACTACTAGATCAAAAGTTACAGCCCTTTGAATTTTTTGTCAAAATTGGTTTTACGCACCCAAATTAATAAGAAAAAGTTTTTTCCGAGAAATTTTGGTGCAGTCGATTTTTGGTAAAAAGGGAAGGTTACTGCCTTTTTTTTGCCCCGAAAAAAAATTGTGTCAGATCGACCGGAAAAAAGTATTTTCTTATAGAATGTGGCCTGTAGAATCCATAATTTCAATCAGTTCCAAGATCGGACTACTAGATCAAAAGTTACAGCCCTTTGAATTTTTTGTCAAAATTGGTTTTTTGCCCATAACTTTTGATTGAGACGTCTAATCGAAAAAGTAACAATCGTTTTGGATTCTACGCACCCAAATTAATAAGAAAAAGTTTTTTCCCGAGAAATTTTGGAGCAGTCGATTTTTGGTAAAAAAGGAAGGTTTTAAACCACTGCCTTTTTTTGCCCCGAAAAAAAAATTGTCTCAGATCGACCGGAAATTGGACTTGGAGAAATTAATAACGTGTAGTTTTGATTGAGACGTCTAATCGAATAAGTACGAATCGTTTTGGATATTTTCTTATAGAATGTGGCATGTAGAACCCATAATTTCAAACAGATCCAAGATCGGACTACTAGATCAAAAGTTACAACCCTTTGAATTTTTTGTCAAAATTGGTTTTACGCACCCAAATTAATAAGAAAAAGGTTTTTCCCGAGAAATTTTGGTGCAGTCGATTTTTGGTAAAAAAGGAAGGTCTGCCTTTTTTTTGGCCCGAAAAAGAAATTGTATCAGATCGACCGGAGAAAAATATTTTCTTATAGAATGTGGCCTGTAGAATCCATAATTTCAAACAGTTCCAAGATCGGACTACTAGATCAAATGTTACAGCCCTTTGAATTTTTTGTCGAAATTGATTTTTTGTCCATAACTTTTGATTAGTGATGTGGATTGTAAAATAACGATTTGTAAGTTACATAAAAAACGGTTATATTACGCGTAACTTACAAGAGGTCGGTTTTTTTATGTAATTTATGTCTTTTATGAAATTGACGTAACTTACGTTTTTTATTTAAAAAATCGTAATTTTTGTAAGTTACATAAATGTAATACCTATTTCATACATTTTGATCGGTAAATAAAATACATAAAAAACATAAACAATTGGTAATTTTACACGTAATATTACGCACTTAAAAAAAACGTGTAATTTAACATCACTACGTGTAAGGTTTACCTGATGTTGGCCATTTCGATTTTATCCTCATCTTTACTCATCGTTTACGAACAGGCAATTATTCTTAATAATCACTTTTAAAACTATTTAGGAATTAGTATGTTGGTACCTTCTACTGTAGGTACCTAATCTTATCTTTATGAAATTTCGAGTAGGTACGTTGCGCCAAAGATCAAAGAAGATCAAAAGAAAAATACTCGTATTTCATATCAGGTAATGTGTAATTTCGTTTACGTAGGTACCTTTGTGGAGAGGTCCGCTTAGTGATTTGGTACCTATCAAATATTTGCATAGCATTTGATTTTACAGCCCTTGCTATCTAATTAACTTATGTATCGTACGAGGGGACATTTTTATGTAATCGACCTAGATATGAAAGAAAAGGAATTTAAGGCACATGTTTCCCTCCGTTTCTGTAATAAACAAATACCTTCAAAAATATTCTAATCATTCTAATGTGGTGGCCTGCGCAGGGCAACCTAAAGGAAGCAGCGCCTCGAAGTCACTGGAGCCATGAAAACCAATGATCTTTTCTTCTTATTAACTGCCACTATTGTGAGTGCGGTTAATAGGTTAGGGAGCGGAATTACTGGTCTAGCATCCGTTTCCTACACGAATAGCTGACTCGGTTGCGCTATAGGAAACAGAAAAATATGACCCGCAGACTGATAGATAGCAATTTCCATTTAAATAGCCATAGAATCAATTAGATATAGAGCTAAAAACCGCTTCCTCATTTTATAGACGAGCTGTTTACGTATTACGCCAGTTATGAGTACTAGAAAACCATAAGCCAATATCTATACACTCAATTATCACTGCCAATCAGAAATCACCACAAAAAGTAAAATAAGTACTTGCCTGGGTTTGACTATGAACTCGTCATCAGATGTATCACTTTCCACATGTTGCGTCTTCTGCGTGTCCTGCAACAATGAAGAAATACTCAAAAACGACAGAAAGCACAAAGTGGAAATTGTATTAGAACATAATTATATACCAGTCCATAGAATGTATTTTCACAATTCATGCCGTGTCCTTGAAGTCATTTTTCGCTTTTCCTATTAATTTTCCTGCGAATTTAAAAATGAAAAAGTCTCCAAAAAAATTCTTGTGGGATTTTCTTTACAGAAAAGCGAGAATTGTATAAGACTGGCATTGTGCAGTAGGTGTGCGGCATTAGTTTCGAATGTTATCTTTTATGATTTCAATAAAAGGAACTGTTCTCTACCAACTTACCGCCCCTTGTTTCTTATCCCTTATGAAAATTGAGGGTTGGCGGGGGGACTGGTTTTATCCTTCATGGTGCTCTAACGTAAGGTCTCAATGAAAAGAATTTATTCCTACTAACCATAGTCATCCTCCTCCTCCTCGACCCCTTATCGTGATCTATTATAATTGCTTATATCTCAAGAGCGGATTCCAGGAGGAGGGTATTCACAAAGAGAGATTTTGTTTGCGACATTTTGAAATCATTTTCAATTACGAATAGTTACATTGATTTTTTTAAGTGTTCGCCCTGAAGCTCTGCATAACATTTAAAAGGATACGTATACGTATACATAGATATAATTTCCCGGATCGCATCAAGGCATAGCAATTTTAGATTGGAACTTAAATAGCACCTTTTGACCACCACTACTCAAAAGTTTGGTATACCTATCTGAAATTTGAATTAAACACGATCACACCACGAAAACGAACAATTAAATACCTTCATAATCATAACTGTGATGTAAATTGTCGATTTTCACAACTTGGCGGATGTGGTAGACATACGACTAGACAGACTGTCCTCTATGATTGTGGAGCAACAGGTTTACCAAAAATACCTAACAATAATAACATTCCTCATTAAATAAATTTGCACTTACCAACTGTTGAGACATTCTATTCTCGGTTCATTTTAAAATAGCCCTCGGCCGGGTAGTTTTTTTCCATTATTCGAGATATAATAATAAATTAGGTGGGTTTTACGCTTGAGATCTATTTATTGGGGTCGTTTATATTGATAACTCAATGAGGGTAGTTCTTTACATATCCAATCCTTAAAGTTAAATCAATAACTTTGAAATTGTCAGCACAAACAACAAAATTATCATTCTAGGTTATCACAACTACGACTATTCGATAAGAAAATGATTTGCGTAAATTGTGGTTAATTTGGTAATTGTATGTTTTGAGCATTTTCATTTTCCAAATTATTGATACTCTCCCTCGTTAAGAGAAAGTGGGATAGCCAAAAAAGGTATAGGTACATAAAATCTTCGTTTTCTTTGTAGGAAAGACAGTAGTGAACAAAATAGCCGCCTTACACAATAAATTAGTTGCGTACGTAAAATGCGATGTAATAAAGGCAAAAGGTTACGTATGGGCAGATGGTACAACAAATGCACACAAAGTGTTAGGAGGAACTTGCACAGTACCGGACATCATAGATTTTTTGGGAATATAAAAAAGCAAAGTACAACAATTGACATTTACAAATGTTTATTTAAAAAAAAACAATGGTTTAACACATGAAAAAGCCAAGGGGTTGCCACTTAGTGAAAAATCTTTACAAGTTCAAAGGATACCCGAGATTTTCTAAAGACTACCCGAAAATACTATTATTATCCCTCTTTATTATTATCCCTCTCTTGTTTTGGGCCCTCAACAGGCATGCGCCCAATTACAGAGTGACCCGCATAATGCTATTAACATACATACATACATAAAAATCTCCGAAGAATTCCAAGATTTCCCAAGAATTGCTAGAGATAGAGATTATCGTTCGTTTTTGGCCAAAAATATTCATTTAAAACTACTTTTTGCCAGAGTATGCTATCATAGTAGACAGCATAATAATTTGGCGAGTTCAGTTAAGACATTACCACAGTTATAGTTTATTTTGTCTGTTTATTAACAAGCTCCTAAGCGAGTTTATCATTTTGGATGTTCTCTGCCCGTTCGTGCGTCTGTGTACATGATAGCTCACGAACGGTTTCAAAATTTCAAACTCTGTTTTCAGTAATAACTAGACATTGGTCAAGGGACTAACAGATTTAATTTTGGGCATTTGGATTTTCTGTGCGGTCGTCTATGTACATGACAACCCTTATCGTTTGTGTACATGATAATTCGCGAACGATTTCGAATTTTTCAAAGTTTTCAGTACGTATTATGCGAGGTGTTATGCGAGATATTATGTTTTATCATCACGACAGCACACAAGGAAGAACTGATAAATTTCCAGTGATCCAGGAGGTCCAGTCCGTCCGCCCATCTGTACCAACTATAGCAAACGTGTGTTGCCATAATGCCCCATGTCGGCCATGTTTTTTTCCAATTTATTAGTGAGTTGATTGGTTTAACCGAATTAGTAGACTTTGCTATTGTTAAAATAATGGTGCCACAAGATTTTATAGTTTCTAATGACCTATAATAATAACTATAGAATATCTTAAAAGGCGAGGTTCTAAGTGTTTCTAAAAATATTCTAGGAAGGTTTTGACACGATTCCCAGAAAATTTTGAAATATTTGTAAAAAAAAATAGAAAAATAGAACATTGAATACTACCAAATCGCAAGGGGAGCATATGAATTAAAAATTTGAACCATTTATGAAATTAGGCAACCAACATTAGTAATAAATCAGCTATTAAATAAGAGAGGGTGCACCATATTTTAAAAACCAAAGATAATAAATAAATTGTGCTGCCACATAGTGTTGAATACGAGGTCGAATAGTGGTACTATCTAATTATACAATTGGTTTGTGTATATAGGTACTCTAACTTAGAATATATGATGGCTTCCATGGCCTTCTGCAGATTCCTTTGCATATTTTTAGGGGATACAAAATATCTCGTTGTCTTTTACATAGGTCAAATTAGATTAAACGCAAAAATCGATTATGTATTCAATCAGAGCTATGTTAATTCCTAGTGTGTAATTCAACAAATTCAAAGCATGCTTTTTTGTTTAAGTAGCCCTTCTGCACTTGTATACTTAGCAAAGGTGGAAATTTTGTCTGTATAAATAATACTGCAGTCGCAATCGCAATCTCGAAATAAAATTTTTGACTTTGGTTAATTTAAGTTATCTTAATTCTTTAATGCTTTGGCGTGGTCTTATATTAACATATTTGCTTTATTTAGAAAAAAAAACTGGTTGTGTTTTTATTTCGAATTTCCCGTCGTTTATCTAAAAAAATGCACTGGAAATTCTTTTCCGATTTAAAACTACTAGTAAAATTCGCTTAACTTATTGCCAACTTCATACATGATTTCATACATGATGGAGAATTGGATACGGCAACGTTACAAACTGAAATTTCCTAATTTTGTTTTTAATTTTAACAACCTGTCTTCTTTTTCGGAGGGACCCCCACGCACGCTCAAATATAATCTTACTCGATCTTATATTAACAAATGAGAAAGGAACGTTGACTATGTCATGTTTATCTGTCTCGTCTTTAGACAAACAACAACATTCTTGTACATATTGTAAATCATTATACGAGGACGGCTTCGTATAATAATAATTTACACTTTTTGGATCAAATCCCATTAACCAGCAAATGAATCAGCATCGAGAACAACCCTGTATTCTTCAATCAATTATTACCAAAGCACAATCCAGAGAGTAGTCATCGAGAGGTTGTTTCAAGCCGGCGGGTTGAAGTATGTCACCCTTTAGAAAACATCTGATATCTACCCCAGGACTGACGAGAAAAAAATAGCCGAAAGAATTCAAGATCTTACACGGCGAAGAAAACATTGTAAATAAAGAGGTTAGTTGTATTTATAGATTTTTTTCAAATTTATTTGATAACTTTAAGATCCGTTATCAAAGGTAAATATTGATCTGTTGTAATCGTGCTAGTAAAATTTAATAGGAGTCGAACAATAGGTGTAGTGTAGTTTATTAGAGAACTATAAGGGCTAATCGACGACATTTAAGTAAATTTCCAGTAATACAGTTTTCTTTTCCAGTTTTACTCAAACAAAAAGGAAGTGCCCAAAAAATTATTTGTAACGAACGGTCCCTTGCAAAATGGCACCCAATAGTGAAGCTTAAGTACCCGTTATAAAAATTTCTCGTAGGTGCCATCTTCATCTCTGTGACAAAGTCCCTGCGATATATTGCGCGTACAAAAAATTCAACGGAATTGGACTACAACTATCATCAGCAACGGGAGACATTACGATCGGGCTACTCAACGTTCAACTTTTTCACCACCCTTATTGCATTCTCAGAGTTAGGTATTAATGACAATCGTCCATTCCGCTCTTACAATACAACGTTCTTATTTCATGGGACGTATACTCATTCCTGCAAATGAACTTATTGCAACATTAGAATTTAATAACGTACTTTCGACACTATAAAATTCTTCGTTTACAAGTAATTGACGATACCTTAGAAAACTCACCTCTTGCTCACTAACACTTCGATGGTAATTTTCCAACAAATTAAGCTCTAAGGCATCCAAATTTGGCAAAGAAATACTGTTCCTTCTGAACGACGCCGTACATTCTGGAACGTCGGGCACGTCCTTACCGTCCCCTGATTCCTCATCCATGTCATCTTCCTCGTCACTAGGTGCAGAAGGTGCGGGAATCGCCCAACCTGGGGATCGTTGTTCCGCCGCAAGAGAGGAAGACGATGCCGAATCCACAACAATAATAGGAACGGTAAAGGGAATCTTGGGTTTCCTCTTTTTCCCAAAAAGGGTTTTCTTTTTGTTATTCATTTTGAAATAGCGCACTTTTCACTTGTTTTACATACATTTGTAATCACTCGCGCATCTCACACAAAGTGTCTACCTCAATATCTAATTATAAACAGGAACGAAATGTGCTACCGCCATCTCAAACAGGTTTTCTATTTAATCAAGTTTTAACAACCTATTTTTTTACGAATTTGGATTTACGTAAAAGATGTAAATTGGTAGGTAATGTAATAAGCAACCTTCTGACGTTCGAGCGGTGTTTGTTTTGAGCAAACTCCAGAAGCGAACAGGTACCTAGTTAATATGCGCACCTCTAATAACCAAAACTACATAATATATACGTTATTGACTCAAGGTAAATGAATAAATATTTATCTATGCGTTTTATGAACTGTAATACTTAATCATAGAGCCCGACAACTACTTTACGATTATTGTTGTTAGACATGAATACTTGAAATTGCGCACAACTTGTTGCGTTAGTAGTTACATTTCTACTTATTTCTTAAAATATACGTATTTCAGTGAGATAATCTTTTTTCCCACCTAAGCTTAGTGTGGGTGTTATGTAAGAGGACAAACAATTATTGTGTAGGCATGCAGTTGATAATGAAAAGTTGTCGTGTTATTATTTATCCCCAAATTTTAATTTTATAATCGTCGTTTACGTAACTTTTTAGTTTGTTAAAATAAATTGATATCTTATCCACTTTCTTATAGGTAAGTGGTACCATTTGATACAGTCATGCATTGCTTGTTTTGCTGTTAATTGACCTTGTAACATGTATTTAAAATTTGTTTTTATACAAGAATAAACAACGGGTCGTTGGCTACTATTGTTCATTTCTTTTATCCTTGTCTCCAAACTTCCCAAGGAAATACAATTTACAGAAGTCCACAGAGTTCAAAATCATTTACAAGAAGTGCACTTCTGGGCACAGCAGGCTAATAGTACAACGCCCGTGAAAATATCGGAAAAATACAGCCTCGAAAAATTCCGAAGAAGTAGGTAATTGTCAAAGTCCCTGCCTGATATCGAAAGGACTTCTTCAGCGCATTTTTATGCGACAGATACTGATTCTAATATTCGCCAGTTTTGACTCCATCATCAATCAGATCTTGTCGACGGCTACCACATTCCTTTTACCGGTACCCATTTCCGACCCATTCATCCGCAATTCGCGTTTTGACTCCACCAGGAGTAAGATCTGGTCGGGGGCTACCACATTCTTTTGCCGGTATCCACGTACGACTTCCCGTTCACCCGTAATTGTCATTTTGGTAGATTTCGCTAAAAACACAAAATAGTAGGTACTTAATTTTGGGGGCACCATAGCACGAGCCACGAGAAAGAGAGCTTTAAAAAATTTTTGGACGCTTGTTCTCGAGGATGCGCGCCTTGCAAAAGGTGGTTAATTTTGCCCATAAGAAAATTCAAATTCATATCTTGGGCATCGAAAACCAAACTTATACATCTCCAAATGCATGTGTAAAGAATCTAAAACTTTTGACATAGACCACAGAGAAGAGTTATATTGAATTTTTAATTGTTGTTTATTAATAAACTTTTGTTTGTTGTACTGTCAAAATTAAAAAAATTACATAAAAAGAGAACTTAACCGCTCAACAGACGTATGATATACGTTTACACGCTAGTTCTAACCTATGTGAAGAGAAAATTGCGACGAATGTAGAATGATATATGAAGGTGTCGTGACAAAAAAGTGAAGAAGACCGTGAGCGAGGCGTATTAGGGGATGTGGAGAACGCGTAACGGGGAAGAGATGGAGACATGAAAGTTAGTAATTAGTACGCCTGAATGGGAGGCAAGTGGGTATTATGTAAGTGCCCCTTCACCCTAGGCGGTTACAGAGCTGCTTAGTAGGAGCATTGGCTTATATGAAAGCCCTCACACGAAGCGATCGCGGCAGTTGAAACATTTAACACTAAACATTTAATGTAACGCAAAGTGAAAAAAGAAGTTCTATTTGTTACACAAAAAGACTCAGCGCACTTTCTAAGAAATGGATTTTATCTTTTATGGTATTACATCAATGGCCGTTTGGACCGGCAAATTTCAGCGGGGCTTAGCTTAAGTGTAGCTTAAAATCCATGGTAACTATTGTCTCAATATTCGCTGCCATGGATTTTAAGCTACGTTTAGGCTAAGCTCCGCTTAAATTTGTCGGTGCAAACGGCCACAAAGGTCTCAACAAAAGGAACTGTACTTTACCAACTACCACCCTTCTTTCTTACCCCTTATCAATTTGGCGTAGCGGTCTCTAACTTGCCAGTTTTTATAGTGGTATAGATAGAACACCTCCTGACTGCCATGCTTCGGAGGGCATATAAAGCTGGCGGTCCCGGCAGTCATACCACAATTGTTGCACAGACCTAGGGACCTAGCGAGTGCCACCCATACGGTACGATACGGTACCCCTTATCAAAACAGGGGATAGGAAAGGGGGACTGGTTTTATCATTCATGGTGCTCTAATGAAAGGAATTTATTCCTACCAACCATAGTCCTTGTCCTCATCCCCTAATCGTGATCGGTTATAATCCCTCATATCTCTAGAGCGGATTGTGGGAGGAGGGTAAAGTAAAATGAACGAAAAACTTGTCTTCAGCACTAGCTCTTAAGTTATCATACAGTTTATGACGAAATCCATAGAAGATATTAAGTAAATTAAACAGTTGCATATTGAAGGATGCGTGAAGAAGTTGGGAATGAGTAAAATAATAACAAGGCTTGAGACATATCGGTGGGAGGAAAAATGTAAAAATATGTGTAGCGCCGGTACCAAAGCGGCAATCACCAAGATTGCGCTCTAAGACCGATAGAGGGCGTCATGAAAAATGAGGGAGATACGTCAATGAAATTCATTGCCGTTGTTACCTTGTGCCTTGTGCTTGCATATGCAGTTGATCTGTTCATTATTTTAGTTATAGAATCGTAGTGTTAATTTATAGTTAAATAAACAGAAGATCTATAGTGGTGACCCCGATTAAAAAACGAGTTATATACCTACGTGAACAACACGATTAAAAATTCGGTTATCTCGCCTTCGCGCAATTGTCTGCGGTATTCTGATAAAGACACGCCATCTTGTCGATTCGTCGTTTAAAGATAATTTTAAATAACGACCCAATATGCCAAACGATAATCTTCCCGGTCAACCTCCCGCGGCTACTGAAAATGTGCCAACCGCTGTTTCCGTGGATCGTTGTAAATTGCCACCGTTCTGGCGCGCGAATCCTGAACTTTGGTTTGTACAAGTCGAAGCCGTCTTCGCTGTACACCGTATCACAACAGACTCTACAAAATACAATCTAGCTGTGGCGAACCTTGATCCCAATACGGTAGTCGAAGTTGCAGACATTTTGCGTTCGCCCCCGACTGCAGAGAAATATACCGCCCTTAAAACCGCGATACTTGCACGCTTGATGGACTCCGCTGATAGGCAATTGCACAAAGCTCTTACAGGTCTCGAGCTGGGCGACCGCAAGCCCTCACAGCTACTACGGCAAATGCAGCTTTTAGCCGGAGATCGCGCTTCAAATGATGTCCTTCGTGTAAAATGGCTCGACTTATTGCCGCCAACCACGCGACGTTTGCTGCAGGTATTTAAAGCATCCAATCTCGAGGAATTGGCAGTTGCCGCCGACGAAATTGAGGACCTCAACCCGACAGTGGTGTCCACATCAACCAGCAGCTCCAACCTGGCAGCCGTGACGCAGCCATTCAAACCATCGCACCCGCAGGCCGATATGGTTGCCGCCGAGTTGGTTTCATTGCGCACTTCAATCAATCAGCTAACCGCAAATATCAAGTCGCTGGTGGCAGGTGCTCCGCGCACATCAGTTGGGCCACGAAGAGGTCGCAGTCGCTCACGGACGCCATCTCAAGCGCGGGAGAGCTCTTCCACATCTGCTCGATCTGAACGCGTGTGCTGGTATCATAATCGATTTGGCTTGCAGGCGAAATATTGTCACTCCCCATGTTCATACGCCAAGGCTTCGGAAAACTAGGTCCACCGACGCCGCATAAGGTGGTCGCCGTTGGTGAGTTACTCATTGAAAACCGCCTTCTTGTCACAGATAAACGCACATCCATGCGATTCCTAGTGGACTCCGGATCCGTAATCTCACTCATCCCCAGAAAGGCGATATCAAAGCGCCTTCCACGGCAAGAGCTGGACCTGCACGCAGCCAATTCTTCTGTCATCGCAACTTATGGCACGAAAGAATTATCACTGAATATTGGTCTCCGGCGAGATTTTACCTGGCACTTCACCATTGCTGACGTCCAATTGGCAATCCTTGGAGCCGATTTTCTGCAGAATTTTGGCCTTATCATCGACTTGCGACAAAAATGCATTATCGACCCGCTAACATCACTATCGACTCCTGCTCAACTCGCGCCAGCACAAGTGCATAGCGTGGCAATTGCTCCAGGTGTCAGTGTGCCCGACGGTGACCTTGGGTCCGTTTATGCGCGGCTTGTCCGTGAGTTCCAGAGCTCGCCGGCTAATCGCAAAACGATGGCAGTCCTGTCCGACTTTCCAGTACAACACGTCATTGTTACTAATGGACATCCAGTTTTTGACCGTCCCCGTCGCCTGTCTGGAAAGCGTCTAGCAGCTGCGAAAAATGAATTTGATTTACTGTTGAAAAGTGGAGTTATCCGGCCTTCTTCAAGTCAGTGGGCCAGTCCTTTACATATGGTACCAAAAAAAGGTGGCGGTTGGCGAGCGACAGGAGATTATAGACGTCTGAATGCCACCACAGTCCCTGACCGCTACCCTCTACCTATCATAGAGGATCTTCTACAGGAAAGCAAAGGATCGGTATTTTCCGTCGTGGATCTCCATCGCGCTTTCTATCAAATCCCTGTGGCAGCCAAGGATATTGCAAAAACCGCCGTTACAACGCCTTTTGGGTTGTACGAATTTATTGGTATGCCAATGGGACTTCGCAACGCCGCCCAGACCCTCCAGCGGACAATGAATCATCTCCTTAAAAAAATGGATTTTGTCAAATGCTACGTCGACGACATCTTGGTCCATTCCAAATCGCACGAAGAGCACCGGCATCACCTCATTGAACTCTTCACAGTGCTTCAAGCTGCAAACCTCCATCCCAATTGGGCCAAGTCAACACTGGGCGCATCACAGGTAATTTTCGCAGGCTATGATGTTTCGAAAAACGGCTTCAAACCACCCGCTGCCAAGGTGCAAGCGATTCTCGACTTCCCAAAGCCACTCGATTCAACTGAGCTCCGGCGTTTTTTGGGTGTGATGAATCATTATCGTCGTTGCATCCCTCATGCAGCCCACCTGCAGGCTCCATTGACCGAGTTTTTAAAAGGAGCTCCAAAAAAGCAGGTTAAATTACAGTGGACTGAAGCGGAAGAAAAAGCATTCATCGATTGCCGCGCAAGTATCGCTAAAGCTGTCGGCGCCGCCTTTCTCGAGCCCGCAGCCCGTCTCGCACTTCGCACGGACGCTTCTAGCAACGCCATTGGCGCCGCCCTAGACCAGTGGCAAGAAAACAAATGGGTTCCTTTGGCATTCTTTTCCCGCAAGCTCTCCCCCACTGAGCAACGATACAGCACCTATGATCGTGAGCTCCTTGCAGTGTTCGCTGCAATCAAAAACTTCAGGCGAATCCTTGAAGGACGCCCTTTCACAATTTTCACGGACCATAAGCCGTTAGTATACGCCCTCGCCCAACGTGCAGATAAGGCATCTCCCAGGCAAGTAAATCATCTGGATTTTATCGCTCAATTTGATGCACGATTCGAGTTCACCCCAGGAGTAGAGAACTGTGTCGCTGACGCGCTCTCTCGCTCATGCACAATCGCGTGGCCAACTATGTTAGATGCGGCCACAATAGCGACGGCCCAAGTTACAGATGAGCAACTGCCACACTTACTCCGTAAGTCAAAAATCAAACTACGCTCCCTCAACCTCGACGGCCACATGCTTTACTGTGTGGCTTATAACAACTTATTGAAGCCGTACATACCAGTTCAATTACGACGTCAAGTCTTCGATGCTGTTCATAATCTGGCGCACCCAAGTGGTCGCGCCACTGCAAAAAAGATACAAGAAACGTACTATTGGCCCAGCCTAAGAAAAGACGTCTTTCGATGGGCACAGCATTGCGAAAAGTGCCAACGTGCCAAGGTCTCTAGGCACAATCGCGCAGAACTTGGTAAATTCGACACACCGAACACAAGGTTCCAACACATCCATGTGAACCTCATCAAGCTTCCACTCACGGATGGGTTACAATTTTGTTTAACGGTGATAGACCGTTTCACTCGTTGGCCTGTCGCAGCCCCCATTACAGACAAGTCAGCCGAAGTGGTTGCCCGAGCGCTTTGGGAGAATTGGATTTGTATGTTTGGAACACCGCTCACAATTACATCTGACCAAGGTAAGGAGTTTGAGGCCAAATTAATTGCCGCTCTATATCGTAGAATCGGAGCTAAACACCAGCACACGACTCCTTACCATCCTAAGGCAAATGGTATGGTGGAGCGGCTCCACAGAACGTTAAAAACCGCCCTTATGTGCCACCCACAGACACCGTGGCCACAAGCACTGCCCTTGGTTCTCCTCGGCATGCGTACAGTTTTAAAAGAAGATTTGCAAGCCTCACCGGCGGAAATGGTTTTTGGAACCTCGTTGAGAATACCGGGAGAGTTCTTTCGCACCCAAGAACCGCCCGTCTCTGAAACAACTTTTTTGGACAAACTGCGCTGTCTCTCGCAAGCCATCCGTCCAGTTCCTGCGTCGAATCACGTAGGAAGCAAACCATTCTTTTTCACAAGCTTACGCACCTGCACCCACGTGTTCTACAAGATTGGGAAAATACGCAGCCCACTGGAGCCTCCGTATTCAGGTCCACATCTGGTCAAACGCCGTATTAACGATCGCAACTACGTCATCGAAGTAAATGGGAAAGAAAAAACAATTTCCACAGACGACCTCAAACCTGCATTCATTGAATTCTCCGAACCCAGCAAGCCGACTTCTAGATTAATAGACAGCAGTCCAACTCCACCTCTGTTACAGGATCCTCAGGTATCGCCGCCAAAACCAGCTCGAATGTCACATGCTACAAAAAGAAAAATGGTGTCGTTCCCTGCATCTTCAGAGCAGCTCACTGGGGAAGGAGTGGATGTAGCGCCGGTACCAAAGCGGCGATCACCAAGATTGCGCTCTAAGACCGATAGAGGGCGTCATGAAAAATGAGGGAGATACGTCAATGAAATTCATTGCCGTTGTTACCTTGTGCCTTGTGCTTGCATATGCAGTTGATCTGTTCATTATTTTAGTTATAGAATCGTAGTGTTAATTTATAGTTAAATAAACAGAAGATCTATATATGTGGAGGCAATCCTAAAGAGTGCAATCATTGAATAAGTTACTTATTCACACATACATGTCATACATATTCAATGGTGTAATTGGCTGTCAATTACAAGAAAAGTTAAATATATCATATTTTTAAAAAACAAAAAAACAACATTTAACGTCTTAGAAAATAATCGCGAGACCAGAAATTTTAGAAAAAATTGGTGAAAATCCAACATAATCCCAATAAAAGTTTCGCAACTTCCTTATTTTGTTGAGATATCACCCTGAGGTGAGTTTTTGTTGGACAGAGAAATGATTAGAGCGTGTAGTGGACAACCTGGCACTTCCTGCTCCGGAACGGCCCTACCCCAAAGTTTTTTTTTTCTTATGAACCGTAGTCGCCGGTTCTCTCATTCCTTCTCTGTCGACCGTTTTCGAAAAAGGGTGGTGTACTTTAATGAGCCCTAAGAAAATGCTCGAGGATAAATCTGTGGCTATTTTTTTTATAAAAGAGTGTATACAGTTCACGGGTTTAGTGGCAAATGGTTCTGAAGTGCTGAAATGGCCTCATTCAAGCTCTGAAAACCCCTGGAGGATATGCATCCAATAGATCACGCAATTTTATTCTAATCCATTTATTGAATTTTATGACGTGATGAGTCCATGTGGTAATATACGTTCTATAAGAGTACTGCAAAACGCAGTCGGCCATATAAAGCTCCAATTCACTTTTGTTATGTTAATAATACATCTTTCCCAATGTGATCGGCTCCTAAGTATTTGAACTCGGTGATAATGGGGCAAAATTCTAGTGCTTTATTTTTTCCCCCAGAATTTCGTGGTTGGCAGTTTTGACTGTAGAATTTTCAGTTTGATTTTTGAAAAATCTAAATATTTAGTTATTAAGTAAATGAACTAATTTGTATGTAACGAGATGAATTTATCGAATATTTTAATCGGTGCTCATTTATTGAGGCGTCACCCGTTGTTCTTACGTTCATCGTACAACAGAATCCTTACCCTAACCTCACATTCTAGAACTTTCACATTAGCATCTCATTTTAAATGCACGTCTAGGTTAATCCAAAGGGACCGAAGCAAATTAGTGGACAGATGTAAATGCGCGCTTGGATTCCGTTACTTTGCCACTAAAGATGAATCTGGTGGAGGCGATGAGCAGCCTCCACCGCAAGATGATAATTACAACCCCCACACTGCTTTGCCTGCGACCGTGGTTGTGCCAGAAGTCTGGCCGCACGTCCCTGTAATTGCAGTTAGTAGAAATATAGTTTTTCCCAGATTTATAAAGCTGATAGAGGTGAGTTTTGCTTCCGACGATTTGTTGCACTGCATTCTAATTTTCAGTTAACGAATCCTACTTTGATTGAACTGATTAGACGTAAAGTGAAACTTAACCAACCTTATTGCGGAATATTCTTAAAGAAAGAGGAAGAAAACGATTCTGAAGTTGTTAAAAATCTTGGTGATGTTTACAATGTCGGTGTATTCGCGCAAATTCACGAAATGCAAGATTTAGGCGACCGGCTCAGACTGGTCGTAATGGCGCATCGACGTATTAAAATTACAGGTCAAATTCTTGAAAATGAGGAGGAGGCCCCGCGAGGTAACATGAAATTCTTTATATATGAACGAAAAGAGTAGTATTTGCTCTTTTCCGGTAGAGATGAAACTTAAGTTTCCTCCTTTTAAGACGTCTTTGAACGTTTTTGTAGACGAATCCGATAATGATAAGAGACGGCGAAAAGCTCGTAATAATCGTGGAAAGAAAACTTCGACGACAGTCGATACGAAACAAGCCGAGACACAGTCGAAACAACCAGAAGAGGGTCTCTCTGTGAAAGATTTACTTTTAATGGTGGAGGTTGAAAATGTGGTTCATCATAAATTTCGCCAAACGGAGGAGGTGAAGGCTCTTACTCAAGAAGTTATCAAAACGATTCGTGACATTATCAGCCTCAATCCTCTGTATAGGGATAGTTTGCAACAAATGATGCACCAAGGGCAGCGAGTTGTTGATAATCCGGTTTATCTCAGCGATTTGGGTGCTGCTCTTACTGCTGCCGAAGGGCATGAATTACAAGAAGTTTTAGAGGAATTGGACGTATGTTGTTCATATCTTTTTTTTAAATATTTTTTTGTATCACTGACAGGAATAAAAACCTAATTTTGATGTTTTAAACCCAATTTGATTTTTAATTGGGATACTTTAAGAGCAAATTTAATTAATAGGTACACGATTAATTTTAATTAAGTAGGTTGAGGACAGTAGTAGGAATGTAAATTTAATAAGGCAAGGCCTAATTGCTATAATTTTAGATCCCTAAACGCCTGCTGCTGTCATTATCACTGTTGAAGAAAGAATATGAACTATCAAAGCTACAACAAAAGATAGGTCGTGAGGTCGAGGAGAAAGTAAAACAACATCACCGTAAATACATCTTGCAAGAGCAGTTAAAGGTCATCAAAAAGGAGCTCGGTTTGGAAAAGGAGGATAAGGATGCAATTGGTGAAAAATTCAGAGAAAGGATTAAAGATAAAATTTTGCCCCAGGCCGTTTCAAGCGTGATCGAGGAGGAATTAAATAAGCTTAGCTTCTTAGAGGGCCATAGCTCTGAATTTAAGTAAGTAAATCTTTAATTGGGAGGAATAGCCGGGAAACTATGTAGGAAAAATCTTGTGAGCTTGTTGGGATTTCGCAAATTGATAGAATTGTGTCTTCTGTCTGTTCGTTGTGTACGCATCGATGTAAGAGAGTGCGCATGCGCTCCCTCCATGTGATAGAAGCAGACAGAAATATTAATCACATTACCTAATTTTAATTAAGAGTAGTTTTAACTTAATTTTTTTAAGAAACCCATTTGCAATGTGTTTGTTTACATATTAAGATTACTAAAAAATGTATTTCACTCACAACACTCTTTTGGTAGCTAAACGGTAGGGAAATAAGGAGGAAATTTGGTGGGGATGCTAAGAAAATCGATAGAAATTTCGGGTTAAAATGAAAATTTTGAGTATTGGGTAACCGTGGATATCTTTGGCTCCTAAAATATGTCGTGGCTCCGCCCATCTAATTATGCTATTTGTTGTGCAGTGTAACAAGAAATTACTTGGATTGGTTAACGTCATTACCTTGGGGCGTTCAAAGTGAAGAAAACTTAAATTTGGAACAAGCATCTACAATTTTAGAGCAAGATCACTATGGAATGGAAGATATTAAAAGACGAATTTTAGAATTTATAGCGGTTAGTCAATTAAAAGGATCGACCCAAGGGAAAATTTTATGTTTTCATGGGCCGCCGGGTGTCGGTAAAACTAGTATCGGTATTAATACCACCCTCTGAAGTAGAGATCCAGTAAACCCATTATTCTTTCAGCAAGATCAATTGCGCGAGCTTTAAATAGGGAATATTTTCGATTTTCGGTAGGTGGCATGACCGATGTCGCCGAGATTAAGGGCCACAGACGTACTTACGTAGGAGCTATGCCTGGTAAAATTATCCAGTGTTTGAAGAAAACACGAACTGAAAACCCGTTGGTACTCATTGACGAAGTAGACAAAATTGGAAAGTAAGTCATGGTACAAATAATTATAATTCTTACCAATCCTTTCAGGGGATATACGGGAGATCCCAGCTCGGCGTTACTGGAATTACTAGATCCAGAGCAAAATGCAAATTTCCTAGATCATTATTTAGACGTTCCCGTTGATTTATCTAAAATTTTATTCATTTGCACCGCAAATGTGATCGATACAATACCGGAACCATTGCGCGATCGTATGGAAATGATCGATATGTCTGGATATGTTGCCGAAGAAAAGCTTGCCATCGCGAAACAATATTTACTCCCTCAAGCAATGAAGGATAGCGGTCTAAAGAGTACCAATATTAACTTAGAGGATGCCACACTGACTGTACTTATCAAGAGTTACTGTCGTGAGTCTGGTGTGCGGAATTTACAAAAACACATAGAAAAGGTCAGTAACGGATTCGAAAGATTATTTCTTAGCATACCTAATGCAGGTAGTAAGAAAAGTGGCGTATAAGGTGGTCAAAGATGAGACTTCGTTTGTTCAAGTGACCCCTAGTAATCTAGCCGAGTTTGTTGGCAAACCTGTATTTACCCATGACAGAATGTATCCACACACACCGCCGGGAGTTGTGATGGGATTAGCTTGGACCGCTATGGGTAATACAGAGGTTCCTGTTAAAATTTAACCTTGAAGAAACGAGCCATTGCTTTTTTCAAGGTCAAATTGTAACGGAAAGGCTTGCTAGAACAATTTTTCTTAACTAGGTGGATCAACATTATTCATTGAAACCACGACCAGAAGAAAGTCGGGAGAAAAAGACAACACTGGCAGTCTAGAAATCACGGGACATTTGGGAGATGTCATGAAAGAATCTGCTCGAATTGCCCTTACCGTCGCGCGGAATTACCTGCGCGCGCTAGATCCCGAAAATAAATTCCTAGAAAACAGGTAACGATATTTCATTTTACAAATCGTGTAGGTACTCAAACTATTTTTTAGTCACTTGCATTTGCATGTCCCGGAAGGAGCAACACCAAAAGACGGCCCCAGTGCAGGATGTACCATTGTCACAGCTTTACTGTCGTTAGCCAAAAATGAGCCGATTCGACAAGATGTTGCAATGACCGGCGAAATTTCGTTAATGGGTAAAATTCTTCCAGTCGGTGGGATTAAAGAAAAAACTATCGCCGTAAGTTACAACAAGCTCGGTGTTGTAAGATCTCACATTTTTTTTAGGCGAAAAGATCAGGAGTAAAGTGTATCATTTTACCCGAAGAAAATAAGAAAGATTACAATGACCTTCCTCAGTTCATTACCGAAGGCTTGGAAGTTCACTTTGTAAATAACTATAATGAAATCTTCGATATTGTCTTCTCGCCGGCTACATCAACAATTACACCCCCTTCAGTATCTAAATTTACCGCTGCGACAGTGTGAATAGGCTAATATGTGATTGTTAAAATGTATCTATTTATAAGTGTTGTATATAAAGTACATTTTTCTTATTTGTACTATTTTTATAAAACTGAATAAATTGTTACTATTTGTTTTCATTAATTATGCTTCATTTAACGCACTCAGGCAATATAAAAACCATCATCCTGTTTTCCTGTGTAAGTAGAAACTAGTGCTGTGAATTAAAAAAATTTATAACTTATCGAGAATTATCGATTAATAGTTGATAAAGTGTTGTGATTGTGCCTTTAAAAACATTGGTCAATAAATCCCTACATATATTTATCAATAATTATCAATTGCTCGACAAGTAAACTAAGAAGATAGATAATTATCGAGAGAATTTTTAACGACATAAATTTGAGAGGTCCATTTTTTAAATTTTTTTACCAGTTTACTAGAAACAAAAGAGAGCATTGCAGAGTTGGCATGACACATAAAATATGATCGCAATTCTCAACCTACTTCAAACTGGTTAATCTGAATTAAATATCATGCTCAACTACTGTTTCTGTTAAGAACTAATAACTGTAAGGTTATTGAAGGACGTACCAAATTTTTGAGGTCTACTTGATTACCTTTGAAAACTATGGAATACCTACATTAGTTTTAATTTTTTTTAAAAGATCCTGTTTTTATTTAAATTATATGCCACAATATCAATACCAAAAAAGCAAAAATGTTATTGGGCGTACGCGATAATTTTCTCTCAATAATTATTGCTTAATCGATAATTATCAGAGATCGACCATTTTCCACAAGTGTCAATAATAATCGATTATTATGGACAGTGGACAGCTATCATTATTGATTATTATCAAAATTTATGGACCATCATTGAAAGTTATCGATTATTATCAAAAGTTATTGAATATAATCCATAATCTGACTTGTCCGGGTCTTCCACTGATAAAGTTACCCACAATACACTGTTGATGATACCCTAAAAACATGTCGGTATAGCCGCCACTGGAAAAAAATCATTCGTAGGCACGGATCTCTTACTTTTTTAAGAGGTCCGTGATCGTAGGGTCTTGAAGTCAATTTTCAGAATAGGGAAAAATTTTAAGTAAGTATGACCACAATCGTCACATAGTGTATGGCACATTTGAGGGTACTATGTGTGTGTGTGACAGAATGCAAGCTCCTCTCAAATTAATACAACATACTTATATGGTTTTGAGTGAAATAATTCATTAATTATTTATTAAAGCACAAAACCAATCCCCATAGATTTAAGGAATTCATTGGTAGTATGGGACATGTTTCGACTATAAACAGTCATCTTCAGGCTTAAAAAGGTCTAAAACTTAGTTAAAAATAAAGGATCTGTTATGTAAACCAAGGGAGTGTGTGTACCGTGGGATGCTAAAGAAGTATTAGTAGCGCAATTTTCGTTTAAAAATATTCGGGTCAAAAATTGAAATCTTCGAAATATTAAGTTTTTAAAAAATGGTCGACGCGCCGATATAAATAAACCCACTATAACTGTATTCATTTTAAGAAGGTAGCGGTAGAAAGTATAGGGAAGCTTTGACCTTCAGTGTAATTGGTTAAAACACGAGTCAGTATTATGCTGAAACATAAAACGAGTGGCGAATTTTGCAAGCTGGTAGTTTCTGTTGCCATCTAAACTGTTGGAAGTGTCATTAACTGTTAATGTCAAAGATTTATTTCTGTTTGCAGTGCTGCATATTTCTACTTTAGAATAATTTGATGCCGTTTTATATTTTTCCTGTGTGTGCTTATCTTCAAACACAGCGCCATCTACTACCTTCTTATAATGAATGCAGTATAGTTTAATAACATTCATAAATCATATCATTTCTAAAAATTTGATAACTAGGCTGTCCCTTACAGTGCGAACTTTTAATTTTATTTCAAGGACTTTTTGCTAATATAATTACCAATACATCCTTCTCCCACCTAATCAACATGTACAAATTTACTCAATATCAAACAGTTTCCATTCTACGACAATGAATTTACAATCCATTGTAAAACTCTGCCTTACGTAATAGAAATCTTCATTATAAAAACTAGTTATTAAGTCAATTTGTTATAACATTATCACCGTATAAACACCACCCCAATGGCTTACGATTGCATCGAAACAAATTGTTGAAATACTTCCAGTATATGTACATCTATATCTTGGGTAAAGAGCAAGGTTTCCAATGTAGAGCTGTACTTTCGCACTTGTTCATGATGCTAAAAACCGAAAGTGAACAATACAATATTGAAAGAAATTATCAATACCTCTAGAAACACTTGCTGCAGTCTCCCAATCGTCCATCTATACCAGTGGGTATTATAGTCCCGTCCATCCGTATCACAACGCACAAGATGCTCAGACAAAATCATAATAAATCTTTGAAAAATGATTAAAAATAAATTTTTCTGATCAGCTTGTGCCACTTCCAAACGCTCTTCCATTCGTTCCACCATCTCTTCGGTGGGTTTCTCGGCATTTTCGGATTTTTTCTTGCCCGTACCTTCCTCGTCCTCCGACTCACTGGAGCTCGACTCGGCACGCGCGAGCTTTTCTCGCGCGTCATTTAATTCGCCGCTCAATTTTATGACGTGCTTGTTCATCTTCTTGATAGTCAAATGTAACATTTCCCACAGGTACATTTTTGTAAACTCTTGAACCATTTCCTTTGAGAATATCCAGTTCGCCACGGCGGAGCATTCGACTATTTGAGTTTTTAGCATTTTGTCGACTAAGACGATCATCATTTGTTGATGAGTGGTCCAGAGTTCGAACATGTTTCGCAACACACATATTTGCGCTTCTTCAGATTCGGCCAATATCTAAAAAGGTTAGTTAGTATATACATATACATATGGCACGGAAATTGAGTTGTTTGGACAAGAAATACTAACGTGCGATCAAAAATGAGTTGCTGTCTAGTCGCCTTTGGAAGTTTAATTTAAGTATGATTTCCCATGTAAACAAAAATTCCAAAGGTGACTCGACAGCAACTCATTTTTGATCGCATTGTATGTGACTTACCTTAAAAACGTAATGGAATTTGGATATGGCAGCAAAACTGTGCGAGAAGCTCTTCGAGCCTAAATGAAGAAGTGTTTGTACAAAAACGTCTATTTTTAAGGGATTAAAACGACGCTCAGGTTCCTCTTCGGAACGAAGATTTGGGAGATCCTTCAGTACACCTAGCACTTCTTCTGGTGTACACTTTTGTCTTATGGACACTACCAATTGGTGAGCTGCTGATGTTCCAGGAAGAGAAGCTGGAACAATCGTCCGTGTTAGTTTTTCGTTTTTGAATGCTATTTAAAAGTATCATTGTTACCAAATTAAGTACATGTCAACTAAATTATTTAATATCTTTATTACCAGTAGATTTTGTGAAAAAATGACAAATTACTCTCACGCTATTAAGCTAGCGGAAAAAAAGACATAATTGGAACTAATTCACAATTTTCATCTGCATGGTTAGCGATACACAAAAGCCATTCTAGTAATTTATTTCCGAATTGTTTTAGAAATAAAAACAATAAGATTTAAGTAACGGTCGCTTCCCAAAACTATTTTAATTACTCACACCGACAAATAGTAGGTACGTGTTATGCATGAAAAAATATTTCATAATTTGTAAACAAAATTTCTCCGCTTACAGGAAACACTTAACCTTCAACATAATTTTCACAATAAAATATATTACCCTACCATCCTTACATTAACAAACACGTACTAAGTACTAAATATGAGTGAGCGCACCTCATGAAAGAGGTTTCCAAAATTGGCAAATTGTTGCGAGTTACCCATTAGATTTCAAAATCGACCTATTCATTTAAAGTTCTCATGCCAAAAATTATCCTCAACTTCTATGTCTTTAGCAACAAGTACAAAAAACGAGTACAGAAGAAAAGCGCGTGAAGTCTCGGGTTTTTATTGACTAAAATTTAACAGACAATTAAACAGTTTCTAAGAACCTTCATTAGCCTACAGATTGCAAATCGTGATTTGTTAAATTTGATTTTGGAGGTACAGGAAACGCGCAATACAAAGCTGGAGCCGTCATTTTTTTTTCTCCGCTTAATTTATAGTCGGAGGAAGTTAATTTGAGATAGCATAATCAAAGGTGTTGAATATGAATAATTAGTCTCGCATCGCATCACATAAATTTGTTCCAATAGACCACAATAAACAATATCGACAGGCAATAAGAAGTAAGTGAAGAGATCGTTAGTACTGATAACACAAATTGCGCAGCTTACATCCCATGTTCAACGAAGCGAAATTTCAGAATACTCAAGCAGACAATTAACAATGTTGAAAGCGAATCTTCGGTGGGGTGCTCTTCGTCTCAGATAACGAAAAAGGTAGATTGTCTATAGTTTAAAGCACTTACTCTCGCAAAAACATGTGTTCTTTTCAGGAAGCAAGTTGTTAAGTATGGGATTAATTACTAACTTACAAATTGTGAGTACCTACCTACTTTTTTAGTTAGCATTTAATTTTAATTTATTATTAACATAAACGAATAGATTTGCCCATTCGGTTTTAAAGGTAAAAAAGAAACAGATCATTGACTAGGATTGTACAAACTACTGCATTTGTTCCTAGGCCAACCCACACTTCCTTGTATTTGCTTTTCATAAAATTTTTGAAATGCTCTTGCTTTGTATTACAATTCTAACAATTTTAAACCATTTTTTAGTGTACTAGATTAGAATAATAATGCAAGGTACAGAAGTGTTTATTATGACCAACATTAGAAAACCTTGAATTCTGTGCAAAATAAATTTGGCAATTGAAACAGACAATTGCCGACAAGATTCATAAGGTGAATCACATTCAGTCACCATTATGATGACCTCGTTTGGTCAGCCATTTTACATAAAATTCAGAAATTTTAACATGATCCACTTCATGACGATTGCACAAGTCTGTTATGAATCAATTAAAAAATTATATCAAAAGTGCCAGTACTTTAAATGCTCTTAGAGCAAATAAATCTTAGGCATTGAATAAATGTGAACCTTTACTCATTTGCAATTATCATAAAATACTGTACTGTTACTGAGGGTTTAGACTTTAGAGAAATCAGGTTCTATTATTGAATCTCTCTCGAAATGGTTGTCTCATAGCAATCTCTTAATGAACTCCGAAAAAACGTCTTTTGTGCTGTGTAATAATACAGCAAACATTGATCTGAATAAGGATATCAACATTTCTTCCAGAACAACGATGTGCTAGTTTCTTGAGAGTGTGGGTTGATAACCGTTTTTAAAGTTTGATAGCGAAGTTAGAGTCAAAACTGAAAAAATCCTGTCATTTGCTAAGGACGATAAAGGATTTCATTTCAGTAAATGCCCTCATAAAGGTGTATTATGCGCACTTCGAATCATTGCTACGATATGGAATTGAGTACTGGGGAGTTTTACTTTACTTTGGCAGAATCTTCAAAGTACAAAAGCGGACTCTTCGCATAATCATGGGTATTGACCAGAGGGGTTCTTCAAAACTTGAGGGTACTAACATTGCCTAGCTTGTTCATCTTTTGTAGTGCCACGTACATTTTTTTAAACAAAAATAAATTTCAAAGAAACTGTGATATTCACTCCCATAATGCAAGGACTAACACTAAAATCCATCTACCACAAACACTTTCCTCCAAATTCAGTAGCCGCCAACTCTATCAGCCCTACTATACAGGGTGTTTTTTTGGGAGCTTTAGTTAAAAGTTTCTGGGAAAGTAAAATAGGTAGGTTTTTGAAAATTTGTACTTAGGAGTTACTCTGAAGACCGAATCGATGTAAAATATTTTCAAAATGGCCACCCTTCCAGAAACACCGGAAGTAGATAGTAACTTCGTTATATTAAATGGCAACCCCTATTTTTTATTGCATTTTTGGATTCTACGTAAAATTTCAGTTCTTTTGATACCCACATGTCCATATCTGCCATTTATGGTTTTTAAGTTATTTTGACTTTATGAAAAAAAATGGCGGATGCAGATGGTACCTTGATAATTGATTACTTGAAAACGGTTATAGTCATGGCAACCCATTTTTATCATTGCATAGAGAATGAATGGGGCTTTCTTTTAGTGTACTTAAAAAAAATTAAGTTGCGTACGACCGCCCCTATGGATATCCAAATTTATGAAACTTCAAAGACTAAAAACTCAGTTTTTTTAAATGGAATGACCATGTTCTTAATATTGCATGAGATAGAGAATCGAAATGGGCATATTTTGACAATACATGTTCCTATAGCTATCTTTAACAGTTTCTGACTTATTCCCATTTTATTGAATTGACACTATTTTTTTCGGATTTTCTTTTTAGTAGTCGGCCATGATTCTATAACAATTGAATTTTAAACAAATCTAGTGACACTAATCCATCACCCACTGTTATAGGTTAACATAAGTTTTTCAAAAATCGAAAAATGACTCGCAGTGGTTTCACCTATTTTGGAATTTAATTGTTATTTATGGTGAAATGGGCAGAATCGCGGCGCGTGTTTTCCGTACATTCATTCTAAAACTGGAACCAAATTGTATGAATTTTGGAAATTTTGTACCCCTAATGCACTACAAACGGTTGAAGCACAAGTGATACAAAGCTCTACAAGAGAATATTTGAGAAAATGAATTGAATTGCAAATGCCAGATTAACAAATTTTTCAAAAATTTTCCGTCCTATATCCTTAATAAATGAGTTATTTATTAATGAATTATTTAGACTAGAACTAGAATCAATGGTATTAAAGAATCCATTCCTTGATTTGTTTAAAATTCGATTGTTATAAAATCATGGCCAACTACTAAAAAGAAAATGCGAAAAAAAATGGCATCAATTCCGAGATCAATCCGATGAAATGGGAATAAATCAGAAACTGTTAAAGATAGCTATAGGAACATGTAATATCAAAATATGCCAATTTCGATTCTCTATCTCATGCAATATTAAGAACATGGTCATTCCATTTAAAAAAACTGAGTTTATAGACTTTGAAGTTTCTTAAATTTGGATCTCCATAGGTGCGGTTGTACGCAACTTAACTTTTTTTAAGTACACTAAAAGAAAGCCCTATTCATTCTAAATGCACTGATAAAAATAGGTTGTCATGACTACAACCGTTTTCAAGTAATCAATTATCAAAGTACCATCTGCATCCGCCATTTTTTTTCTTAAAGTCAAAATAACTTAAAAACCATAAATGGCAGATATCGACATATGGGTATCCAAAGAACTGAAATTTCACGTAGAATCCAAAAACCCAATAAAAAATTAGGGTTGCTATTTAAAATAACGAAGTTACTATCTACTTCCGGTGTTTCCGGAAGTGCGGCCATTTTGAAAATATTTTACATCGATTCGGCCTTCAGAGTAACTCCTAAGTACAAATTTTCAAAAACCTACCTATTTTACTTTCCCAGAAACGTTTAACTAAAGCTCCCAAAAAAACACCCTGTATATAACTACTAGTTTTAGTAGGCTCTATCATTATTTATAATTCATTTTGCCGAGTTATTCAAGAGGCAAATGGCATTACTGTGTTTAAGCGTAATTTTTTATTATCACGTACCATTTATTCCCTAGAAGAGTTCCATGGTGTGTGTCAAGGAGTTTAGCATGTCCCTCTCGGGGCGGTTAAGCTGGACCGGAAAATTCGAGAATTGTGCACCCCTAACGGTTACGGAATCCAGAAGTACCAACTCTACTGGTCGAATAACTTCTTCTCCGAGTCCGAAAATGCGTTTTGTCCGTCTGTTCCGCTTATAACTCGAGAACGAAAGAAGATAACGACCTTCGCCAATCTACGAGTTCTAGGATCAGTGCTATTGAATATGAGCCGGATCAAAAGTTTGGTTTCCGAATACGAGCTGAGTGGCAAAAAATTCCCCTACTGAAAATCGTATGCGACACTTCGTATCTTGATGCATTTGTGTGTGTGTGAATGCAGAACCTAAATTATTCGTTACAGTTCTAAAAAACAACGGTTGCGATACGGTTTTTAGATTCGGTCCAGATCTCTGTTTTATACCTTCCCACAGGTTTTCACATTAATCTAAAAAGAGAGTTTCGGGGAGAATGAAAACACAAGCAAATACAAATTTATTCATTTAACTTCGTCTCCTTGTAGTATGTCTTCCAGACAAAGACGAGAGGGGGGGGGGGGGCTGTGACGATAATTGACCATCATGGACCCTTGGAACCCTCACTACGTCCCCGGCGGCTTCCAGTGCCCTTAACGCGTATTGAACTATGGTGCATTGGATCAAAAGGGCTTAGTTGGTTCTTACATTTTAACCAATCAAATTTCTGAAGTGTGCTAGTTGAATAGAAAAGTTTATGGCGTGTTAGGTATTGCTTTGTTAATTGGTGTGCTTTGTAAAATGAAATGTATATTTCTAGATATGTACTGGGTATAACTAGTTCACGAGAAATGATTACCCATTTTTAAGTTCCTTGCAACTCAGCCTTTGAGACTACAACGCCCTTGAGATGTTTACAAACATATTTGCAAATTACATCAGTTTTCTAAACCATGAAACGGTTTTTATTGTAAAAAAAATTAATTTCAATGCTTGGTTGCTCACTTCAAAGAAAGTGTAATTAATTATACATCTTCGCTTTCATTTAATATTTCCTTATATCAATGTAACGCCGTTTTTCCTTAACTTTAATTACCGTAAAGTGCCGCAATTACTCTCGGTATCTTTAACATTTTTGCATGGTTAAATACGTTAACGACATCTTTTATAAAAGGTTTGGTTGGAATGCGGCACATACATATCCTGTAGATTGTAGAAGGTAAGATTTTGTGCAATTCTTTGTTTTCTGGAGCTCAAATTTCGCAGTCGTACTTGGGACGTCGACGTCGTTAAGTTTTCCAACACGTTCGCGGTTGAGAATAACCTTTAAATATTGAGGTGGGAGCTGGGAGGTGACACGAAGTCAATTTCATAAAGTAATTCAATTAAAGCATAACTGTACAGTTATTAATACTTTTTATTGTTCTTTTCCGCATCCATGATGGTTACCTGATCAATGATCAGGGTTCAGATAAATATTTTTATTTCGGGAACGAATAGTATAAACGAAGCAAGTTAGGACATACGATAATATGAAAAAAAATCTTATTTTTGGCTGTTAAATACGCCCTTAAAATCTTTGTAATCAATTTTGAATCACCCTGTATAGTAAAGTAGCTAAACCAATTTTTGGACATACACTTTCCGATTTTGCGAACACTCTTCATTCTTGTATTATTTTATTCTAATTTATTATTTAAAAAAATCTCTTGTGAAATTGACGGAAAATCGCTCGAAGAAGTTGGGTTTAGGAAAACAAAGTCACAAAATATACAGCGGGAATCAAGCCATCATATTTGATTCTGGGAAATTTAACTATTCCATAATTTAATTAATTCTACAGGTTTTCCGTTCTCACTTCTTTGTCAAAGCGATTTGAAGAAGTGATGTATTTATTGATGATAAAGAAAAAGGTTTTTTGTGACAGATGGAACTCCGGATCTGAACTCATAAACTTTGAGAGAGAATGCCCAGCGTCGATTTTTCCACAAGTTATTCAGTCCTCCTCCCTCAGTTTTCAGTTTACTTATACTTATATGAGGGTGATGCCAATGAATAAAGAATACCCATTGGGTGATGCCAACAATTAATTGGTTGCATGTTGTCCTAAGAGAAAAGGGATTGCGTTAATAGATCTTGGCAATTGTTCGACACATGAGCATTCCTTCTGTAATATGCAACGCGAAATATTCTTAAACAAGCGAAGCGGGATACAATTGGAAATTGTTGTTTAACCAAATGTATCTAAGTACATTTACAAATAATCGCTTGCTTGACATAACTGGTCACAATGCAGAAAAAACATAAATGTTTCAAGTTCATAATGTGAAAATATGAATAAAATTTTAATAACAACAGACGAATTTAGCTGTGAGAGAGTTCCACTTTGATGAAATTGTTTACTTTGTTATTAGAGTTAATTACATAGCTGTATAAAATATAACAATGGCAGGTGACAAAAACTACATTTTTGTGCAAGCCTAATAATTAAGTGTTACTTCAAGACTAAAACTTTATTTCTTTACAGATTTTACTACTAACATGTAACATATTGGAAACGTCGCCTATAATCACACCCTTTCACTACCATCATTTTAGAAGATATATTGATTCTCCTGTATCGGATTGGGAGATTGGTTTAAGAGAAGCGACATATAACGCTCTCGTACAAGAACGGATCATTAAACATCCCCATTTGCGTGAATATTTGTACAACGCACCTTTACTAGGACGCCAAGATACCGCTACCCCATTTGGTGACGTTACAATAATAGCCAGAGGTCAGTTGTATTCTGCTCCTGGGGGTTTTCAATTTATTCAAGACCCTTATCAGAATGATTGCGATGGGTGCCATAACACACCACTGCGATGCGATCGAACGCCATGTGAGTACTGGGCTCCAGAAGCCCATGAACGACTGTTAGCATTATGGACTATCAAACGGATACGACATAGGGATCCGCATTATGGATTTAAATATGACATCGAATATAAAATTTCGCCCATGAGTTCTGTTAGAGATAAATCGTTCATTAGAAGAGGTGGTACTTTTGATTACAATATTCCCGGTCATAAATTTGTAGTGCAAAAATCACCTACATCTAGCATTGAAGATTCAGACACTTACCCCGCAAACGTCCACTACCCCTTTTCATCTTATGATCCAACTCGATGGTACCCCCACAGCAAGGAGCATGATCAAAATCAGTACCTGCCGCCTATTCTTCCACCAATTACCGAGGAATACTATGATGGACATCCAAATAGACATTACGGGCCAGATGGTTACAAGGATACAGTATATGGATCAACTATAGCTACCCCCACGCAAGACACCACGTACCATCATGACAATACCATCGGTACATTAAGCACAAGACCTCTTCCTTTAAACACCACGAAACATACACAAGAAGCAGATTTTTTGTTTCCTATACATCAAACAACGAGCTATATGAGACCTCATTTTCTACCCACCAATCCCAATTATAAAGGAACACCATTGAAAACTACTGTTCAAACAACATTACCAGCGACTAAAGTTACTACTTTCTCTGAAAGCACGCGCTTTGTACAATACTCTGAGCCTGATCCTTTGTACAGTACGAGTTCATCCACAACTACGCCACTCCCATTTTCTACAGAGAAGCAAGAACCATCTGCACCTTCATCATCGATTACAACTAACTATTACAGTTCACAAAATACAGTCGAAGATAGATTTCCTTCGGTTTACGATTACATGGGGATTGGTGAACATGCCATAACTGTAGTTACTCCTCCAAATATTCCTATACAAAATTCGACAAATACTGAAACAACAATTACGTCAACAACTGAAACAACTGCAGCAAGCACGCTACCAAAGACAGAAACAACTGCAGCAAGCACGCGAGCAAAGACTGACACTTCAACTGTTACAACAGAGTCGACACCATATGAAATTATAGAAACATCTTCTGTAAGGGTAGGGATTATACCCACAACTCCGAAATTCAGATACATTACGCGTAAAAGGGTGGTGTCTACCACTCCAATCGTAAGCACTGATCGGGAAGAAACCACCACACCCACAACTACTACCATTTCAACTACACACCAAGAAAGTAAAGCAACGACGACTTTGAAACATAGCTCACACCCAACAACAATTTCCACCCCTCTTCTATACATTACCACAAATCACCATAAAAAAGAAAAGGATTTAGATGACGAGGAATTTGAAGACGAAATTTTTGGAAAATCACAAACTGCGGCGAGAGTGGCGATCACAAAGAAACCGAAAACTACACTCTCAACCGACTTGGAAGACATATTCGGTAGCCAGGCTGAGTATTTTGAAGCGTACGACTATGACAACCCGCCCACTCAACCACCCTTGCCAAAGATAATATTCTCCAATTTTTATTTGGCATCTACCGAACCCAACGAAACCACTCACGACATGACAACAGGGGAAGTGACCGAAACGACCGCGCCTACAGTACCCCTTGAAGTACAGAACAAAACAACCATTCCGATTACGAGCCAAAGCTATATAACATCGGTCAGTTTCGAGGTGAACAAAAAGAACGTGACCGAACCTACCGATTTGGCGACGAGTGAAAGTTATTTTGCGGTAGACGAAACAACGACCGAAAACGTGCACACGCCGCATACCGGCCAGGTTTTAGATCGGCTTACGATGTCAGTATTAAGTAATGCGAAATCTATTAATTATTTAAATCGCAAAAATTCCAGTGGGCCGTTTAAGTATGTTCAGAAAAAAGACATGAGGCCGGTGAAGTTACCAAAAGTCCGTAATTTGGAGACGAAAGGGGAAGGGATTTCGCAACAAAATAAATCTCAGAAAACCACGAGAAAATAATATTGAGTCATTAGTTTTTAAGGCGCGGTTTGTTTATAGCTGCAGAATGGATTTGTTGAGTGAAATAATAGCATGTAACAAACCGATTTTACTTTAAGAATATTTTTGTACAGTATTTTGTAATAAAATAAAGTAAAAAGGACCATGTGGTTACATAATTTTGCGGTAAAAAGAACGGATATTTGAGACCTCTATCTATTTCCTTAAACACAGAGTATTTTCAAAGACTTTTCAAAAATATCAAATGCGTTTTTTTAGTCACAAAAATTTAACCTACACTGTATCTCTCACCATTACGGAGATCCCAGATGAGTCACGAATTTGAACCACCCTGAGACCAGAGTTTAGTCTGGCTAACGTGGAGTGGTTTCGGTCCACGTGAGATTTATAATAATAATAATAATAATAATTTATTACCCAACAGCCAATGTCAATTACAGAGTAATGTTACATAAGATATATTTTCAAGGTTAAATAATATAATTTACAAAAATGATGGAAAGGCTACACTTTGTAGCGATTGGAGATTGAAGGCGGTATCGAACACGTTTATCTGCGGAATTTGGAGAGAGCTTGACGGTATTGGTCCTTTTTTTAGCCGAATTTCTTTTCGCTTTTATTCAAGCTTTTTACTCACCTTTTCAAATATTGCAATGACAATCAACACATCGCAAATTAGATTTTGACAATATAGTTAAGCAAATAAAACGAAATTTTACCTGACGTGAAAATAAAAATGGTGTGATGTAAAAACCCGGGAAAAAAGTTTAGAAAACTGTGAAATTGAGTCTTTCTTCAATTGTTATGAAAACATAAAAAATTGGCCTAAATATGTTTTCATTTCGGCTTTAAACAAAGCAACTTTTATCGAATTTAAACAAAATCCTATAATCGACACCCTTAAAATATATGAGCTACCAATTTTGTACAACAAATGTACATTTTTCGCTTTATTTTGTTGTCCTAGCAGTAATGTACCTTTACTCCAGAGAAACCGAGGGGTTGACCGCTGGGCAAATGTGGTGTACAGTCCCGAGGAAATGATGAGCAAATCTAGCAAATGTAACAAATGTTGAAGAAATGTAGCGAATATTCAGGGAATGTGGCAAATGTTGAGGAAATGTAGTAAATGTTTATTAAATATGACATAACAATGCGAGTATCAATGATTTGTAAATATAAAGATAAATGTATACCAGGCGCTTTCATTTCGTCAAAATTATGCAAAGAAAGTGTTCTAACATTCGTTCATGTAGTGCAGTCGTAAATAATGTGCTCGAGCAAGGTCATGGTGGTTTATTATACACCATGAGCAAGGTGGATGCATAACGGTGGCGGCACTCCGACTGTTTTATACAGGGTCATTCTTGACGAGCGTCAGTTACAAAGATATGGAGAACCTTTGAAAATGACACTAAACTGGTAAATCCTTTAAGGGTTTTGGCACATGGTGAATTGAACTAAAATATTTTCAAGATGGCGCCACTTCCGCAAATACCGGAAGTAGCCATCAATTTTGTTATTTTATATAGGGACCCCCTATTTTTGTTACATTTTCGAATTCTTCGTCGAATTTGGAGTACAACGATACTGTATAGTCGACCCTTTGCTCCAAAGGCTTCGTCGATATTCAAGTTTTTATGTCAAAAATGGAATTTGCAGGGGTAATTTTAAAAATTTATTACTCGAAAACGGTGAGGGATATTGCAAAACACTGCTTTATTAACCCGTCAGTGGTCGCTAGGTGAAATGTTACGCGAGCGGTCGCGCGTGAGCATTTTGCTCATGATGAAAAATGTATTATTTTGACAAAATGAAATAACTTAGTATACTTGATATGATGTTGCAATTTGTATTAACGATTAATATAAATTAATTCTGATGAATATTGCTTTTTTATTATAAATCGAAATACATTTATACATTACGGATTACAGAAAAAAGTATAACGGCAGTGGTCGCTCGATGAGGCAAATGCTCACACACTTGACGCCGAGCTTGACGCTTTCACAAATAAACAATGACAGAATCTAAACGGACCAGTTTTACAGCGTGGGGGGGGGGGTCGGGGGTGACAGAAGATGTTCTAAAACTCAGCTAGACGACGACTTGGCGCGAAACTAAATATTTGACAATAATTATGATTATTTAAAAAAAAATGTGAGCAAATTGCTCATACAGTGCCACTGACGGGTTAAGGAAATATCGAATTTTCTTATGGTATGCGTAACCGTCTAAAAAGTGAGACTACGTCACTCTTTCAAAGCTCTCAACTTTTAAATTTTTAAATATTCGTAACACCATTTTTTCAAATGGCACCCCCCCCCTCACATTTTTTTTCTTGACTGTTTTCCGGGACCTTTAATTTGATACAAAATGTCAGAGGCTGCTTCAAACAGTTTCCGAGATATTCCATGTTTTAGTCACTTCTTGTAGCAAATTGATTAAAAAAAATTAATAAATTTTTAAAATTACCCCTGCAAATTCCATTTTTGACATAAAAACTTGAATTTCTTTATTCTTTAAATATTCCAGCTATCATAGTATAAACTGTTGTATCAATGTCGTCAAACATACAGGGTGACAATTTGAAAACTTACCACCCCCCATATCTTAGTAAATAAACGAGATATTAAAAAAAATCAAAATCCGTTTCGGTAATTTGGAGGGGGAATCACAATGACATAGTTGGCGACGCACCCCCTCCAACCCCCTGCGCCCCAGTCACCCCAACTTTTAAATCTTAAATAGTGACCCCCCATGTGTGATACGTCGTTGGAAAGCTCTGAAAAAATGCTTTGCAACTATACCAAATAGCATTACATTTAGGTTAGTAATTATCGTGCAAATAAAAAAATAAACATGGAAAATCGTATTTAACTTGAACTTCCAAAGCCGACTCGACAGCAACTCATTTTTGATCACTATTTAAGATTTAAAAGTTGGGGTGGCTGGGGCGCAGGGGGTGTGAGGGGGTGCGTCGCCAACTATATCATTGTGATTCCCCCTCCGAATTACTGAAACGGATTTTGATTTTTTTTAATATCTCGTTTATTTACTAAGATATGGGGGGTGGTAAGTTTTCAAATTGTCACCCTGTATAAACTAGTGCATCTACTAACAGAGCAAATTACACATATAAATAAAATAAAAAGAGGTCAAGTTAAAATACAGTAAAACACTTAAGTAAAATAGACAAAATATCACAGAATATTAAAACACCAATCAGTAAGTAGAAACTCTTCAAGTGTAAAAAGCGGTAAACTTAAGGTAACTAATCACAGCATTTCTTAATTAATCGATAATCGATTTATCGACGAAGTCCTTGGAGCAAAGGGTCAACTCGTTGTACTCCAAATTCGACGTAGAATCCGAAAATGTAGAATAAATAGGGGGTCCCTATTTAAAATAACAAAGTTGATGGCTACTTCCGGTATTTCAAAGGTTCTCCATATCTTTCTAACTGACAGTCGTCAAGAATGACCCTGTATAGGAAGCGCGTGTACCAAATCTGCCCTTGTATCCTTATTGCCTACCTTCCAGTCGCGGGCTGGTTTTACTATGGAGTCATATGGGAGATACATCGTTTTTTTGTTTATATGATCATTAATAAGATGATTCTGAAGTTGTAACTCATACAATGTGTTGATGTACCTACCCATTGGTTACACAGGCCAACACGATTTTTGACTTTGATAAGAGGATATGAAATTTTGATACATTTATTGATAGTTAGACAAAAAAATATATAGGCCCTGAAAAAGTTTGCTTTTGTATCCAGGAGAGCCGTTGACCAGTATTTTAGAAAATCCAAAATTGAAATTGTTATTTAACGATAAATAGAAACAAATGTAATTGTATGCAGAGCTGGGAAGTAACTAAAATTTAAGTTACTTTTCAAGTAACTAAGTTACCTGCAGTAACTAAGTTACCTACTGTAACTTAGTTACTTTCTAAAAGTAACTTATAACTTTTTCATATTCAGAGGAACTTAGTTACTTATAAAGTAACTAAGTTACTTTCTGGTAACTTAGTTACCTAAAAAGAACTTAGTTACCTACCGAAAAGTTACTTTTTATTTATTATAAAATTATTTATGCACCCTACCATCGCCGTTGTAATTATATACTCAAAATTTCTCATCTGTACAGTTTTCGAATTCGCGACTCGGCAACTGCACAACGCCCGGCGACGCATCGGCAGATATTTGTTCATGTCATCTGATGCTTATTATAAAAAAATTGCAACTCGCCATTTACCTTGTTAGTTGTAACCGTGAGACTGTTGTGCTTGTGAACGAAATAATATGAAAATAAAACTTTTGGTTATTCAGTATTCAGTTGTTTCTTATTATTTGTTGAAATTCGTATCTTTTTAAAAGAACTTTTTTAAAAGTAACTTTACTAGTAACTGTAACTAAGTTACTTTTGTTTCTAAGTATCTAGTTACTCAAGTAACTTAAGTAACTATGGAAAGTAACTTAGTTACTTTATCAAAGTAACTTTCCCAGCTCTGATTGTATGAAACTTTTACTATCATATCAAATTTAAAATAGTAAAAAAAATTTAGTAGTGAATCCTATTACTCTTTTTTCCGTGTTCATAAGTACTTTCTCTCACTAAACCCAAAAACAAAATATAGTCCCCCATCACACTTTCGTTGTATTTATCATGATAATGTTGTTCAAAGTTCATAATATCTTTATAACAACGTTCTACTCATTTTTCTGAGTACGCCCTGATATAATAAAAAATAATAAAAGAATCATATTTATTTTTTTGCAAAAAATCGTTTACCTTCTAAACGTCTTTTGTAGTTAGTTTTGTAGTCTAGATTCCGAATGGGGTAGTTAAAATAGGTTTTGTAGGCTTCATAAGGCTTTTTACAGGCATTAAAAAAAATGTCTTTCATACTTTAATAAATACACCACAAAGTTCGTGACCACATAGGTATATAAAAATATGCATCAGCATCATATTTCCACTTTCTTGGCCACATTTTAACCTCTGAGTCTTCTAGAAATGCTTGTACAAATATTTAAATGTATGTAGTACCGCAATGATGAGCAAATGTAGCAAATTTCTGGTAAATTTATAGCGAATGTAGCAAATGTTGTGTAAATGTAGCAAATGGCTGGCAAATGTGGAAAATGGCAAATGTGGTGTACACAATTTTGCGCAGTGGTCAGCCCATCGAGAGAAACAGATGGGGGTTTCAGCCAAGCAGGCATTTAGCTTAGAGTGGACTTAGTTGGGCAAGGGGCATAGTACCCTCCCATTGCAAGAAAGAAAATATTATTTATTTAAAAAACGCAGCTACTAAACACATCATTTTGAACAATTCTAATGATCTACTTCTTTAAATACTTACCTAAATAGACTCCAAGCTGTATTTACAGAAATACACAGCATTAGGTACAGTAAATGCCTTATATGTATATCGGAACAAAGATTTAAAATGTAAGTACATAAAATTTCGTATGTTGTGATATTTATAGTTTGTTATTTTCATTTTCCACTGTTCAATAGTAAGCAATGAACACAATGGATAGATAAAAAAAGAACCTGATTTCAAACCATCACTGCTGCATCAAGCAACACCACCAGCATACTATTAAAAAAATAAACAATAACACCTACCTGCACCATCTTTAGCATACTTGTAGTTTGGTTCACCCTTTACAGGCACAAATCGAGAAAATGGCTCAGGAAGAATTTCTGTGATTCTTTGGTAATAGGATAATCTATACAAAAAAAACAATTAAGATATACTACTCATTTTTCATACAATTACCTCATGCACTTCATCATCACTTCTCTTATGAATTTCGGTTTGGGATGTTCGTTATCCAAAGTGAGGCAACTACCCCAATCCTCCCATGACCAACGAAATTGAAAGTTACTTAAATGGTAAGCAAACCACAGTACGAATCTATCGAAACACGAAACGTTCATTGTGTCTATTCTCATGAATAGAATTTCGGTCGCTTGCGCTAATACTTGTGGCATTGTAGACGGTTGTAGTTTACAAAGCTCGATTAGAATCGACCCGTAGGCGATTTCCAAAAATCTGGGACTGGGCATGTGGAACAGTTCCGCAAATATTACTTCAACAATGCAATACTCCAGTGGAATTTTGAGCTTGTAAGGGAAGTTGAGTAAATGTGCAGCGCAGTCTTTTCTCTCTAGGTGGTACATGTCGATGATCGAATGCAGATGTTCTTCGATTAAGAATCTTTCGATTGAGTGAGCGCCTGGCATAATTGGACCTTCTGGGCAATCGGTATAATCAAACATTCGGAACACTACCCAAGGCATAGGATACTGATATGAAGCATGGTGAGGGGGGGGTACTATTGATGGCAGTGCATGCTGCAGAGCCTCACAGAGTATTGAATCAAATGCCAAGTAAGGTCTTGGGATGTGCTTCTCGGCCCAGTTATCCTGTTTCAGTTTACGAATTTGCGACCACAAACAGTCCAAATATTCCTCCTGCGGATGGGGAATATCAATAGACCAAACACGCAGAGCATTATGATGCTTTTTCGCACGTTTATTCAAAAAGATTTCAATGGACACTAGCAAATGTTCCAAAGCGCTCTCCTTCTTCTCATACAGTTCTCTACCCACCCAAGGTAGGGTGCTTAGAATGGCAAAAACATACCAATCTTTACGGACTTGTGGTACTGAATCTTCATTCGCTGCATCAATCATATTATCTAACAATTGCAGTAGAGACACGGCCGACAATACGTGGCAATTTACTAGATCTGCCAGGAATCGTAACGCATACCGTGCGGCATCCCACTTGCAAGCCTTAAGAGAGTCTTTGAAAGTACGCACCATGTAATCCACAAATTCTCCTCCAAAATTAAAATTTTTAGCGTTCAATAACCCCACCAACGTAGTATATATCGTACATTTCTCCGGCATTTTAATAGCGCAATCCGTAAGAATCCTCAAAATTTTCATACGAAACGTACCCAAATCGGCTTCTAGTACGCTCGCCAAACCTTCCAAATTTGATTCGAGCGAAGAGGTGCTCTTCTCCCCCACTCTCAAAATGAGAGACTCCAAGCGATCCTCGATTTCTTGATTTTCAGATACTCTGCGCCTTTTTCTGTAAGCTCGGTCTGGAACGTTATGGCATTAACACTGAATATGTAGGACAGGCCGCCCTATAAAATTACCGTAACCGTCGTCTTCCTCGTGAACTCTTCTCCGACTCATTTTAAAACTCGTACGAGAGATCTAAATAGTTTTTACAATAAAAATAGAAGTATTGCAAATACAACAGCCGCAAAGCAAAACTTTAATTACCAACTTAACCTCAAAAAAGAGACACACAACCTCAACAATTTCACAAAATGCAGTGTCTACACTACCCGTTGACGGTCTTTATACAACAGTTACTTTTATACACGGTCGTTCGACCATGCTGTTATATACCGTGTGTCCCAAGCTGAACACGCCAAATGCAAACAAATTTTATGCGCCGCCGTGCAATTGTTTCTTAAGTTCCTCATGATTTAACCATTTGTTTTAAGTAAAAGCAGTTTTTCAAGATGTTCATCGGTTAAACATCTTCCCATCCCATCGCCATCGCTTCCATTCATTGCTGTGCCGAGCTAAGGTCACCTATTGATCATTTTTGCGAAAGACAAGGGAAGAAGCGCTCGGATACGGTTTTCGCCGCCTCTGCGATGTAGTCAGGGGTTTCAACATTTTGGGATGTAGGAGTACCATTAGACACTACCATCATAGACCTAACGCTACCACGGCGTACAAGATCCACCAGAGGTTGGTGGATATGTAAACAATAATAAAAATTCACCAAAAAGGACTATTTACAAAATTTTATAAATAGATTTATTGTAAATTTTTTTTTTAATAGAAGAAAAGAAAAATGTCTTGTAGTTATGCCGATGGTTTATCTGCTTATGACGATAAAGGCGTTTTGGGTCTCCCAGAGGTACCTACATCATCCTTGATTTCATTTCACTTTCGTAATTTAAGCAATTCGATACTGCCAGTGAAGTAGAACAGAAATGTAAATTATTAACGCAATGGATTTTGGAATCTCGGCATGTTGTTTTTCACACAGGTGCCGGTATAAGCACATCAGCTGGTATTCCGGATTTTAGGTTAGATCAAGTTACTGTAATTCCCGAATTGTAATTAGTTTGAAGGGGTCCGAATGGGGTTTGGACACTGGAAAAGCAGGGCATAAAACCGAGTATTAACATGTCATTTGATGATGCGGTGCCTACTTCAACTCATATGGCCTTAAAAAAATTGGTTGAAGAAGGATATGCAAAGTTTATCGTTAGCCAAAATATTGACGGTTTACATTTACGTTCAGGCTTAAATCGGCAGAACATTGCTGAGCTTCACGGAAACATGTTCACTGAACAATGTGCCACTTGTAAAAGGTAAAAGTAAAGGTGTGTAGGCTACTACAGCATGTTTTCAGGCAGTTTATTAGATGCTCGGCCACGACTAGTGTGGGACAGAAACAGCTGGGAACAACGTGCCCGGGATCACAAGTATCACGCCGTGGCTGTAGAGGCAAAATGATCGATACAATATTAGATTGGGAGGCCAGTTTACCAGAAGATGATTTAGTAATGGCAGACTATCACTCTTGGTAGAATGTTAATGCAAAAATTAGTAATTACATTGTTTGTTCCAGTGTTGCTGACTTAAGTATAGCCTTAGGGACTACCTTACAAATTGTCCCTAGTGGAAATCTTCCCACCTTTACGAAGAAATATGGAGGGCGTTTAGTTATAATCAATTTACAGCCAACCAAACATGTAAGTGCACTACTTCCATTATTATAAAATAACTTTCATTTTTAGGATAAAAAAGCCGATCTCATTATACACAGTTATGTAGATGAAGTGTTATTAAAGGTAATGAATTGTTTGCAACTAGAAATACCGCAGTACAGTGAGGATCTGGATCCTACAAAGCGGAGAAACGATGACATTGTGGAGTGGAACTATTTAAGATTAAGTATTAATGATATGAAGAATATGTATAATGCTCACACTAAGAGATTTAAAAAAATTAAACTGGAAAGGAAACTTAAAAGGGAAAATGAAGACGAAATTAAAAAGGAGGAAAAGAAATTTAAAGAAGAGGATAGTGATCAAATAGTCACGCCTGAAGTTATTGTTGTAGAGTAATGATGACAATTTTATGTTTTATTATATTTTTTACATCACTTTTAATTTAAAATAAATTAATTGAACCTTATGATATTTTTTTGGTCGACATTCAGTTTTATTTTAACCATTTTTTGTACTGTACCCATGCATTCAATGTTGATTCGTGGTTTTAAATATTTTGAGGAGCAGCAGATCCGAATTTATCTCTAGCCCTCTATAACACCTGAATGCTACTCAAACTGTAAAAATTTGTACTCATTTTTTGGGCATGTTAAACGTAATTTAGTCCCGAGTGTTTGCATATAGATACAGTGATGTTGGCAACAATAAAAAAACACAAAATCCCTCAAACAACTTTATTAATACATAAAAAGTAATTTAAATCTTATTTGAGAGGAATGAAACGTGAACTGTGTGTCGCACCAATACCAGGTCTACCATGTTTAACTGGTTTATATGTAAGCGAAAATTCACCTAGATAATGTCCAATCATTTCGGGTTTAATTTCAACCTGATTAAAAGTTTTTCCATTGTACACGCCAACAATTGAACCAACCATCTCAGGGACAATGATCATATTACGCAAATGAGTTTTGACGATTTCCGGTTTCTCATTCGGGGGAGCCTCTTTTTTAGCCTTACGCAACTTCTTAACCAAGGCCATCGGTTTACGTTTTAAACCTCTGCTGAATCGCCTTCTGGCACGAGCGTGCATTAATTCCATAAGTTGCTCACTGCAAAATCAATTTAGCATAATTCGACCTTTGAGGTTACGATAATAGTTACTTGGGCATATCCAGCAATTGGTCTAAATCGACACCTCTGTAGGTGAATTTCCTGAAGGTCCTCTTCTTCTTGATTAATTCGTCTCCCTAAAATAATAAGTAGACAGATAAATAATGTAACTTGTGTTTATAACCTAAAACAGTATTGCACTTGCAATATCTCAAAAGTACAGAGGAAATTGTAAAATATAACCTTTACCTTTTCTGCCATGTTCCTTTATTAAATTATTTCTCGTATAAAACGTATACTTCTAAAGATGAAGTAAATAACGATGGATAATTATGTCCGTATTATTTGAGAACAGCAAAAAGCTGACAAAAGGAAGAAAACGGATTGGTTCATGCGTTGCCAAACTTGAAAAGCAAAAGTTCCCAAATGTGAGAGCGGAAAATTTAAAATATACAAGGCGATCGTTTTAAACTTGATTTTTAGCACATTTTTAAGGATTAAAAAAAATGTTTTGTCAGTAAGGACCCACTTCTGCCGTTTTGAACTACTTCTACGGGAATGGCCCCAGTTACTAGAACCAATTAGTCAGCAATAAAATATTATTTTTCTTTTATTTATTCGATGAGGATTTTTTAAGTTCTACAAAGTTTTTAATTTTAGTTAGCTTTTTTGAGCACAATTTTGAAAAATCCTCATATATTTTACAGATAATTGGGAACATCCCAGTTTTGTCCTCTAAAAAACTTAAAATCTTGAATAATTCAATGCGAAAAGTATTACTTTCAGAAAGCATAATTATATAAAATCTATGGCAATTTTAAATTACACAAAAAGCTCAGCCTACTTCAATATCGGTCTATGAAAAAGCGCCGCTTAACACAAGTTCAATTGCTGCTTGCACATCACCCGAAGTAGTTTGTAACGCCCTAATATTTATAACTTCATTAACAAGCCCCATTTCACGCATTTGCTGCAGTTGTGGCTGTAATCGTCGTGTCATTGCCTCGAAACCCTCTGGAACACTCGGACTTCCCAATCTGTTAGTTGGAGGTGTCTGATTTTGTGACAAAGCAAAAGCTTGCTGCATGGCATTACTGAACATTTCCGATGTAATAATGTTGTTGGTACCCCCTGTGGGAGTACTTGATGTGTTTCCAGGGCTGCTTGACAATCCGTACGTGGCAGTAGTTGCATTAGCAATAGCTGCTGCGAGTTGAGCCGCCGTGATCGCATTGTAAGATGAATTACGGGTTAGAGGGGCGGCCTCTTGAGCAGTTTCGTTTGGCGATTCCATGTCTTCGTCGTCCGATAGAGCTTCAAGTGAATAGGAGTAGCCGGAACTGGTACTTGCTTGGGTATTAAATGGCGTGCTTTGTGTTTCTTTGCTTACAAAAGCAGCAATGCGATGTGCTGCGTCTATTAAGGCGGGATGTGACTCTCCGATCGATCGTACAGTGTCAGGATCGGCCAACTGCATTATTAATTCTGAATCGCGAATTATAGCTATGGCAACTGGGTCTTCAGCCAAACCCGGTGTTGAGGTGATAATATTGTCGAGAACATTCGGACGAGAAAGTTTGTGTAGTGCTGCCCTGTAGCCGGAGCACACAAGAAAAGAACGAAATGCTACCACTAGTTGTTGAACGTCTGTTTCACTTATAGGCTTTACTTTGGTGTGCACCACAGGTACTTTCTTCTCCAATACGTGAAGAGTAACACCTGATTTAACCCCGTATGACGATAACGTAGAATTGTCTTCCAATATAATGCCACAGTACACCAATTCTACAAATAAACAATGCAAACATTTATAACTTACTCATTGTCTCACCCATCCTTTGTTTTTCCACATTAAGTGTTTTTGCAGCCTCATCTTTAACCAAACCTACGTTGTTGTCTAAATTTATATTGTCTAATTTAATTCGTTGATACTGATTTGGTTGTAATCTAACACCGAGAACGATATTATCGCACATTTTTAATAGTTTCTTCAACAGAAATTTAAACTGTTTCTGAAAATTGGCACTTGACCTTGACTTGCAATATTTTTGTCGATAATGTTGGTACCATCGAATAACCAGTCACTGTCTTGTACAGGACCGGCTCTAAAAGGAAAGAGGCTATTTGTTAGAAAAGATGATACTACGTTATTATTGTTGAAGTAATGTGGAAATTAGTAAATTACTAAATTTACTTTTCCATCAAATTAACTAGATCTAGGAATGTAGTCTTTTGTTATAAATATTATTCGTATCTGTCATTAGAAACTGTTCTAATAAAAACGTTGTTCAAATCGCAACTTTTGCCCAATTTAATACCATCAACAATTATGATTGTCGTTTTATCTATTAAACCGAAAGATTTATTTTATTATAAAAGTATTTATTTGATTAAATATAGCACGCAGGATGCTGTAAGCTAGCTGGTTCGCGACGTTTCTTTATGGTATTTTTATTCGTGCGTTTCCCCCCATTTTATTGCTTGAAGACGCAGTATTTCTCATTTTCATAATATTTTTGTACATAACAAAGTTAATTAAAGTTGTTACGTTGTCCATATTCGGAAAAAGTGAGCCAAGTTGAAGTAAAGGAAGTAGTTTTAGGTTTTAGTGCACCGTTGATGCGACCTGCAGATTATTATCATTAAGAGAAAAAAAAAATGTAAACAATTTTTAAATTTCCTTACTTCATCGACCGCCTGTATACGGAGCGAGTAATTTGGCCAAACAAGCTTCTCTTTCTTTCAGGAATTTTGTTTAACGTTCTTTTCATGTGTTTCGAAATAAAATTGTCATTGTTAATCAATTGTGTTTATTCGAACCCATTGTGCGACTCGGATATAGTTTTCATGTCAGATTTTTCTCTCGTGTCCAAGAATTGTGTCAGGCGTTTATGAACATTTGTGTAGTTAATCCTTTGGAAGAAGTCTCCAAAATTATTAATTTAAGTCAATATTAGGATTTTTCTTTGTGGCAGTTACCAGTGGTGTACGAGGAGAAAATTGTTGGTAATTGAATTCAGAACCGGGTGTACACTAAGATTCATTTTTAATACCAAAATTTTCCTTTATTATTTTATCTTTCTTTTTCGGTATGTCATGGCCTATCTGTGCACCAACTTTAAGCTTTATATAGGTAAGTATGTTAAAGTGTATTTTAATTTGATTGTGCGAACGGCCAAACGGACGTTCAAAGACGTTGGCGTCTGATAAAGAAAAAAAAATTCACCAAATATGGAGATTAATTTAAATATGAACTTTAATTCACAATCATTTTCTGTTGTGGATGTGCTAGTCTATATCTAATTTTCGAAAAGATCCATCTAATCCAAACAATTCCTGAGAAAGTGTAGATTCTTGCGGCCTTTTGGATTCATCTGTGCAAAATGTTCGGTCAAGCGCATACCAATCCTTATAACTTTCAACTTTAAGCTTTAGTTGCGCTAAAATAAAAAATTTAAACGGTTTTTTGAACTGTTACCCATATATTAGTATAGATACCTGCTAATTCCTCTATGGGTTTACCTGTGCCACCGTACTCAGGAGGAAGGAGATCACGTGGAAAATGCTCGTAAATATCATCACCGCCGGCGTTGTCATCATATAAAAACACCTGCAAGGACAATTACATACATTTTGTAATATTATTCATACTGATTTGCAGTTATTCCACCTTATGTGAAAGAACCAATGAAATAAAGAAGATAATACTAACGGAGGTTCGTAACTTTTTAGGCACAAACTGCAAAGCTAATTGCTTTAAAGTCCTAGCTATCGGTACAATATTTATGACGTGCAGTGCCTCAAGTCTTATCGGGTAAGAGTCCAGGAAACACAGTGCACACTTTTTCAGTAAAGGCAACGTAACTTGCGCTAGGTGATCATAAGTGATGCCAGCACTATCAAACAGCAGGCTCAACCCATTAATGGCCAGTTCATCATATTCCTCCAACAGAGCGTCTATTATCATTGTAAATACCTTCACTCTGGTTTCGAAAGATACAATTCGCGTGTCAACAGTTCCAACGCGGAAAACCAAGCGGATTGGTTCACATTCTCTGACAGGGAGCACAAACACAATTCTGAAAAAAATGCCTTATCTTGTACCTACCTGATTACAACTGGAGTCGTGCCACTCACCCATCGTCAAAGCAACGCTGAATGTCCAGTGAAAATGGATCACGTACAGCATAGAACTCACTGCAAAGAGTTCTCGCTGTGTAATATCTGTCAATTTTTTCTTTTGTCCTTTCTAAACTGAACTTGGATCCTCTTAAACAAGTCAGCAGCCACTGGTCATCTAAAAGGCTGAATTAGTTCTGTAGATAATTAATTTAGGTATATTACCTGTGCGCGCTTTTAAATGACGCTGTGACTTTAACCATTCCCTAAGAGACTGAATATCATCGTTAACACGGTTCGCAACTTCGTTCAATTCTGTTTCCGCTATAAGTTGCAGTTCTTTAGATAAAATTCTTACAGACATTGCTAAGAGGCTAGAGCACGCAGAATAATGTGTAACATGCTACACCAATACACAATTTAAATATATTCAATTACTTGTAGGTATATTGTTGGGCCATATTGACGTAATTAATGATATTTACACATAATTAGACTTTAATATTGAACGCAAGCCTGAGAAATACAATGTCCTATACCTGAAGTTTTATTGCAAAACAGCGTTCATGCGTCATAACTATTAACAGTTTGACTGGATTCCATTGATGTCTATCTATTTGGACTACACGTGTATCCACAACATGCACTGATATTTCAAATATATGTTGTTAAATATGAGACCACATACCTTCTATATTGTTGCGCCTTCACCAAGTAAATTTTGATCAGTGTTGAAATACTCAAAATATGCTTTATCTCACCAAATTCTCCAAATCCTGAGGGCTGTGTTTTGTTGATTATGAAAATGATAAAAAAATAAGTTTTTAACCTCTTTTTTAACGCATTCAGTGCAGTATTATCTAACCAGCGTGGTCCCATATACTTGCAAGAGTAAAATTTTTCCTAGATTAATTGTCCAAAAATACATAGTCTTCATAATTTTACTTTTACGTCTGAAAGGTCAAAAACTGCATTTTTTTCCCTTAATGGCAAACCCTTCTTCACTTAAGATGAAAAGAAAGAGAGATGAAGTTTGCCTTTACGAACCAATTGATACATAATATAAAATGTGCATACAAATTATGTACATCAGCATGTTAAATATAATTATTTTATTCACCGCTCTGACGATCATAAAATAAGGTCAAAGTGAACATTACCCCTTTTCCCCCGAATGTAACAATCTTGAGAAAAAATTTTGCCAACCATAAAATTTGCAATGACGTTAAAGTTCAAAAATAATTAAATAATGAATAGGTATACAGGATGTTTACGCTCTTCTCTGTATCATTTTAAGGGGCGGCAGTACAGCTCAAAAGTAGTCGACAAACCCCAAAACGCCTTAGCTAGTAAAAAATAATTTAAGTGGGCAATGCTGATTAAGTAGTACATTGCTAGATTTGAACACAGATTAATCGTTTAATGTAAAAAATAAAACAAATATTATCTCGCTTATTAAATAACTTTTACTAAGGTGTTTTGGGGTTTGTCGACTACTTTTGAGCTGTACTGCCGGCCCTTAAAAAGATGCAGAGAAGACCATAAACACCCTGTATATGTTTAAATTTACAAAATGGAATATTTATCTACCGATTCAGTGTCATTACAAATTAATTTGCAAAGAATTGTCAGAAAATTTTTTATTTTTAATAGGTAGCATACATTACTGAACTTACGAGTTTTTACCTACCATGGAATTATATTATTTAGCATTTTACTCATCATTGTCATTTTGAAGTGCATTATTGTCTTGATGCGAATTAAAACCAATTAGGTATGCATCAGAGAATTTATATAAAATTAAATGGGAGGACAGCAACAGACACTAGTATAAATTATTGCGCATTTAATAATCCGCCAATATTATAGGCAAAGTATTAGTCCTTGACTTTTGGAACTGTATGTATAAGCTTTTTTCCAAAAAGAATTGATTATATAAAAAAAATTCAATATGACGGACATGATCAAAAACGGCCATGATTTAATTGGTCCTAAATGTAAGTAATTGAAATTCTACTTATCGAAAGAGTAGGACATTAGAATTATTTCCCTAGAAGTAATTGAAATCTAGAAGTGGGTCGAGATGGATAAAACGTATAGGTATCTATAGTAACACGTTTTTTTATCTTAAAAAAAGGTTCACATTATAAATATTCGTAAGTTTCAAGGCCACCAGATACAAGTTTTGAAATGTGAAGACCCTGTACTTTGATATTTTTGTGCATTTAATTTCTGTCTCGATTTCTGTAAGCTAGCTCTACAGTTTAGATTTGATACAGAAAACAGTGATGGTCAGTGAAAGTAGAAGCTTTTACACTTCATTTCAGATGTCCGTACAGTGGATGAATGTGTAAAGGTAAATTCATAGCTCTCCGTTCATACGTTTCCGTTTGTCCGTTAGCCAATCAGAAGACAGCAAATTTTTAAACGTACGTCGTCCGTTTACGACGGAAAAGTTGGTTGAAGTTGAACAGAACATTTACGTTTCCGTTGGTCCGTTTTTAACAAGAGTGAGGTTATGTTTGGTATGTTAACAGCGTTCGCCTATTCGTTCTTCACGGTAATAATCAGATAGCAATGTGTTCTTACTTTCGTACCATTTTCACATACTGAAAATCACGGAGGGTACAGTACAAAATAAAGTTTAGGTTATGGTTATACTTGCAAATGTACAATGTGGACGGATTGCTATGAACCTTAACAAAATGTACTATCCGTTTGACGGATCAACGCAACGGATGAACGAAGAGCTATGAACCCACCTTAAGAGCGGCGAAAATACAGGGTGGTTTTTAAGTGGACCATTGGAAGTATTTCAGGAACGGTTTGGAATTTAGAATCGATCAAAAGGAATCATTTAAAAATATTTTCAAGATGGTCGCTTTTCCGGTTGTATCAGAATGATGCCGGAACTTTATTATTTCAAATGACACTATCTTTTCTCATAGCATTTTCGAATTCCTCATAAAAAATCAGTATGACTTTGTTAATATGATGCTATGGGACATGGTTTCGAAGTTATTTGACATTTTTTCACAGTTTCAGAGGTTCAGACATGTTGGTAAAAGATTTATGACACTTAAACTCACTTACCTTTACCAAAATTGATACGCTAGACGTACGTTGCAATATAACTTACTCGTTAAAGCGAATAAGAAGTTTGCATACTGAGTTCATCAAAATCACTCACTTTTTCAGATTTGTAATATATATAGTTAAAAATCTTTACATAAATAAAATTACATGATAATAGTGTACTTTACAAGTACTAACAAGAGCCACTTACTTACAAGAACATATAAAATTAAATATGTTAATACTTGCTGCTCAGTATCTACCGGGCAAAACGTTTAACAAATTTTATGCATTAAGGTATCTCTTACAAAGGTACGGAATTTAATGAGTTCTCAGAGCTGTTAGTCTGGGGTGTTTCTAAAGCTGCTATGCGCTGCTGCAGGGTTGCCACCTGGAAAAAATCAGTCAGTCAATAGTAACAAAAATGAGAAAATAAAACGTTTATCTGGTTACCTGTGAATTATGCCGTTCGACCATACTAATCATTTGTTGTTCCATTTTTGTTAATCGCGCTTGATACTTTTTATGATTTCTATCCACAGTGTCAGCCAGTATACTAAAAAGTTGAAATATTTAATGAAGTTTTCGATAGCACACGTACCTATTAGTGTTATTCAAGTCGTGCACCATTTCACGACCTTCCAGCAGCCTTGCCTCCGCATTTTTAGTAACTTGTTCTAACGTCGAAACGAGTTCTTGTAGACGAATCTTTAATCGCGCTTCTCGCGCCAATGCTTGAATCAGCTCCAATTCAACACCTTGGGCGTGTTCAGCATCGGAATACCCTCTTTCCTGAAAAAGTTGATTACAGATGCAAAAGATTCAATTATGACCATACTTTGTTTTGGGTGGCGATGGCCAGAAGCGCTTCCGTATCCTTAAGCTGCCCCTGCAAATTTTTTAACGTGGCTGCTTGAGCTTTCTGTTGACCTTCAACGTATTTCAATTTCAGCTGTATCGCGCTTTTGTCTTTTTCCAATGTGTACAATTTTGATATTAAATCTACTTTTTCTTCTCTCAAGCCCATTAATTCCTACAAACAAAAAAATTTGCGCATCGATTTATGAATAAGTGACTACCTGTATAAGTACAGCCATTTCCAAATCCATCTTACGAGATTCTTGCGTGTTGCTAAGTTTAAGCGTTGTTGATTCAACTTGCGGCGACTCCAGAACAACGTACGTTCCTTGAATTGTGCTTCTTTCTGCTTTTAACCTAGAGACGTGCTCTCTCAGCCTAACCTCCTCATCGGCAGTCCACGGTTGCATATTGCTACTAAATTTTCTTTGTCAACTGATCAAATCAAATGAAATTAATTTACCTGTCTGCGTTAGGACTTGTAAAAGCGCGATTCTGCCAGGGCGATAATAATACGTCAGTGTCTTGGAACATGTCCAAATGGTGCAGTAGCTGTTTCGCAATTATTTCAGCTTCAATTCTGTTCTTCACAGTTTCTGCATAAGAAAAATCCACACGTCAGCTTTTTCAGATCAAAAATTCTGAAGCGAAAGCCTTTACAAAAACTGCTAGTAAGTAAGCAATACCGATCCTGGACCACTTTGACCTTGAGTTCTTGCCTGAACCAATGTCAACCACGCTTGAACTTGGCGCATGCGCAGAACTCAAGGTTAAAGTGGTCCAGGATCAGTGTTCCTTACCTACTACTGCTGCTATGTTTTAAAGAGGAAAATTCACCTACCTTCATTTTCTTGATTTAAGGCTAATTCAGTCTCAAGTAGTGCTAGCAGTACATCATACGCTTCTACTGCTCGATCCATAACTCCTAAAGCTAATCGTAAAGCTATTGCATTGGATTCATATTTTCCACATAGTAAAGCTAATCTAAAATAAGTCCTTACACACTAAAGTAATCGTGAAGCTTGCTCACCTATCACAATGAGATTTTGTTTCTGATAAGGTTAACGCCAAAACTGAATTCTGAGCCTTTGTGTGTTCCAGTTTGGCAGTTAAACTTCTTAATTCTAAATCTACTGCGTACTTCTCGCTTTGTACATCACATTGCCTTAATATATCACCCACAATATGTTCAGCAATTGCTGTTGGCAAATCTGTGTTCACCAGATCGTTAAGTTTCACGTCTCTTTGACTATCGGTCGCGCGTTTCAACTTAATACGTTCCGCGACTTTAGTGACCGGAGTGGTGGTAAACCCTACCAAATTAGCAACATTATTCTTATGTATTGGCACGATGCTGCTGTATTTGATATTATTCTCGTTTTTGGAGTTGTAATCAGATTCTATATGCGAATCAGGTGACGAAGCGTTCATCTCTTTCTCCGTGCTGCAGTAATTATCAGAAGTTAATTTTCCCTGCGCATCAAGCAGTTGGGCCTTTAAACTAACAATTTCTAATTTTAGCGATTCTATGATTTCGGAGGACACTTCGCCTCCCTCTGGAATGGAAGAGATAAATTTCGGCTCGGGAAGCTCAATCGGACTGTCGGGTATCTAAAAAGGTTACATTTATAAGACGTTGTTTATTCAAATGACATACTATTTTATTCTCGAAATCTGATAAATCGTTTTCGGCAGCATCTAACTCACTTACTTCTAATGGACAGGTAATGGAGTCTTCATGGCCACTTGTACCAACCTCTATAAGTAATAAATAGACGATATTTAATTACAAAGGAAAACGATATTCTGTGACTATGCAAAGAAGTGGAGACAAGCAAAAAATCTATACCTACCTGATCCTTCATCTTCTTCTACAATAGCCATAGATCGCTGTTGGTGTAACTTTCGCGTCAATTCAGCAATCACAGAGTGTAACTCTGTCAGCTGCTCTTCATATCGCTGAGATTGTTCTTCCAATTTTTGCTGAAGACGTTCCTGCAAGACATAATAGTCGAATATGTACACGTTTGTAGTTAGCCCGCAAAAAGCATGTAGCTACCGTGTGACCTATTTTCGTTGAGACGGCAGTGTATTTCAGCCGTTTTTAAACATAGAGACCCTGTGCCACTTTTTTGTTAAACTTTTAATACCACAAACAGAATCAATCTGAGATACAGGCTGAAAACGAAAACTTTCACTTTTAGGATGCTACCATATACTACCAATGTAATATAAAAAAAAGTAAAAACTGTCTATTTTAGCTATTTTTACGTAGAATCCAGTGGTGTAGTAAATACATTTTTGGACCACCCTTTTTGAGATTTGACCGAAAATTGGTACTTTTGAAATGTAACATCCTGTTAACATTGATGTATCACGAGTCTAGTTATATCTATTTTTTATTTTACCCATAAATTGAAACCTTATTTTTGAGTTTTTTAATAGTAGGCCATGGATTCATAGAGATTTTGATTTGTTTATGGTATCCACGGTAACTAACGCAGGCACTACCAATCAAGAAACGTGGTTGACGATAGAAGCATGCCATTTTAAAATTTTGAAATGGTTATGTTTTTCTATCTTACATGGGTAGTCAGATAGGATAACATTCCAAAGCGTCAAACTTTTCGTTTGCACCTTGTATCTCAGAAACAATCGTAGCTAGATGATTCTGTTTGTTGTATTCAGTTTCACAAAAAAGTGGCGCAAGGTTGCGGAACTCGCAAGTCTCCACATTTAATTACAGCTGAGTGCACCAAAACAAGACACACGAAAATTCTATTTTGAATCATAATAACTATTGATATGCATATGCAATAGGATAAAGAATTATAATTCTACTAGCATCTGGCAAAAGGCTGAATCAGAGATAGATTAAGTAGTCGACTAACAGACAGACGGAACATTTTTTCATATTTTGAATACTATCTTGGATTAAGTGCATTAATGATATTTTTCCATTGAAACTAGGAACCAATTACTTAAAATATTATTGGCGCATACAAGAACATTTCAACACTATTTGCCAGTAAACTTCAGCGAAGGAACGGACTATAATGGAAACACTTAACTAACGCGAGCTTCAGAATTGGGGCAAACTACAAAGAAAACTAGATTACAGCTCCCATTTGCTTTCCAACAATAACAATAATGGAACGACGAAATATTTTGGAAACGAAATTGTGACGCAAAAGGAGAAAGGAATCGATTTTCGATTTGGTTTGACCTAGAATGAAGCTCGACCTGCACCAATAATATTGACTTGGTTTACAAAATAGACGGCGACTGGCAAAAAGGGTCTCCCTTGGTAGTTACGTTATTAATTAGTTAAGGTCAGTTCCTAATGTAATTACTTTCAATTAACAATTAACTAATGGGACAGTCATAATTTTAAATTAAATTGCTCCCAAAATTGTAGGTGTGGGACTATGTTTGTTATACGGATCGATGAATGCCCCGCCTGCGAAAATGTTTGAAAGTAAAACGCTAACGCCGAATTGAGGGAAATAATTCATTCAGTTTTCGAGACTTACGAGAATTGCGGTTCCCAATTCGTGCAGTATGTTTTCAGCACTCTCTTGATTCAAGTTTAAATGTTTTTCGCAGATATAAAACAATTCAACTCAACTTTTAGTGAAAAATATTCACGTATTTATCATCCCCCAACGTAAAAATTATACAGAGACCATATTTATTTCTCGCGCGGCTTATGACAAAGCCAGTCATCATAATAAATCTGGTTTTAAGATGAAAATTTTTATATTATTTTTAATAAACTTTCCCAGTGGGAAACGTTTATATCGTGTGAGATTTATTATATTACCTTTTTCTTCCTCTATGGACGATTAATGCATAATTATACAAGCCATCTTTTAATTATTATCCATACCATTTTATTGAATAATGCTTAATTAGACCTTCGGTATAGAGTCCAGAGGGCTTTTCACCCCCTCGTGATACCAACATTATACAGAAGAAGCAAATGTGTTTCTAATCCAGAGGGGAGCAAAGGGGTTTGAAAACGGCGATGTTGGTTTCCCAAATAGTATTCTCGAAACATAACTATTTAGTAATCCAAATCGAAGAGAGGAAGAAGAAAATTTTACAATACCAATTCCAAAATATGCATAACAATGTCTCGAACCGTTTCAGCAGAAGAGGTTCCACTACTTTATAGCAAGGCTAATTATGATTGGCGATTTACCTGTAAAAACCGGAAGGAGATTTATTTTATTATGTTGTGAAGTAGTGACGCAACGGAAGTGCTATAACGGAAGCAGAAGCACAGAAGACAAAATCTGTTTTGAGGAAGTAGAAACGGATGCAGAAGTGTAAATACTATTATAAATTTAATAAAAACCTAAGTTTAGTTTATTAAAATATGCGATAAAACGTACGAATTGTTACGACGAACTAATAACACGAATAAAAGTAAAACAAAGAGAACAAGTCGTACGACCAATTAGAGCGTACAGCACACCTTGCCATATTTGAAAAATAGCGAAAGCAGAGGTCTGTTGCATCACTACTGCCAAGTCGGTATATCGCATTTCTCGGAAAGAACATGTCACATCCGCTTTCTTTGCTTATCGCCGGTGACTAATCTTTTATGGCACCTGGATAGCGCCTGCTGGCGTCCCAATATCTGGGATATTCGCTACGCTACAGACATTTCAATAGGAATGGTAAATTAATTTTATTCGTAATGCAGTCACCAGTCATTATATTCAATCGGTACAGATTTTTAGAGGTTTACCTGAAGTGATTTCCCATATAGTCATTAACTGGGTTTGTTGTCTGACTTAGAGGAGTAATTATTCATTTGTTTACGGTATAAATATTCGAATATATCGTATTAGGCATAAAATTGTCCATATAATACATAAATGTAAAAATATATAGGGTGTACCATTTAAATTTTGTGATGTACGGTCACTTCCCAATTTACGTGACAAAATACAAGTATTTGAAAAGACTTTTGGCCTCTCTGCGAAACCATGATATTGTATCATGTGCGAAACTCTAAACTTACCCCTCCTCTTCAGCTAATATTTTGCTTTACCGAGACGTAATTTTAATCAAGCATACATAGTGGTATTTATTAAGAAGTAGACATAGGGATTTATGTGTATTGTTTTTCCTTATGTTTACTTTTAAAAGATAAAATCTCTTCTGAAGGGCGCCTAATTTTCTGGCTGTCATATTAATTAGGTTGAAGCTTTAGCAGAAAATAAATCTCTTACGTTCCTTCAACTGTTACTTTATATTTTGTTTTAAGAAGTTATTATGGTTGCATAAAATTAGGCGCCCTTCCGCAGAGATTTTGTCAGTTAATAAACCGATACAACGAAATATCGAAGGATCCTCAGTATTACAATTACTTTTAACGACAATTTATTTTAATCTTACAAAATACATTTTATAGTTAACAAAAATGCATCAAATTCATGTCTTGGGCATTGAGATAATGCCCCTAGTCTTTTTCCCAACGATCTTGGTGCATAAATAACGATTTTGATATGTTTTGATCAAAATCCATGTGGTCGCCAAAAATTGATCAAATTCATGTTTTGGTCATTGAAATAATGCTCTTGGTCTTTTTCTCAACCATCTTGTTGCATAAATAACGATTTTGACATATTTTGATCAAAATCCATGTGGCCTCAGAAAAATAATTTAACATTTTTGAATCACACACATGCGGTTATCAAACGTGCACGTTATCAACTCTTTCAGCATTAAGATAATGCATTTGAAAGCTTTTACAACTCTAAATTCATGTGTAAAGAATAATTTTGGGTACATTTTGCTCTAAAACTTTTGACCTAGACATCAGAGAAGAGTTATATTGAATTGTTACACTTGTAAGAATAATCTAACGAAAGTCCGAACTCGATACATGACCTAGGGAATGAAATATGTTGATTTCTATTAGGTATATTGTCAATAGCGTCCGTCCTTAATGTCCAACGTACCCGTACACCAAATTTCAACACAATCGGCCACTTTTAAAAAGAGTTAGAGCGCACACGGACGGACGACAATACAAAACTATAAAGGATCTGAGGATCCTTAATAATAGACATAGGGGAGAAAAAACAATACACATAAATCCCTATGTCATACTTTTTAATAAATAGCACTGTATATTGGTATACACCATTGAATAAGTTACATATTCATTGCATACACTCTTAAAAGTGAGTGCTATATAATTATTAATTATGAATGAAAAAGAGATGAGTATCTTTTCATGGTTTTGTATGCAAACCATTAATATTTATTGGTCAATTTCAAAAAAGCCCTTCTTTTGTGTGCCGCCACTTATAAATGTTTTGTGTTAAAAGCAACCGAACAATGAAAACAAACAAAAAAGTAATGACATAAAGGGGAACCGGGGCAAGGTTATTCGGGTGACCGGCAGAGTCTCTACGATTTTAATGGCAGTTTTTATATCACATTCCGGGATTATGAGCAACTTGTTAATTACGCTAAAATTAATACCTACATATGCTCCTCCGGGAAATTCGTAAGGGGACGGCGCTTTGGTAACGGTCTCGTCCTGACTCGAAGGCGTTTTAGCTTCTTCGACAAGAGGCGGCTGTTCGGCCTCGATTTGCTTTTGAGATCCAGGACAACAAAGCCACGATCGCGTTCTTGGCAAATCTCCAGCGAAAGGTTCATCATATGTTCTTTCCTCGTTCCCATTTTGGCTTATAGTATACAACTGGGTCACATTCGAATCCGTACAAGGAAGTCCATCTACACACGTCTTTTTCTCCCCATTACAATTTAGCACGTACTCTTCCATGCACACTTTGGGTTGGTGAATGCGGGTGCAGTCGGTATCACCTGGTGCGTTCTCTTGGAGAGCCATTTTCTTAAGGGAAGCACAATCATTTTCGCCATGTGGATCTTGATCCTCTTGTAAAATGCGTTGCGGTTTAGGCGAAGCCGTGCAAGAATCGACGGGGTTGAAAATATACGTGGTAAAGCAGTTATTATTACTGCCACCTGTCTTTAAGTCAATTCCCGCCAGTATGCCAATTTTTATATGATTACAAACACGTGATATGCTCTGACGCAATTGTACGCTGCACGCATCGTGAGAGACAAATTAGAACAACTCATCACCCCGCACATTTAGAAAGTGAATGCGGGCCGCAATACGAACGCAATTGTACTGCGGCCGCATTACGCAACACTTCGAACGATACTATAATAGAATAAGGGCGTCGCGGCGCACGACGATTGAAGAACTGTCAACCCCTTATCATTTAAGAACTCCAGCATAGCGTTTTTTAACGCTTTGATCTTCCTTCAAATTAAAAAGCTGTTTTCGAATTCTAGACAGGCGCATTTCCTTATGAAAAGTTGAAAGCACGCGTTGGAATTCAAACTTATTTAAATTTTGAAATCGGCTAATATTAGAAATGCATCACGTCTATATATATATATACGCGCTTTATTACAAATTGTGTGAGAAAAAAAGAAAACAAAATGGGGTAAAGGTCCACATACTCGCATTTGGTTTTATGGCAAAAGGGGCTGCGAGAACGAAAATTGGAGAATGATGGAACAGTCTTTCCTCTGACTTTCTCAGGTTTTCTTCTCGTTTCCCTAAACGATCAATACCTTCACCTTTGATGCTCTTAAGGTACCTATATTAGCCATATACATTATTCCATTCAATTTGAAACAATAAAAGTAATTATTGGATTCTCAGTGAGAAATATTCGCAATTATCACGAGTATTCAGTTGAAAATCGAGAACAACTCGCAATTACAATTGAGATGCCCGGCGAGTTTCGTTTGGAAGTAAAAAAGTCATTAGGAAAATGCGACTAACATGAAACCATGCAAATGCAAGCTATAATCTTAATTGTGTGCCACCGCATTTTCCCATTTCCCGACAAAGATATTCCACGTATACAAATCTATTATCAGCATTTCAGTTCACTAGCGCTCTCCCATCGAAAATAGCTGTAGACATTGACAGATAAGGACGCAGGTGAAGAGAATCGTTTTGTCGAAGGAAGCCTTTAAGAAAATCACATCAATAAAACTAAAAGTAGCCGAAAAAATTGGACAGGGGCGGTGCCGGCCGGGAAATATTGTAACGAATGTTCTAGAAATCCACAGAGACATGGGGTCGTCATCAACTAGCCATCGAGATTAGTCACCCGCGATAAGGAATGAAGGCGGATGTGACACGTTCCTTCCGGGAAATGTAATCTGCTTACTCCGGAATGTTAAGTGACTTTTCTAGAAACTTCCGTGATAGCAGTTCCAATAGTGATACCGAAGTGATTATTAGTCGAGTTCGCGCTCGTATGTGATAAAATAAACATTTTACTTTAAACAAAATTAGAGCGTTTCAGGTATATTTCAGTCTTTACAGTAAAAGCAATACATTTAGAGTTTTACCGTTAATATCTAATCAGTTGTTTAGCACTTTCAGGTGCCTACTATGTCGTCTTTTATTTTTCATAGCTGCGTATTATACTTTTATGGCGAATGTGTAAAAGAATTATTTATTCTCAAACTAAACATTTGACACTCAAATCCCAAAATGAAATTTCTAAGTTTGAGATTTCCAACAAACTGAAACTACCAAACGGAACGAGCAATACAAACTAATGACAACTAAAGTTTGTAATTGGATCTTGATAAATTAATGTATAGGGAGGCTTTAGCTATTCAAATATTTCGTGATATACCTACTACAGTTTCTGAAGGTACATTCTTTCTCTTTGGCGTATCTTACGATACATGAGTAGGTTCAAGGGTTTGGCAGAGACAGAGGCGTGACTCCAAGGGGTCATTGCATTTGACCCATTTTAAATAGGCTTATTACTTTTGGGATATAGGTCAACTGTGCAAGGTTTGAACGGAATCGGTCCAAGCGTTCGACAGTTATCATGTTCACGAACGGACACCATCGACTCCCCTATAAAGCTTGCATCGCTTTGCTCTGCCGCTTAATAATAGGCATTATAGACTGGTTCACTATTCAAAATTTCTGAGTCCTAAAGGCATTTGAGACAACATTTGACCAACTAGGCTTCACTAAGACCTGCTGAACATATCGATGAATTTCGATGTTGGTACCTCCAAATCTGAAAGGGAAGTTCAGAATTCAAGATGGCGGTCATTTTCACTCACGTGACCGATTATAATGTTATTTGTAACAGGTGGTCGCCTTATTGTTTTTTTTAAAATAATTTTTCGAATTTGTAATTTAGTACGCATAGGAAGGTTTTTCACATGTACCGCTTTATAGCGAACAGGAACAAAACTACGTCTGAAACTTGTGTATTTGTGTATAGAATTTACTCGAGGGAAGATTTTCGGATTGGAGACGCGCGTTATAATAAACAGAAATTGTTCACATCTCTAACGATAACGGTCAGTTAAAAGCTGTTTATCAAGGTCGTGTAAAACATTTGTGCAGCGCTTTGTGCGATAAATAATATTCTGTAGACGTCATTCGGCAGGAAACTTAAAAATAATTATTTGGTGCGTATTTACTGAAGCCATACGTGTACGTACGAACATTTTTTTACTTAGCATTCATCACGAAATTAACGTTACCGGGGTAGTACAAAAAGTCAACTGTACCGTGGTCTATTTCCATATTTTTAAAGGGGGTGGCATTGAGAGAGAGACTGGTGACTGACTGACTTTGATATTCCTGAAGAAATCGACCTATCACAACCATTTGTATAAAATGATTCTGCATTGTATTTTATTTATGGATAAGAATGAGATACAAGCAAAGGATTGTGATTATTTTGTTTCAATTATTGAGAATTTTATTTACAGTGTTGTCATTCTTTTGGTTGGATTGAGATTTTGTTTAGTATTGAAAAGCAGTTGCATATTTCCACAGAAGAATGTACCAATAAATTGCTAGATAAGAAACAAATTTAGCAGGAACACGTATATGATCACAAAATAGGCATTGCATTTTTGCAAATTTACTCGCAAATTTATTTTTAAAAAGGTAGCTTTTAACCACACTGTGGCCGGTGGGTGGTAGCAAACGCGAGTCCGTAGAAGACCGCATGTAGAAAGACGAGGAGTGTACATGTACATACCTAACAGAGTCATAAAAGGATGAACTGAAAACCTTTTGGACAGTTTTGCGCATGCACAGGAGTGCTATTCGTTAGGAATAAGACAATTCAACAGCCTGTTAATATTGATTCTTGGTCGGCATCTAATCCACCACATACGTTGATCAGCAAATTAAGTAAAAAAAAACTCACGCCCTTATTTGATGGGTTATTAAAACAACCAACATAAACACAATGATGAGAAGTGGAAGTGGTACTATGTTATTTAAATCGTAAACGAAGTTCAGTATCCGTAATTTAATTTAATTACATAAGCAAAAGCGTTAAATTACACCAACTGCTTTCGCTGGCTTTGCATCTCGACAAACGGACCACGCCAAATCTGGGTAGAGATTGAGAATCTTACTGCTAAAATACACACTATGCCACCTACAATGTCGATACCATATAATGAAACAAATAAGTAATAATAATTCAAAAAGTTTACAATCATAGAAATGTTACAAATAAAAGACAGGCATGTGAGTAACCCCTGATCCCAGTTCTCTTTACTGCTGATCCAGCTGTTAACTGACTTGCCTTTCTCAATAGGACAGGAGAGGAAGTGTTTCAGATTTTTTTAAAGCAGACTATCTAGAACTCCTCTATAGTTAGGACTATTTGGCCAGCACTGTGTGTAAGTTGAGGAACAGACCCACCATTTTAAACTTGCATAAAGCATAACAGGAAATAACTTAACGTCTTAACACTCACCTTAACATCCTCTTCGAGTAGTCTACTTTTTCCTGCCTTTTTCAGCAAAGATTTTGGAATAGGACTCATATCACGAGCTCCTGAATCCCATTCCCAACTATCTAGTTTACCTGAAACCATTGCTTAAACTACATTTACGATTCACTACCTTTTGATCATACCCTGACTATGGTCGCTAATGTTATCAGCATTCTTTGTAGTCTTCAGGGCGTCAATTTCTGGGCGTAATGCAAGGCGTCGTTGTAAAAACTGTTCATACGATATTCGTCCTTGCGCATCGGCGCCTAACTCGAGCATCAGTTCATCAATGTACTCTTCTAAACACAATTCCTTGCAGACAGCTAGAAGATCTTGGCTGAAAGTTTACCGATAATAATGAATGGAATTAAAGAAAGTGGATGGGTTTACTTATCAATGAAACCATCGCCGTTCGTATCGCAAGCTTGGAATAGTCGTTTAACTCGGTCTTCTTCACAAATTGAACTCGCATTTTCACTTGCACAATCAGTGGATTCCATAACCTCAATTTGACATCACAATCCGTTCCCTACCTTTAACTTCTTTAACACTATTAATCCATAGCTCATAATTTAGTAATTGCAAAATATTACATACTAACGGTTTGTTTATTGTTGTTTTAATTATTACAACAAATGTTCACTACCATAGCCATCTGGCGGCCATGCAGTGCAAGTACTATTAACAGCATTGCCAGTTCTAGTATTATTGTCCAAACTCCCATTATTTAAATTGTAACTGGCAACGTGGACACGAAACACTGAATCAAGCCGTCCTTCGTCTTGATACGGTTCAGAAAAGTACAAATAATCGGGAAAATTGGAAATTTGAGTCTTGCGTATCTAAAGAATTTGATAAATCCAAGAAAGTTAAGGGTACTAGCAATGTACGAGGTATGTAAATTAAGTAATGAGACTACCTCTGTAGTGATTGCTATAGCAACTCTGGTCGTGTCAAACTTTAAGGAGGGGTAGGTGGACATGCCATACGAGCACAGTACAATTTTGAGCTCAGTATATTCATGTGGCTGTCCGTAAATCATTTTTTTGTCATTATTGTCAAGTTACTTTTTTGTACCTCGTTCCAAAAATGAGTGTCTGGTCCGTTGAATTCGTCAGTTGCCAGTCAGATTGATTGGAAAACAGTTGAATTTGAATTAAACCCGTTTCTTGGAGCTTTGCAATCACTAGTACGGACCAGAAACAAAAAAGTGAATTTTTGGCGAGTAAATATTTCCTGCCATGTCAAGGAACAGTAGAATCTATTCAAAAAGCTGTAACCTACCCGATGAATGTCATTTCAGAATCCGAGCACTGGCGAGTGGAAGAATCCTCTCCAACGCCATGTGGTTTCCCAGGGAGGGGCTATCTCTCCCGGTTTCATAAATTATAAATTGTGTATAAAAACGCACTTTTACATAACGATTCATCCATGGCCTAATAAGAGTATGGTCTGCTATTGCGCATAGTGCATTAGTCGGCTGGCGTTGATGTGTCGTCACGCGGTTGTGAAACGAACTGGTGCCGGCAAGACTCCCATAAGAATAAGTAAGAAAGCCTAACAATTACGGTGAAAAGTTTTCATTCATAAAGTGCTTACACCTAATTAGAACTTATCTGCATATATATACACGTAACAAACTGTGTTGTATTACAAAAACAAAGTAGAAAATCATTAGGTTTTAATGTAAAATATGTACAAAACATCAATTCAGACTGTTTAAAACATGAGGTTTTTCATTGGTTACTAAATGTTCGTCTTTCTGCAGAAGTCCCGCAGTTTCTCATTTTTTTTATTTCGTTTCCGAATTCTTATTACCTTACTCCAAAGTTCAAAGAGTATCGCTATATTATATGCTTTTTGCTTTAACTAAGTGGTCGAAAGCGTCGTTAGGTATCAATGTCTTATCACATGATGCATTAAGTTTATTACTTTCAATAACAGCAAAATAATTTGTTGGCTTTTTTAAATCCCGTTCAGATATAAAATAATCCAATTATCGCCTATTTCCAATTCGGCGATTTCGCCTATAAGAATCGGTATTTCGTTTTTAATTTGTATGCAACGTAAGCAGTCATATAAAGCGAACCTTCTTTATGAATGTTCGTTGTTTCTTGAGCAAAATGAAGTGTCAAAACATATTCCGTATCGTACCTATCTACCTATTTATTAGGTCGTTATACAAATCTATTAACGATCGGTTAGATCGTTGAGTGAAGGTGTAGCCATCAATCAGATGCTTTTACAATTATACCCCGCTGAAAAGCAACATGTTTTGGAAATCTATACTAACTTGTATTTAGTTGTTCTATTGTTATTATTGCAACCAGACACCACACAATGGACCATTGTAATAAAGTAATATAGCTATATAATCGTATTTATCACATATGCAATGGAATATCGAAATATTAGCACATATTTATTCATATGCGCGTGTACAATATTTCAGTGTACACAACCGCGTGACGTCATGCGCGACTTGTGCGAGATTTCGTTCACGGGAATAGCAGACCATACTCTTATTAGGCCATGGATTCATCTATTATACTTGAGTGTTGTAATTCTTGTAGCATACCAAACAGCGTTGTTTCCTTGATTGATTGTATTTAGAAAGTTTAATGTAAATTTGTACCTATGTAGTATGGTGGGTCGCGTACGTTTATAATATTCGTGTTTTGTAAAGGAACCCTGAAGTTTGTTGTACATATGTAAAATACAACAAGAACGTCATATAAGTTATATTTTCTTATAATTTAAAAATGATTTTAAAAATTTAAAAGCATCCTATACACAAGTTTTGTAGATTTTCGCTGTAGTTCAAATGTTTGTAATTAGTTCTATCATAACTTGAGATAGGAAGTAGTTCCGATACCAGTTTCACCATAACCTTCAAATTCCATTTTTTAGATTTATACATTATCGTCTTTAGATATGAATAATCGATATTCAGTAAAAAATAGTGCATTACGCTTTCGTAAAATGCCCAATAAAATCGAAAAATGTAAACGGAAATTCTACTTCCCATGTAGTTCAACTTTCAAATCGCATTCAAACAAGGACCGAAAGAAAAACATTAAAAAATGGATCAATGTAAGAAAATCCTTCGAAATCACCAAAAATAGTCAAAGAGTTTCAGAAGAGGTTACCACTGAGAATCCTAAATCGGAAATACTGCCTTCTAGTCCGATATTAAAGCCCAGTATTGTAGTAAACGAAAAGGTTTCGCCAATACTTAAATTTTCTCGTGATAAGTGCGATACATTTGGCAAAACTTCGCCCACATTAAAGTTCTCACTTCATAAAATTAAAAGAATTTCACCAGTAATTGGCAAACAAAGGTTGAGTGCAGATGCTCCCAATGATACCGATTCCAAAATGAGCTTGCATAATGAATTATTTGATTGTGAAACGTCTACTTATGAAATAGATGACCCAGAGTCGAGAGGATCGTCAAATATTATAACAGAGTTTTTAACTCAGGAATGTACCACTAAAGAATTAGATCCGAGGCTTTTCCAAACGCAACAGCTCTACTATAACCCACCACCGAAGAAGAAAAAACCGTACAGTAAAGATGGACTTGCTTTTGCATTACAAAAAGCATTGCAAAGGAAAAGTGCTCAAGTGACATTTTGGGAACACGAACAAGAACAAGGAAGTGCTGTAGATGACGATTTAACATTGTGTTTACAAATTCATTATCGTTGGATTGAATATGGTATTCATATGTTTGAATGTGAAAACGTTAAGTTAAAAGAATCGAATATTTGTTTAGTTTTAATAGGTTTCGGTGTAAGTAAAGGTATTTGTGCAAATGTACGTAGAATTAAAATATATTTTCCTTACTTAATTAAGTATGTTGACTACAAAGGTAGCAGTAGACTGTGTTACTATAATGTATCCAAGATAATAAATGAATGACTAATAATTGACTTCTTTGCTTTGTGAGATTATAATCACTTCCCTTTTTTTGGATGTGGAAGTTCAAAGATTACACTTCTAATGTACTTAGCGGAGGGCTAATTCCATCAAAGGCCAGGAGAGATTCTATTTTTATTTATTTTATTTTTGAGTAGGCAGGATTTCAGCTAAGGCTGCTCTACCAACCCAACCCACGTTATACATTTACAAATCCATGCCTGAGAAATTCCGCCCCAAATATAAGCAGCGTCGAAACAGCCAGAGGAAGCTCATAGAGCTGAGAACGTCTACCTTATCAGTAAAGCGACCACCGAGGCAGTTCAGTGCCCACCGCCATGTCGTCTTAGCTGTCTAACCGTCACGTCAAGTCAAATACAAGTGCGCCGCATAGCACTACCGCCAGGGCGTCCCCCACTATCGCTAACGGCGCTTCTCCAACTACAAACGCGCCGCCGAATATGACTGGGGCGATTTCTATTTCCACCATATGTACGTCACCTACCACCGCCGCCAGACTAACAACACCTGTATTTGGCTGCCGCACTCCAAGCACTAAAAAGGGCACCACCACCTGGCTTTACTGTTTTCTCCTGGGCCCAACCTCTTTCCATGGCGTATCCCAAACTGCGACAGTGGGTCAGAGAGCATTACGATGGCCCAGCGATTAAGTCTGAACACAGAATTCTACAACCGCGATCAAAAGAACGAAACGGCCTGCCATTAATGTCTCGAGTCAGAGAATCGCCTAAGCGGCCGGGGAGTCAACCTCTCTCACAGTCGTCATCCACCGCAACCCGGGCTGGCATATCGCCATGGAACTTATTGAAGGTCGCCACCTTGTCCTGCTGGACAATGGAGCCTCTCACAACTTTATGAAATGTCGACTGGTCAACCCTAGCTGGTGAACCGCATCAACAAAGGTACAAAACCCACAATGGCACACCTGGCCACAGCCGGCAAGCCCCTAGACACCCTTGACAGCATTAAAATTATCAGTGCGCAATAGAGGGGCGACCAAACAACAGAGCACCTTATAATTCCTGGTGGCCAACAACCTCGCATATAACGCCCATTATTCTGGGTCAGAGGACTGGTTGCGAACGCAACGAAGGCTTCATATATTTCACGGCCCCCGATGTGTCCACTGAGGCAACGAACGGAAGTCCTCCGCAGCGCGTCCAGACCCACACAACACGCCGGTAGCTTCTTGCACCTGAGTCCGCTCAACGACATACTAAAGAAGGGACTTCGATTCACGTGGACGGCCTCCGCGAACGAGGCGTTCGAAAGTCTCCAAGAAGCCCTCGGCCAGTCGCAGTGAAACTCCATCGTTACGCCCGCAGTCACCCAGTACCAAGTAGAGGCGCGAGTAATGGCGAGGAACCGGGAACCAGAAAGCCCGGACCCCACATCATAGAAGTCGTGGTTGGTCAGGAGGGACAACCAGGAGCTCACTAAAGGCAACATTCACGATCTGCGACTCGCACCACCTCCACCAGTTCCTGCTGGAAGCTCTTCGAGGAGGAGGGAAATTCATTATCCTACCGTTGGTTAGTCGTCCCTTACGACATGCAGTAGGGTTATTCTGAATTGCACCTCTAAACGGGTTTAATGGCAGTCAGCAAACATATGTTTGTGTGCCTTGTGAGAAATTTTTGTTGGTCTCGCGATCTTAAATAAATAAAATAAATTATTAAAGAGGACCACCCCCACTTTCACAGTTGTGACGCGAAGTAAATTTTAGAAACGAACGAAAAATTGTGGTTTATTTTTATATAAAAGCCTTCCTTTTCGGGTTTCATAAAAATACCTAAGCGATCTAGGATCTTCATAAATAAATGCATTTAATTCTGTGATTTGAGAAGTAGTTGGGAACCATAGTTAATCAGTTCGCCTTCACTAAAAAAATCATACGCAAAATTTTATTATAGCACTAGAGGTACCTACATACAAGCAATTACCTGCAAAATTGATTTAAAAACTCTATTTTTGAGATTTCAGAACCCTCATCTTTGAAAAAAGTTCATCCCAGTCTATGTATACACCTTTCAAATACCTTTCCGTTTTATCACTATCCTGATAAGAAGTCCGACCATGTAATAATCTTACATTATCCACTGCCAAAAGTTCACCTAAAAAATAACTAATAAATGGGAGAAGCAGTGAGTTTACCCCTCTCTTGTTTTGGGCCCTCAACAGGCATGCGCCCAATTACAGAGTGACCCGCATAATGCTATTTAGAGGTGCATACCTGGTTGCAATTTCAATTTACTGGTACCGTGTGTAATCGAATTTACAAACAGTTTCAGGGCTTCGTACCATGGTTTGACATGCTTTACATCCACTGTGAAATGTGAATCTCTTTGTGGGACAGAGTAATGAATCTTATCAATGTTACCTTGCAGGTCTAATCTAAAAATCCACATCTAACAATATCATCAAACGCCAGAGACCTACCTTATCACAGGACACCGAAATATCGTATGATATTTATCTCCATGTTCGCTTCCAATATCAAGCCAATTCACTTCCACACTACTCAATAAATCAAAAGCTTCTTTGTTTTCCTGACGCAACTTTTCCGCATGGTACAAACCATCAGAGAGCAAACTATCCCCACCTTCACCATCTGTCTGTACTAAACAATGTAGTATAATAGCCTAAAAGGTTTAAGACAGGTAACTAAATTTTACATATTCTATACGCGTATTACTCCAGGCACATACTCGTAGTACGGCAAATCAGTGTGAAGTTGAAGTGAACCAGATAAATAGGCTACATTTGAGGTTCCTGGTGTATGACGTACTTCAAATTCTTCACTAAAATGAATAAACCTTTTGAAAAGATGTAGGCAATGGCACGGGCATGCTATTCGGAAACATCTCAATAATTCAGTTTTGATCTCTAGGATCTAGGATTTTTAGATATCTTTACAAAGGAATTTGTGACTGATAAACTAAAAGGAGAATGGTGTACGTACACATAATGTGTTTTTCTAATAAACGCAATTCTGTTTGCAACTTTGGCTGCTGCGTGGTTGTCATTGGGAGCGTTTCGTGTGAAAACCATGCCATAGCGGGCAAAATCAACTAACCAGTTATACAAAGCGTGGTCACTGAAATAAGGTGGTTATCAGTGCATTTGGGATTTAAAATTCATCCATACTTTTTCATAATATCTTCATACTCATATACTTTTCTAGCGGCATCGAAGGTCTCCTGACTCCAAGGTATTCTTGCCGGTCTGTAATTTTCCTGCAAATACTTTTGTTGTGAATCTTCTCTGAAGCTGCGTTCTTTTAACCAGTCAATGCTAAACTTTGAAATGTGTTTGTCGTGCCATTGCAAAACTAAATTGTTATCGTTCGTAATCTAAAACAAAGATAATGTTAACATTGCAGCAAGACACTGCTGGTAGACCCATTGGTCATGTTTAAAATGTAACTGATAAGATACGAGGACTGTTCTGTAAAATAAAAGGGAAGGTTAAGACCTTTTCGCTTCATTATAATAAGTATTGAGTGGTCAACGAAGAGCATTTCGCATTACCAGTATATCCCTGATAAATCCAAGATGAGGTGACTCTATCCGTATTTATGTGACCTTTTTATATTTTTTTGTACCTTTTTGATCTGATTTTGCTAGCTGATCCAGAAAAACGTAAAAAATCTTAGCAGGGGTGAGGTCTTATACACGACATAAACGAAAGTGAAACTCACCTCTATCGTTGACACCTTCGGGGATGTATCAAAATTAATCCATTTAATTATTCTGGACGTTGAATGTTCGTGAAAGCAAGACGTACATTTGCAGTTATCTCTTAGCCATACCAGCGGGAATACTTCCTGTTGTTTTTGTATGTCAAGAATTAAATTTTCTTTATTTTCACATAAGCGAGCGGAACTGTAGTTCCTAATTAATTGAGTCAATTGCTTTAATCGCGTAACTGCTTGTTGCCTTGGATACATTGTTCATGTGAATAATGTCTATGGATACTGTGTATAGGTAGTCTGATTATAAAGACGTTGGATATCAATATTAATGACACAATTGAACTTTGAACACTCAAACGTTTTGTACTATATAACTTATACAAGCTATTTTCTGATGCAAGTAAATAATGTGCCTACTTAGTTTAGTAGGTATAATTTGTTATAATAAAATCACGTTTAAATATGTCAAAGATGTAAAATGTGATTCGGAAATACCCTTAAAATTACCCAAAAATAGGATCTAAACATGAACTTGAATTTTAATTATTATCGTCATACATTTAATCCTAACGTAATACCTACGACATTTCGTTCTAGTTTAAACACACACCCGGAACGGAATGACATTTTTCAGATGATTAAAATTTCATTCATTATCATTTATTCACCTTTTTTTAGAAACTTTTGAATATTGTAGCGTAGCATGCCCAAATGGCGCCTCAAGCATTAAAATTGCGCTCCTTCGTAAATAACCTTCTTAATATAAAACGAGATTATAAATTAGGAATTTCAAGATTGTTATAAATTTGTTAATTAATTGTAAAAATAAAAAAATTAAATAATTGTAATAAAAACGTAACAATACTTTTGATGTGGTTAGTGGATCTACAGCTTTAATCTAACGCTAACGCATTAAAAAAAATCATTTCCCAATCGATTTCTTTGTCCTTAATGCCAGGATGCACACTTTATTTAAATAAATGGTTTTTGGGTATCAGCAGGCGTTGGGTTATGAGAAACTTTCACTTGTATTGATGTTGCAAGAAAAAATATACAGGGTCGCTGATAAGTCTGGAAACGGTCGTTTATCGGCGAAAATATACAAGATATCGAAATATGATTTATACAAAAGTTTTGGGGTTCTTTAATATCTAGGCAGTAATAATTTTAATTATTCAGGGTTGCTCATAAAGGCGCGGCACATCAAAATTAATTATTTGAAATTGAACACTCTGTAGGTATATTATTCAATATTTCAATTCTTCTCTCAATTTTTAGCAAAATTTGTAATAAGCATAATGTACCTAAATTGCATCGTTTCCGGTATCGAGTTTTGAAAATAAACGCTATTATTTTAAAATTCATTAATAATTGAACAAAAAACAATAATTAATGCTTCCAAACAATCATAACAAACTTCACAAACGGTTCTTTTCAGAACCACAGAATGTTTTTAAAAGAAATTCGCGATGTCATTAATTATTGTTATTTATTCAATACCTACCCTACATTTTAAAGCAATACTTTTTATTTTGAAAACTCCATAACTCGGAAACGATTGCATTTGGGCACATTATGCCTCTTACAAATTATGCTCAAAATTGAGGGAATAATTGAAATATCGAATAATATACAGGGTGTTCCAAAAAATGCAATAATAGTGTGTCGGGTCATTATGACCAACCCTGTATAATTAAAAGTACTACTGCCCAGTAGGCATTAAAGAACCTCAAATTTTTGTATAAAACTTTTTTTGATGCTTTGCATATTTTCCCCGAAAATAATAACAACTACAACGTACTGTGGTAAAAACAATACTTTACCTACCCATATATAGGTGCGGAAAAGTAAAATGTATAAATAGCACTAGCAAGGGAACTAGATTAACTTACGAACAATCATAATTCTCTAATGCATTTGGAACAGCATAGTAAATAATAATAAAAAAAGCAGCAAAATTCAAATTTTTGCTTGATTTTTTAGAGTGGTTTGGCAGAAGTTTTTCAAAATCTAGAACAATTGTGGGTGCGATCAAAACTAGTAACCAAAATACAAATTTAAAAAAATGAGCTATGAAGTTGGCGTATTAAACGAGCATTTGAAACGATTAGTTACAATGCAGAATCGAAATACCCGTTCGTACTTAGTTTTGATTTGATTTTTTAAATCCAAAAGTAGTATGAACTTAAAACAGGGGCTTTAGAAAAAATAAATGTACGTTTTCCAGTTTTACCGAGAGGGATAGCTCAAAAATCTAAGACATCCCCCTCCTCCACTTAATCCAATTTCGCTAATAATAAAAAAAAAACTTCAAAACCTTCCTACTCTGTATACTTACGGATTTATTTACCCCATCTAGCTTACAAAAATCTACCATAGTACCTAAACAATAACGTAAAAAAAATGTGTACAGGTACGTACCTCAAGTTAATTTTCAGTCTGACTTTCAGCAAAAAAGTTCCTCACGTCCTATAGAATGTAACACATCCGGTTTTGATATACCACGTACGCTTTATCTACGCAATACTATCTGTACATATACTACGTCGCACATCAAAACCACTCAAACAATGGGAACCAAAATCTACTACGTTATAGCACTCGCCTGGCTGGAGCCCCTTGTATTGGAGCGTTCAATACTTAAAGGACTAAAAAAAATAATACATGTATTGGTAAAATGGAACCTCTCTCTCTCGTTTCCATTATTCCACTTCAAAAAATGCCCATAAAAAACCCCAAACCACAAATTTTAAGAAAACAGCTAAACTACTATCTTAAAATTAAATCACCTTTAAATTTGAAGAAGGAAAATGATCTGCAGCGTTATGAAAAGAACCCTTCGACAATGCATAAAATAAGGGATGGCGATGCCACTCTCTCAAATACCAAGCAAGAAGTAGATACTAGACTTGAAAAGAGAAGGTAACAGCCTTCCCCCTGTTTCAATGGGTCGCTATGATGCAGCGTAGGTATGGAGCACCCTCTAATCACCCTAAACCGAATAATCAAATATTTCCCATTAAATCTTAAAATCCATGAACCCCCCAACCCTCAATGCATAGGGGATAACTCGTCCCAGCATAAAAAAATACATCGGTTGAATAACTACGGTCTATTTTAGGCTCAATCACGGTTCGCGGGTTTGGGACAAAGGACCGTCTTGTGGTCTGTGTTGTTAAAACAAATGCTGAAAAGTTGCTTGCATACGAAACTACAGGAGGTACCTAATTATGGGAGTGTCGAAATGTTCAGGGAGTGAAACGCCTAGGTACCTTTCTAAGTGCAAATTGTTCGAGTATACCCCGCTGCAAATTTTACGGATTAGTAAGTTGATTAGGTTTTGTATTTTGTCGTTAGCAAAAGACTATGTTTGGGAAAAAGTTCACTTGTAAAAATCTACTGCGAAAAATTGCCGAACTATTTACGTTATTTAAACTAGGATTACGTCTGGTTCACCTTACTTTTGCGATTATGTACATATATTATCTGGAAATGTAAATCACACTTTTTGTCAACTCATTTACTAACTGACCTTTAATTGCGTTCTATGGGTAGGTATTTTCGAATTTGTTGGAGTTTTATTACTAGGCCCCACACCTTTTTGGGGAGTTCAGTGAACATTAAAGTAACAAAGAGTGTCTAAGAGATTCATATTGGCGTTATCTAGACAATGAATAACTTACATGTCGTTAGAGACATTTTCCAAAGTAAGCTATTTTACCAGTGAGTTAGCTATAGGGCGCAGATTCGAACACTTAGTGGTGGATGATTTGTGGCTAGGTGTATCAAATTAACACTGCTGCAAAGTTTAAACTGAAATATCGAGTACGTAATTGATTTATTCACACATGTCCTGTAATATAATGTAGTCACACTTATTTCCAAACTAGAGACGACCTAACATAACTTGCAATGGAACATCAAGCATCAATTTTCCGCTTTAATGCCCTCATTCTTGAGAAAAGATCATCCCAGTCCAAATGTATTCCGATAATTAGACGTTTTTTGTTTGCGCTATCACTATAAGACGATCGACCGTGTATCAATCTAACGTTATCAATCGCCAATATTTCACCTAAAAATTAATTAGAGTGACAACTTTATTTATAACCATTCAATTACAACCAGGTTACTTACCGGGGCGTAATTTCAATTTGATGCTTTCGCTCGTAATTGATTTCTGGAATACCTTCATAGCCTCATACCACGGTTTAACCTTTTTTAAATTCACCGTGAAATGAGAATCCCTTTGTGGCCCAGACTGCCGAATTTTATCCACATTTCCATGAATGTCTAACCTGAAAGATTGTGGATGAATATCAGAATTAGGATTATTAGTGCATGGATGGGTAGGAACGTCAGTTTTATATAACAAAAACCTTCCTAGTCCAGGAGTTACACTGTTAGTATTCAATTGTACATCATTATTACGTTAATTTATCTGTATACTTACTTTATGACAGGGCAGCGAAGAATTGTGTGGTACTTCTCTCCATGTTCGCTTCCAATATCTTGCCAATTTACATCAACACTGCTTAAGAGATCAAATGCTTCCTGATTCTCTTGACGCAACTTTTCAGCTACATATAAGCCATCAACCAACAAATTATCTCCGCCTTCGCCATCCGTTTGTATCAAACAATGAAGTATGGTAACCTAAAACTTTCGCCTAAAATCAAACGTTTACAATCTATTTACAAAATACCCCAGGCACATAGTCGTAATATGGCAAGTCGGTGTGGAGTTGAAGCGCATCGGACAGATATGCAACGTTAGAGGTTCCCGGGATATGTTTTATTTTAAATTCTTCCCTGAAAGTAAAGATATTTCAGAGAACCAGTCAAGATTCGTGAAGATTGGGCAAATGGTTTAACCTTTGGGAATCGATATCGACATTTCCAATGTTCATTTACTTATACTTCTCGAAGTCGGTATACAAAGCATGTAAAGAGTTCGTGATATGATAATACTCACTCATAATGTGTTGATTTAATAACTCCAATTCTTTTGCAAAGCTTGGCTGCTGCATGTTTCTCGTCCGGAACGTTATTAATGAAAACAATCCCATAACGGGCATAATCGAACAGCCAGTTGTAAAGAACCTCATCACTGAAATCGAAGATCAGTAGTAAGATAAACAAGTAACACGTAGTAAATACCTACCTTTTTAAAAGGTCTTCATACTCATATGTTTTTTTAATGCTCTCAAAAGTTTCACAACTCCAAGGAACCTTGGTTGGTCTATAATTGTCGTGTAAGTATAATTGTTGTGCGTCTTCTTTGAAACTGCGTTTTTTTAACCAATCCAAACTGAATGTTGATATATGTTTGTCATTCCATTGCAATACTATATTCCCATCCGATGTCGTCTAAAACACATTTAGATTTTGGAATTCGCTCCATTGCGCAAATTTTGGGATTTTCGAATGCAATGCAGTCTACAAATTGGTGATTTTCGTTGGAAACTTAAATCTGTGCAGTCGACCCAAAAAAAAAGGTTAACACTCACTTGTACAGATGTTGCCTTGGGAGATACATTAAAATCCACCCAATTAATTATCCTGGAGGTCGAACTTTTGTGAAAACAAGACGGGCATCTGCAGTTGTCCCGTAGCCATACAAGTGGAAAGACTTCCTTTCCCTTTCCTACATCAACGATCAAGTTTTCTTGATTTTCAGACACACAAACGAAGCTAAACTTTCTGACAAATCGACTAAATAATTTCAATTTTGTTGCTAACGATGTTCGATACATTGCGTACTGTTCGGTAGGTACACTTGTTTTTTTTTTAACAAAGGTATCAATATTAATGACCAGTTTGACCAATTCTCTGTTTGCTATTAGACTTCCTAATGGGTTACCTACTGTATTTAAGTAACCACGCAAGAAATAATTTTCTAACCCGAAATTGCGTCACTATTTATTTGGAAGATAACCTTAACTCTGATATGAACTTACTTTGCATATTAGCAACTTGGTTAAAATTTTGCAACCTAATGCACAAAATATGTTAAATGCATTTATGTTGTGTGTGTTAAGTAGTTATTTACGCGTCTTGATTTTGAGAAATCACGTATGGTCATTTATGCAGATTTCTACAACATAATTGTCACATTACCATCAACGGATGCGTCAACTACTTGGAACACAATTGTCAAAATGCTAAAATTGACCATGATTAAAATAATTTTTGGCCTAACAATAAGCTGCTGCCAATTGAAACTGTGAATTAATTTGTAGTCACATTTTCCTCTTGGCAACGAAACTATGAATATCAAATAACCAAAAAATTAATTGGATTAAGGATATTGCCGTTGACTTTAAAAAATAAAAATCTTCAAAACCTTTTTTGCACAAATAGCCCACTCAACGAAAGAAAAATAGGGGAATCATCCGTGTAAAATTGAATGTTGGTATATAGTTGTAGGTGAAGACGATGAATGGGAGTGAAGCTAACGGGTGAGGGGGTGTAAAGGTACCTTTTTGGTTTTCGTAAATAATTCGCAAACGGTGGTCCATAGCAATATTCTGTATCATTGTGATAAATGTGTATCTAAAAGGGAAGTATCTATCTGAACTCAAACAACTGATTCTCGAATTAAAGGCTCTCGATCTGAAAATTTGCATAGGTACAACATAGTTTTTATGATCTATCGAAGTAAACTCGTATTATCATGATCATTTCACTTTCGGTTTAGCCGGATGTGGATAGAAACCGAGATAGAAACTTTCTTATTTTAACTGAGATTTTAACCCTATATTTTATTGCATTTTCGAAATATACATAAAAATCTACGTCGTTTGATACATTTCCCTGTACCCAGGCGCGGTATATATGCCGTAGGCATTTTGTAAAATCCGTCATTTTATAAAATGCCTAGGCAGTTTTATGTCGTAGGCATTTTGTAAAATCCGTCATTTCTAAATTGCGGAGTCATTTCGTGAAATGCGGACCTGTGGGGTTGGGGTAGTTTTCCTTCCCCTTCTAGATGCGTAAGGGATCGCTCTTGAAGAGGAAGGGAACCAATCGCTTACCTCTAGAAAGTACACTGCCCGCGTTTTATAAACTGCCTAGGCATTTTATAAAATGACGGATTTTACAAAATGCCTACGACATATATATTCCAATTCTGGATCATTTAATAACTGACCTAAGAAATAGTTTTAGTGAAAAAAATTATCAAATTTAAACTTAAATATTTTAACACCTAATGCTCTTCAGGCCATCGTATTTTATTGATCATTAATATGGGGTCACTGCTCCTCTGTCTCTAGAATCTTTAAAATACAAAGAAGAGTGGTTAGAATGGCGTTAATAATAAAATGAGTACGGGTAACCCGTCGTTAGAACAACTTGGGGATGAAGTGCAGCTATAATAATAATAATATTTATTGATGTTTTACACATGGTGTCCTTTTAAGTATGCAATGTAAGAGACAAACGAATATAATAAATTACAAACAAACATAATAATTATACAAACTATTCCATTATATCACAACATTTATTCGTCAAAAATTCTTCTAGTGAAAGCCTTATTTATTAGATATGATTTAATTTTAGATTTAAACTCCATTTCATTGAAATGATTGAGAGCGGTGGGCAACATATTAAAAAATTTTATGGCTAAAAAATTAGGGCCGTACTGACTTTTTTTAAGACGTAAATAAATAGGTACGTAATTATGCATATTTCGCGTATCGTAATTGTGAAAGTCCGAGTGGCATTCAAATTTTTGGCAATTACTTTTCATATAAATCATACAGGTATATATGTAAAGTGAGGGTAAGATTAATATTTTCAAATCTGTGAAGGTTTGCCTGCAATCAGATTGATAGTCTAGGTTAGCCAATATTCTAACCACTCTTCTTTGTATTTTAAAGATTCTAGAGACAGAGGAGCAGTGACCCCATATTAAAATACCATAATTCATTATGGCATGGATTAATCCGAAGTACGCAGTGCGCGTAACTTCCGGAAAAACATGGTTTGTTAAATTACGGAGTAAGAACACAGTTCTGTTCAGTTTTGGGGAGAGCTCGCCAATATGGCCTTTGGTTAATTACATCACTGTCCCTTCTCATCGTAAAAGTTAAAACTTCAGTTTTGTCTTCATTTAGAGACAACTTGTTCAAGTGGAAACAAGACTTGGACTGCCCTTGAAGATCTATACTTCTTATATTTGTTATTTCTAGACCAGAACCAGAGCTTAGTATTGTAGTGTCATCGGCATATAATATGAAATGACCATTAACTGTAGAAGGCAAGTCATTTATATAAATTAAGAAAAGCACATGCCCTAAAATGGAACCTTGTGGAACACCAGACTGTACACATATTTCTTTTGAGAATAAACCGTTATATCTAACAGTTTGAGAACGTTCTTCGAGATATGATTGCATGAGTTTAATGGAAATTGCATCAAAATTATATGCTTTCAAGTTATTTAACAAGATCTGATGATTTACACAATCAAAAGCTTTGCTTAAATCTAGAAAAGTTGCTGTTGTATAATTATTTTCATTAAATGTTTTTAAGATTTTACTAGATAGATCTACAAGGGCGTCCGTCGTTGACTTTTTTGATCTAAAACCGTGTTGTGCATTATTAAAAATATTATTGACCTCAAAATGGGAAGTATTGATATCGGCCTATAATTTGAAACATCCTCTGTGTCACTCTTTTTAAACAAAGGTAAAATTATAGACCGTTTCAATGCCTGTGTCCCAGATGTACGGCACACAAAAGAAAACAAAGTTGGAAACTGTTGGTTTCAACAAGATGGTGTACCCGCGCAGAATGCCTTGCAAGAATGCCTATTGGACAATTTTCGTGGAATGATGAAAAAAATCCATTTGCACATACAAAAAGAAAGCTCGACTTTGTCATTTAGACATTTTCTGGTTTGTTCTTTTTTAGTTCTATTTTTATACGTATAATAAATGTGTTTTAAAAATATATTCACTTTAAAAATTTATTGCGCCTCTCCCTAGACCAGATCCTAAATTCGCCACTGCCTGTACCTATGGCTCCGTCGATTCGAATTTCAAAAAGTCTTCCAAAATCAACAATACGTGATGCCACTTGCAAATGATTTAAATTTTGAACGATCTTCAACAGGGTGTTTTAAAATTAATGGTCAAGTTTAATAACTTTCGAGTTCTTTACGAAAAACAAAGACCTAATAGTATGCTGTTTAAGACATCTTAACCTACAATGACTATGCCAACGTTTACTTTTACACGGAATGTTTCCCCTATTTGACAGTTTTGGTCTTCGTTGAGTGGGCTAAAATTCAAGGTTGTGTGGGCTAAAATTCAAGGTTGTGTATGTGCTTTTGTTATAGTAAGGAGCCCAAATGATAAAGCCCAGCTTGTGGTCAGATCACACCCCAAGGTCCCGTATCTTTGCCAAACTCCCGTATCACTCAAAGCGTAACATTACTAGTTCTTCGAGTAAACGACAAAACTGAGCACTTAGAAACATTGAACTTTAATATGCTTGTGATGTACCCAGGCCAGTCCCGAGAGACTGCGCAACTCAAGATTTAAATTCAAAACTTTCCCTCCCAAACTAACTGACCCCATGGCACGTGATCGTCTAGACAAAGCTACCTAACTGGAATGACCGAATAATAGGACCACTTACTACGTTGTGTTTTTAAGAGTCGCTACAAGATATGTGTTGCCTGTCGGGGTGAGGATCAAGTAAGGAATACAAATAAAACAAGTACATGCTTTAAAAACGGAGATTTAATCCAAATAATTCTCATTGCAAGATTAAATTTAGAAAATGGTAGTTCACCGAGTACAAATATAAAAATAGGCTGGGAAAAAAAGAACTGACCAAGAAAAAAACCCAGCCAACAAATTAATATTGAACTTTATAGCAAAATTAGTTATCTGTAATGGCATAAATGCATGTTGTCAAGTACATCAATACAATGTCGAATCCCAGGCTCCACTGGAATTCCTAAAGAATCAATATTACACACACATAACAAAAACAATCATTAAAAGATTACAATAAATTCATATAATAGGTTTGGATATTGGATGGCCAGTCCAAATCCCACACCGAGTAGTCTTTAGTTGCTCTGGTCATGACATGTCAGCATTGTATGAAATCGCTAGGAGTTGGCCTCTCAGAAGAGCCTTTCACATAGGAAGGATACCCCAAATTGTTAACAAAACAAAAGGTCACAACGAGAACACGCCACACGCTTTTAGCGAATCCCTGCGCAAGTGAGGCCGGGCCTAGCCAGCGCCCTCATGTACGACTAAGCGGGACCCCAACTCATTCATTCAGACATCTCTAGGGCCAGTCCAACCCACTAGTCTTAAAATGCCGGGTTATAAATTACCGAACTCCAGGCTCTCTACCATGAGTACTGACAATAACCGATCAAAAGACAAGTCATGACATAACATAAATAACAGAGTAACCAACGGCAAACTCGCACGCATACATAATTATAAACAAAATATACACAATTCATGTAGGCGTTGACAGTTAACATATTTGCACTGGCATAACAAAGACTGATACAAAACCAATATTCGGTCACTACATGTCAGGGATCGACTAATCGGATTGATTAACAATATTGTCAAGATGGCTCTTTTCAAAGACACAAAAAAACAGTACAAAAAAACATAATCTCTGCGTATGTCAGTTCTGAACTTTAGCCAGCCTCTGCTACGTCAAATCGAGATTATATATCGGTATCAAATATAGCACAGTACATATTCGAAACAAGTCACCCTGCCAAATATTAATAATCATAATCACCCGGTTCAAATAAATAGTAGGAGCATAATTGTATGCACTATCACATTACAACAATACAAAGGAACATGTTGTGGCAAACATTGGTATCAAGTAATTAATTCACAATGCCAAGTGCAATATGTAACAATCAACCACCTAATGTACGTCACTCGCCCCCAGATGAGGCACCCCGTAAATAAACAGTAACATATTCATGCAAACAATAGCGAAATGCGCTGCAATAAATTCAATTATAAATTAAAATGTAGTTCTGCATACTGGTATAGAATATCATCCCTAAGGAAACATACTGCACCTAAATATAAATAAAAACTTGTAAATCAGTCAGTAACTATTGTTGCCAGCGTTTGAAACAAAGGAGTGCTGTAAATTGGGCAACAATAGATTTATGTGGAATCTCTATGCATTTAATTCAAAGTATGACCAGTATAATTAAAGTGCAAGTTGTCTCTAGAATGTGCCATAAATGACAATAATCATGCTGTGCGAGAATAGCATTAAATTGGCCGATAATCTAACACGATCACACAATTACTAAAGGGATGCAATACGGGTAAAGATTGAGACTACGTCACCTTTGCAATTGTGGAAGTTGCACTCACTATACGGTACGGAACGTAAAAAAATTACCTCTGCCCGCCACAAAAGCAACACCAACTCTGCCAAATCTCCCCTTCCTTAAACAAATCCTAGACGAAAATTAAGTCCCCTCGCATAGCTCGCCTAGCGTAATATTTGACACTTTTACCGTAAATTATGGCCCATTTCAACGTAGAGCAGAGCAGAAAAAAACACGTGTTCCACGGAAACGAAACAAAGCGCAATCTTGACCTTTTTTTTTCTTCGCGCCAGGGTGGGTCACTTTCGGGAATATTTAAATCGAATTTTAGCGGGCTAATTCGGTTCCATCACATGCTTTTTATCGGCCACCTGTGCCTCTGCTTGAACCAAACTTTTACTATGTCAAGGATAGACTATGGCTGCTATGCAAAAGGTAAAGTCCAACATAGGACCGTTATTCCAAATTGCAGCCAAAGCCATAGTTGGGGTTTTTAGCGGTTATACCCGTCCTAGGGGATGCCCAAACTATTCCGGACTTTCCTCCGTAGTGTGCATCAAGTCCATTTCCCCACCGGCCAAAAAAATAGTAAGAAAATATGTGTTACTGGCAAGACGAGAAATAAGACGCTAAATCAAGGTAACACCAGAAATTGTGAGACCAGTTCTTCTTGAAACAGTAGAGGATGTATTTTAAACAAACTATAAAACTATTACGCAAGCCGCACGACCGTAATTACTAAAAAAAACCATTACGCAGTGAAAATTGCTATGAAATAATAATGGATGAACTTATAACTAAGAAGCTATAATACTCACAAAGTACACACCTAGGCATATCTATCAGTAACCTTGATCTTTCTACATTAATGATCTTTATTAGTTTTTCACATATACATAATACACTTCAGGTTTAATTTTGATTTGTTCACTTTACGTATCTAAACATAGAACATACATTCCAAATTATAGACCAGCTATATTTGAGTATATAAATCACAATAAAATGACGTACGTCATATCAATCCAGTTATTTAAATTTGTGGATTGTACATAAACATTTTATGCTTCTTTTATTACATAATACATTGCGGCGTAATTTTTTGTCTAGATGTTATATAGTAATTGCTCACCTCAGTAAAAATTGATTGTCAACATGTGATTCACATAAATCATGCAACATTCATCTCTAAACATCCATAAACGTTAATTAGTGCTTATAATACAAAGTAAAAAACATCCCACATCTTTGAAACGTTACTACCCTGGAACGGAAAATAAATTTTAGAATTTACTTTGTATAGAGTATAAAATATGAAAAATATTCAGTAGAAACATTTGTTAAGCGTATAATAATTTTATCTAGTTTAACCTCATTTAGTATTTATGTGACAAGAACGCCGTTTAGTTACTAAAAAAAACTTTATTATGGAATGATAAGTGTGCGCGTGGTTTCTTTAGAATATAATGCCCCAGGGCTGTCTAAATACGTTTATGGGCAATATTTGTCAAGTAGTAGTTTGAGGGAATATACTTAAATGTTGAAAATAGCACGTAGAGAGTATCGATTTGAAAACACTTGGAAACGAGGTTATCATTTTTGAGCAAATATTTACCATAAACCTACCTATGATGACACCCTTACGCTTACAACAATGGATTTAAATTACAGAACTTCTGAGACTACAAAAACTAAAAGGGGCTGCATTTGTAATAATCACAGAGTTTGATAATGAATTAAAAACTTATAATGATATGTTAAATCTCGAATCTAACACTTATCACACATAGGTACCTAGGTACTACATACATGCTTCAAATGGTCAACCAAACGGATGTGCAACGGATATCTATACCTAGAGGAAGAATTTATTATAGCTATAAAGCTGTTACGCGTATCAATTCCCGGTCTTTTCAAGGATGAGTGGATAATCACGATTATGGTGACGTTAAATCCAGTAAGGAAGATAATGATACAGATCTCAGATTCTAATTTCGATTAATGGCAGCGTTTGTGGCGTTACGAACTGTTGTCGTGCAGTTACATATTGTTGTAAACACTCTGCTAGCGAACGTTCTGGCGGATGTTCTTGCTCTACTTGACCAAGCACCAATCCTTCGCGTTCCATCTGCAAGAAAAAAAAATTGAGTGACTAAAAAAACCTTTCAATTTACTTTTCGTAGACAGTTATCGCCGAGAAAAAAAGAGTGTAATTGAACGATTCTACGAAATAGTCATACCTCTATCCATCATTGTATTCAACAAACAGCGTACAACCAACAAGGATACGTACTACTCGCATAGGAGCAAGAATTCGACCCTACCGTGAAAAATTACACTTTTTTCTTCAAGTATCTCACAATACGACCATCGTTGTAGCTTCCATTTAAAATATAAAGCTTTCGCATTATCAGAACTGGACAATTTGTTATGAATGAGCACTTTGTACACTGTTTTATATTTTAGGAGGTTCATTAGATAACCCACTTCTGTTACTGTTCATAAATTCATTGTCTTAGTTTTCCATTTAATAATCTCGCCCCTCATTGGACACCCTGTATGAGCTATGTTTTTCAGTAAACAAATGTCTTTTTCTTTTTTTAATTGTCCAATCAAGATGAGAGAACTGAAAGCTTTATGCACTTTAAAAACACACCTCAAAACTTCGTAATTTCTTTAATTTCTAGCGCCGCTTTATCCGCAGATAAGCAAAACTTGTTTTTGTTTTTGAAGACGGTATAGCAAATAATTTTATGTGAAAATCTTGAAAAAGAATTTCAAATTTAAAGTTTGAAAGGCATTCGCAGCTTTTTATTTTAACTTGTAGAACATTCCGAAAGTTCTGGATTGAGGGATACACAAAATTCATTTCGAGATTCTGAAGCGAAAGAAGCGAAGAACATACTTGCTATTTTGTGGACTTGGAAGGCTTTAGTCACTGTGGGATCTCGTAATTATTTTAAATCAAATATTGTAATCTACTAAAAGCGATTCACACTTGACAGCAGGTATTATTATTAATTAAAGATACAATAATAAATACTATAATATAGTTATAGTACTGAACCTTCGACTTATTTTAATTCACTAACATTAACTTTGGATACGGCGATATGCAGAGGTTTAATATCATTAGTTTCTTCGGCCCCCCGTATAAAAATAGCTACCCTTATCCATTCTTTAAAATATGTTCGTTTTTCGCGATTCACTATGGGGATATTAACGAACCGTGTGCCTAAACTGAAAGATTTGAATTACATGAGCTTTTTCTAAATGTTTAGTGTTTGTAACCCTTTCCAAAATAAATTGCCCTTCGTAATTGGACTAATTCAAACCAATTATTTTCAATATTGAGATTTTTATACATGCAAACCTCCTTTTCTCTCTTTACGAATAGATTCTAAAGGTTTTTGTACGAGAAGAAGCAGACGAATTATAAATTTTATATTATCCTTTATTTTTTTTTAAATTTTATTTAGTGATATGGTTTATAAATTATTAGTTGACGTCACTTCATAAATTCACACAAGTAAAATAACTAAAATAATACAAAATGTGAACAAAACCAAATTTTACTAGACTGCAATTTTCCAATAATATCCTAATAAGTACTTTACGAGGTACTTTACATTAACTTAATAAAAATTTTTTGTGTAAACCTTTTGTACCGTATTATAATTTAGTAATTACTCGAGTAGATAACTCAACAAATTTTCGGTTAGTGATATATTTAATTGAAATAACAGCTATAATAGAACTAAAAATGCTTAGGTAAAATTAGTAAAATGTTGTATCACCTGAAAGTCCTTCTAAACAAAATTTCAGAAATTTATTTGTATTGGTTCCCCATCTCCGCTTGTGGTTGGACTCCGAATTAAGATTTAAAGCACTCAGGAAGTGAAACAATTTACCTTATCGTATGCGCCGCATAATATAAGCAATATTGATTATTGTATTACGAATGGTTAATTGCATTAATAGCCGACTCTAATTATTATTTATAGTTGTACAATTAAAACAGAAGATATCTTGATTGATAATCGATACGACCCAAATCAAAAACAATCATTGAATTTGACATGCGAATTTTCAGAACGGTTTTCCTAACTAAATAAATAAGTTATAGCAGTAAATCTAGAAAGTACTATGATACTGCAATTTTTATGAACTGTTATTATTTGTTGAGTTGTCGTGCACGGTCATAATTACGCACAGTATTAATTGATGCACAACAGATAAAGCGCACTTTTAAACCGAAATAGCTTAGTAAATGGTTGGGTTTATAAGGTTGTAGCATGCAATATTTATTGATGTTTACGTTCCTGGTAGATGATTAATGGGGAGAGGGCTCTTTACACACAAACATTTAAAGGCCGCCAGGCATACATTCAAAATCTACGCTATATGTAAGAATCAAGCGCAGAGAAATTCTCCCAAATATTGCATTTTCCCTTTGTAGATAGGTACCTTCCTTTACCATTTTTAAGATATTTGCAATTCAGTTTTTACATCGCCAGTAGATGTGTCTCGTCTAGAGCTAGAAAATCTTTCCAATATTTGAGACCTCTTCCGACATTCCGTTCTGCAGCTATTTGCAGTGGAAGTTTTGACATCACCTATATCCTGACATTTCGTTTTCAAGATATTCGATTCGATTTCACCAATAGATATGTCTCGTCAAGACGATGCATGTTGCTTTTGAGAATACATTCCTTTGACAAACCGTAATAAATAAATAAATAAATAAATAAATAAGGGGTGGAGAAGAAGGACTATGGTTAGTGAAAACTAATTCCTTTCGTTGAGACCTTTCATTAGAGTACCATGAAGAATAAAACCAGCACCCCTACTCCCTTTTGTGATAAGGGACCAGAAAGAAGGGCGGCAGTTGGTAGAAAACAGTTCCTTTTGTTGAGACCTTTAATTAAAATGATGAGACGTTTCATTATAATATCATGAAGGGTAGAAGGTCAAATGCAAATTCTGAGATCAATTGGTTATCGCATTTAAAAGTTATGGAAGTTTCACTTTCAAAAACATCATCTCAGGAAATAATTCATGAGGGAACCCCCCTTAAGACAGCGAAACTTGTTGGCCGTCAATGAATAAAGATGGCCATTTTCGTTAATAAAACGCCATTTTGGGGAGTTAATTAATCAGTAAAGATAGGTCGAGATTAATCCGAAGAAAAGTTTTGGGGGCATTCGGGTTTTGATATTTTTTGAATTCCAGTTCAAGTTCCCCCGAGAATGTGAATGTAATAAACTTGTGTTTTGGGGCATTTAATCTTAGTCCACATTTAAAACACAAAAAAGACGAAATCAATGCTTTTCTGTAAAATAACGAATCAATTATTGAGAGAATCGGGATTAATGCATTTTTAATGGGAGGAGTTGCCAGTGTTATTTAGTGGCGCACGAGAATTTTACGCAATGAAATCATGCGAATAAAGGGATTATGGTACTCAACTTGAGAGATCTTCTGTGAACAAAACTGTAGTATTTAAAAGAATGGTCTAAAAGAGTTTTGAGTGCGTGAGAACCATAACAAAAAGTTAGCTTATTGCGGCTAAACAGTAAAAAAAAATTCGTCTGCAGTTCCACCTATCAGGAGCCCAGGTCCAGGAGAACTTTGAAAGAACCAACTCTAACCCCTCCTTTTAGATCCACCCTCTATCAACTCGGAGCATTGTAGAGGTATCATCTGTAGACGACGGAGCGTATCGTTTCCGGAGGAGACTAAAGCCATCTCTTCCAAGGAACCTTAGGTTTAAAGGTACCCACCCGAACTGTTCGTTTTTATTGTTTTGTATAAAATTAACAATTGGCTCCTTTTGAGAGATTGGAGTAATAAGTAAATTGTTCGGTCCCGCTAATAATTAAAATAGATTTTTGGTGAGTCTTAACAAAGGGTAACAATCTGTGTAACTTAACTAATTAAAGCCTCGTGTTATTTTGGAAAAAATTATTACCTACGAACCCACTTCAGAATATCCCTGTAAAAGAGTTTCCAATTTATTAGACGTAAGGTGTATCTTTTTGCGAAAAAAGCTTGGGTATATAAATAGAAGTAGGTAGTTAAGGAAGAAAGTGACCCCGAATTAGAATTTATTGATTAGAATTGAAAATAAACGCGACCCAGTTATGAATACAAGAAGTGTAAAGTGAAGTGGATCTCAATTTGTTTTTAATCAATATATTAATTTCTATTACCTTATTTGTTGTCCACTAGTTATGTTAAAAATTTGATTTTTAGGAGAAAAGTGAAAATCTTCATTAAACCATTGTTAGGATAATGAAATCAAAGAGCTATCCTTCGGATATATAAAATTTTATAGTAGAGGTTTCGTTTCGTTCAAACGGAAACTTTAGGGATGGTTAACCCCTATCAGCAACATTAGTTACAATACCAAGGGACCGATGCATGTTTTAATCTTGACGGCGCAATTTGTTAACCAAAACCAAAAAATCAGGGCAACAAATTCCTAGGGATTAAAGGTGTGTAAATGCTGTGGTTATGTACGCCATTTTTGTAAAAACTTGTGATTTGTGAAAAACAGTTTAGTTTAAGTAAGTATAGAAAGGTGTCTTATTTTGTTACAATCGTTTATAAATGTTTAGTTTTTGTTTTTGTTCCAATCAGGTGACTTAAATAAAAACCAATGCCAAATGCTTAAACTATTGACTAGGTATACATATAACTTCGTGTGTTATCACGTGGTAATGGTAACAACGCAACCCCACGATGGGCACGATCACGTATACACGTGAATTTTAGCTGATTTTTAATCCCTCATAGAGGAAAAGTGAAACTTGATTCACTCAAATAGAAGGCAAAAGAAACATGTTTGTTTAGTTGACGGAGTAGTTACAAAAAATTCATATAAAAAAGCACAGCCGAATAAATGTTGCAAGTTTTAGCCAAAATAGCAGCTCTTTCCTTCCCTCATCGGCAGTTTACCTGTTACTGAGATTCCTTAGGATGAACAATGAAAAAATACACCCTCATAATAAATGAGGACATACTTATGTGCGCAACAGCGTTATGACCAAACAAATTTGAATTTATTACCCAATAGTCCTCTCTTTACTAAATAAACCGTGATTTACCTATTTCCATTGAGACATGAAAAGGTCAGTCATGTGTATAACTTTGCAGGGTTTTAATTGTAATAATTTTCAAGCCATTTGAACGTTGTCCCTCTATACGTTAATTGTTACACCTTTCGCATTCAGAATAATATGCAACTGTGCATTCAAACGCAACCCGCCAAATAATCAGCAATATTGATCCACGGTGATCGCGGGAAATTTGAATGGACCAAATACTTACTCTGTAAATTGAAGACGTCCTGCAATAAACGAATATTTAGTTATAAAACAAAAACCGGAAAGATACTTACGAATTTGTTCTTATGTTTAACATTCATTTTTTGTTCGGCCTCGATTCTAGCTTGCTCCAGAAGTTGATTTAAAAATTCATTCACCTCCTTCATTTTTTCCGGGTCACTTTTAAATTCGTTTATCCTTTGGTCTAATGAATCGTTTAAATTTAATTGTAGGTTAGACATTATTGCGAGGATGACGTTATTGCACTACTAATTATTTAAAAAAAGTAATTTATTTATAAGAATTTGTTAATAATAATATTTAGAAACATAACTCCGAACCGCATGATTGTGTCGTGCACTCACAAGATTATATAAGTAACTGAAGCAATACTTAATTATTATCACATATTGTCGAGATATAACGAAAACAAGTACCTCTACTCTACTACAACCTTGAACGTTAGCTAGCTACTGGTTACTTGCGCCTAAAACGTTTTATCATGCCGCCGCGTTCGTTCCGGCCCTGCAAACCTTCAGACCTTAAAATGATAGATCGACCCGTTCATTTGTCGCCTGATGACACGAGGGGGAAATGAAAATATTAATAAAGGGCACACTAAATTCTTGGCATAAAGGGAATTTTTATGTGCGGAAAGGTCAACGCTTGATTACATCGTTAAAATTATGACACACTTTAAATTTAATACTTTACCAGTGATTAGGAGCAATCAGCCATACAAATTTGGATTTAATCTGTTTGTTGTATTTTTTATTTATGTATCGACGTACGAGAGAGACTCGTGGAGTAACTAAATTCTTTTGCGTGTTTCAATCGTAAACAGATCATCTTCACTAATTGGTTCAAATTTGCGTCATGTTATACGTTAAGAATTTTGCGGTTTTCATTTGTGGCTTACCCGCGTCTTTTTAGCGCATTTTTGAAAAAAATACGCTATTATATTCGTTATGGCTGGCAGGCCGGCTGTCCGCGTGAGATCTCCACAACTACAATAGCTAGAGAATTCAAATTTTCACTAAAAGCTTTCTGCTATAGTGTAGATGTGCAGGCACTAGTCTATTTTGAGTTAGATTACTTGTGAGATCGATAACTGAAGAAAATAATTTCGATATGGGTTCCGGAGGTGCTATAATTTTACCGTTAGATAGCGCTACCAGTATAAAAACTTCATAGAAAAACTTATTATTTACTTTGTGATTTGTTTTACAAAATGAAGACGTACCCTCAATTGAAATTAAATAAAATTAATTATTTAACGCAGCCAAAATTACTCATGAGATCGATAATTTTAAACTTCGCTAATAAAATACTGACCTGCATTACCAAAAATGCGTTTTAATCATGCATATGCTGATTTACAACTTGTTTGATGTTATAATAATAAATCCATTTGTCATAAATCGTATTACCTACTTTTGAACACAATTTTCAGTCTTTGTCTCTGGTCTGTTCCTCTATTCCACATATCCAGATTCTTTTGGGGCATCTCCACTCCATGATTTGCTTTGATATTCTTGCCTCCTCCACTCTTTGTACATGCCCATTTCCATAATTTGAACCGAAAATTACGGTACTTATGCGCATTCTTTACCAACTGAAAAAAAAATCCTTTACTGGAACAAACACGTCATATTTCCCGGAAAGATTGCGTCACATCCGCCTTCGCGCTTTATCGCCGATGACTAATTTTTTACGTCGACTTGATATTCATCGATATTTTTGGAATATTAATAATATTAATATATTCTCATGTTTTTGCACAGTGTAGCGCTTACATTGATCATTATTTTCTAATTAAATAGCACATGTACATTTTAATACAATATTCAATTTAAAAATTTAAAGTTCACTTACAAATTCTTATATGGAAAAAAATGCTTTTAAAGTGAGGTATCTTTTAAGGGTTGCCTTTAGTTGTTCTATGTCATATCATTGGATACTCTTTGGTAGAAGGTTAAAGAATTTTTTAGATTGGAACTGGTGGTTACTACATTTGCTACAATATCATCGACCCAACTCGACCTTGGCAGACATAATTTTACACCCCAGAACCATTGGAAGAAAGCTAAACTGTCAAACCTATACGATCCTGTTTTGACCCACAACATAAGAGGAATGATGAGCCTTAAGGTGTTCAGTAGGAGACTCAGTGCAAGCTGAAAACTGGTTACTGATCTACAGAATGCTATAATTTCACCGTACAATTCAACCTTTAATTTATAAACATATGCAAACACAAGATACAATTTCAAATGCGAACTGTCAAGACATAAAAACAACAGATTATCCAAATAAAACCAGGCCCTACTGGACCACTTTAAAAATGTAAGTAGCAACCCTAAAATTCATTTTTATTTTTTTCTCGATAAAGGTCGCAAATACAAAAAAGTTACTAGGAACCAAAAAGTTTTCAAACATATCAGAAAAATTAAATATAATTTTACAATTTACCAGTGGCGCACTAAAAAAAAGTTCAGGGGTAGAAAATGGAACATGACCCCTTAAAAGACACCCTGTAGGTTCTCATTACTGTTGACATGATCAATGATCTAAGCCATTCAGCGTAACTTACATTTCAAGTTTGAGCAATTTCAAAAATTGCAGGAGATATAGAGAAAAATCTTGAAATGTGCGCCCTGTAGATCGGTAACGAAGCGTTGGCAGACCTATGTTTATATGACCTTTTAATAAGCCAAAGAATTAGCCCCTTCCGTATCTACATCATATTTAGGAACACCCTGTATACTATTCTCCCAACAGCTATATCTACAAATGATAAGTTTCAACGGAAAATAATTTCTGATCAATATATTATGAACATCATCATCAGTAACCAAATAGTCATGCCACTAATATTTCCAAATCGAACGTAAGTAATATAGGCCTTAGTTTCATTTCTTAAACAAATTTACGAAGAGAAAACACAAATAATACTACATTGATATAACCATAAAACTCATTAGCAATTCAAATATCCGTACAACATTGAAAATAAAACTTCATTCGTCATTGTTTGCCATAATAATATAACGGTCTGGTGAACAAATTTCATTGGGATTAAAGCTTAAATTACACGCATCAATTCTTTGTTCCACGAAGAAAAGGTTCCGAAGACTCAAAGTCACTGAAATAGAGTTACATGTGTCAATTCAACAGAGCTCAAGTATCCAATTAGTCTTGACTTATGTATCTTCATTCCCTTTAGTCTTGCGAACATGGTTAAGTCCCTCAAATTAAAAAAAAAGTTGATACATGTAATCTAAGCTGAAGACATACAGCACTAGATTTGAATTGTCGTCAGTAGAACAAATCTTGGCATAGGGCTGATAAGCAGTGTCACTTGTCAACCGTTATTAAAATTATCTTAATTCTTTATACCTATATAAATAAAATCAATGGTGGCAGAACATTTGTGTTCATCGGTGGAGTTCCAACTTCTATCACTCCGGTATTGTTTGGAGCATCCTTATCCTTAATCCTTATGCGCGCTTAATAAGAAGTGGCATCCGTCCAATTGCTGTTGGAAATACCTCTCGACGTCTGACTGCAAAACTAGCTTGTTCAGAAATGCAGTCGAAAATCGGAGATTCCTTTCGTCCCGTTCAGTTGGGTTATGCGATTAAAAAAGGATGCGAACTGCCGTTCAGCCTGCAAGGATTTATTTAAATTTCAATTCTGAAAAGGTCTTTCTAAAAATTGACTTCAACAACGATTTAACTCAGGTGAGCGAGACGATTTACTTCATGAAGTTAGAGAGAAGACTCCAGCTCTCTCCGCTATTATGACGTTTCTATTCATCTCCTACTTTACTGTTCTATGGAAAGCATACTCTACTTTCGAGAGTTGGCGCCAAGCAAGGGCACCAATTGGGGGCTAGGGCCTTCATTTTAGCTATTCACCCAAATTAATATCCTAGGGATCAGAACTAAATATCTGGTATCTAGATGACGGAACGTTGGGAGGAAAACCTGAATCAGTGTTAAAAGATGTCGAGAACAGTCTTCATAAATGCCATAAACTTTGTCTGAAGGTTAATCCTACCAAATGCTCTCAAAAATACGCTACATGAGTTGGAAAATGCGCTAAAAGTGACTTCAAATAATTTTCAACTATCAACTTTCACATTCAATTCTAGTTTTTGTAACAGAGATATAATAAATATTGTAGAAAATCACAATCTTCAAAATTGTCTAGTCAACAACTAAGCAGCCAATGGTTGATTCTGGTGAATTACCTCGTTAATATTAATCCAACTACTCGGAGAAATCGATTCTTTGTGTGTTATTTATGAACACATGTCTTACGCTCACATGAAGAACAAGGAATTATATGCAAATGTATGGCGATCGTTACCGCAGAACGTATATCGTTATCACTTGGATTACTTAAATTACATACTCATATACTTATTCATTTTCACATAACATAAATGAGTATCCAACGTTGTCGGATATGGAAAATGCTAAGATTCCGTACTTGGTTCTGTAGGTGAAATATGTTGGCAATGTAACAAAACCTAAACGATGCACTCGTGCCTTCCATTGATAATTTACCCCTTTGAAAATATATACATCGTTCTTTGTGTTTACCTTCCTTTTGTTACTACAGTTACATAGAAGATCAATGGGAACGAGAATAATAAAGCTTAGTTATATATGTCAAATCTTTATCTACCCCACTTCTGGACTGTACTTTAGCCACCTGTCATACGCCGCATATTTACGAGTCTTCAAAATAGTTTGACTGATCGAGGCCCAGTTGTACAATGTCAGTTTAAACATCAGTTTATAGTTTTATTATGAATTAAAGGATTTGATTGGCTAATATTTCACAAGTTGACCAATCGTATTTCTGATCTCTGTCACTTAAACTAAACTGAAGTTTAAACTGATGTTGTACAACCGGGCCTTAACCTCAAAAATGCTGCATATTAGACGACGGCCCTTGTCTTGCTAAAGCCGAAATTAAATATGGCATTAATTACCTAAAACAATAGGTTTTTTTTATTTCAATGTTTAAAATGGTACGTTGTTCAATGCCTGAAGTAGTTAGTAGCTTATACATTTTAAATAGCCACCCCTATTTTAATTTTTTTGGGTTACACGTTAAATAGGGTGTCTTTTTGTAGGAATTTAGGGTTATTTTCATTTATTTGAAAAGTTTACTTCTTAAAAAGCGCGTGGATAAAGGATATGCGGCTTTTTTTCGGCATTAAAGGAAACACACTTCTCCACAAAATGACCGATTTTTAAAAGAATATGGCCTGTAGAATCCTTAATTTCAAACAGTTCCAAGATTGGGCTACTAGTTCAAAAGTTACAGCCCTTTGAATTTTCTTTCGAAATTGGTTTCTAGTCTATTATTTTTGATTGAGAAGTCTGATCGAAAAAGTACGAATTGTTTCGGATTCTACGCACCAAAATTAATAAGAAAAAGTGTTTTCCCGAGAAATTTTGGTGCAGTCGATTTTTGGCAGGGTGTGTACTATATTAATTGCAATAATCTAAGTTACTTATTAATACAAAAGCGGAGATGT